ACCCTAGTGAGGCCGAAAGCTGCATAGTGGTTGCAACTTTACCTCGTTGATAGTTAATTGAAATTGGTGGTGTTGTTGCGATAGCATTATTTTTTGGTGTTTCGCATGGGGGGGTGTTTCGGAAGTGGGTACGTTGACTTACAGATGGAGATAGCGTTGGTGCGGTGAATCAGCACGCCCCTTGGCAAGAGTCAACCCAAACACCAGGACTTGTGTGCGTGAAAGTTTGCTCAAAATATCCCAGAGAGCGATTACAGACAGCGAGGAATGCATTTTGATTCTGACAGCCCAAAGGCTGAAATGATTGCCTTGTGCATGTCATGGACAGACAAGCAGAATGCGTTTTACATTTTCGTTAACCAGCAGCATGGCTGGAAAGCTCAAAAGAAGTATTCTGATGAAGAGCATGAGAACTTCAGCCGATTGCAGCGTTGAACTTCTTGATTTCTTCAGGACATAGTAAGTGAGAGCTGATGACAATTGCTGGTCTAAGGGTGTAATCAGTGTCATGGCTGTACATAATTCTCAGATCCGGTACCATTACGTCGTCCCTCGCTGGTTGTTGTTTACTCATAGGTGTTGAATAATACCACGAGGACATTAGACAAGGAGTTCAATTGCTATTCATGGCTTGACGCTTCTTCAAGCATCTCACGCGGTTAAGGTGCGGCGATTCTGATGACAGCATACCCAACATCTACCATGGTTTATTGCCGTAGGACTCAAGCCATGACAGCGATTCTATGTTGGTTGGTTCTGTGCAGCTTGTCAATGCGGTACGGGAGGGGCTTTAATATCTTCATAAAACGTCAATGGCTGAGGACAACCATCAGACCTAGTTGTACGTCTTGTGCAAATGGCCAGAGAGTGTCCCAGTCAGTCATGTTTTGGGAATGCTTGTTAAGAGTCGGAGGATATTTAGGAAGCGCCTTCTTTGAACCACAGAGTGTTGGGCAAATGAATTTGGAAGTTCCAAGATGTTCACTCAAGAACACGACGATGGGCTTTTTGACATTTCTCCCTGTCATCTGGTCCACGTAGTGAATTCCATGTCATGGCATTGACCCGGACCAATTTGTGCACTTTGTCTCAAATTGACACCCGTGGGTGCGTATGCATCACATGAGGAATAACAGTCCGGCGAAGAACAACAAGAGCGCCGAATATCATGACTGCTGGTGATTGAGATTACTCTGAACGCTGGTAGTCCCATATTGAGGACAACAACCGTTGCGCAACCGATCAAGAAGAACGTACGAAAGTCTTTGGTGTGGTCTTCCGCCTGACTGAGCAGCAGGAAACATCCATGGATTGTGCAGACGGGTCAGCGAAATCAAATACTTTCTCGAGGCTAACCTTAGAATATGGCTGAGCCTCAACTGAGCAGGGATCAACGATGGAGATGAAAGGAGCGCATTCTCAACATGAAAATGATTATGAAATGATTATGGCATTTACAGCTTGCGTCGAAGCGGCGAGGATGTGTCATTCGAGAAGTCACAGCTGCGGTAAACGGATTCAAGGAAACATCGAGTTACCTGAAGTTTGCAACGAAGGCGCCAAAGATAAAGGCGGGCGTTTCCAGTGACCGTTTTGGAAACTACGTCGCGAAGCCATACTTGGTAGCGAAGCCGAAACCGCGACGTTGGAGCGGAAGTAGTCACTTGGACCTAGATGCTCACCTACATTCATTTAAAGCAAAATGCAACGAAGAGCCTCATGGGGGTTTCCGGGGCGTAATGAAGACACGATAAAACCGTTGTGAGAACAAAAGAGTGTCATTCTGGCGTTGAAAGCTCTAGTGATGCAATCTAAGAATGACCAAATAAAAGGTCCGATGGTGTTCAACGCGAACATTTCTATGACGGCAATTATTCACCAAAGCTTGGGAAGGTCGGCCCTGCGAAACGTCCCCGAGTTCCTTCCTGCCCGTTTGAAAATCTTAGAAAGCCTTGGAAGTCTCAGAAGCCAAGTGGGAAGGCACCTTCCATCCACAACTTCTGAGGCCAGGTGAGGTAGGCAACTCCTTCCTTTCCACCTCACCTCCCCACTTGTCCCTTCCTTCTACCTCAACACCACCACCACCATCGCCGCACCCGCCAACATTTCCACCACCAAATATCGTCCTGTTTGGGAGCTTCAATACGAAAAGAAGTATCAAAACCCGCCAAGCCGGCGTTGTTCTCGAGTGTAGATTTCATCATGTTCTACAGCCACGAGAGTAAGTCTCCATGGTTGCTTGTTGCCATGCTTTCTCCAATCCGCCTAACAAGTCGACAGTCTTGAACAACAAGCAGTATGGCGTCGCCACGATCTGGTAAGTCGGCCTTGATATGCTTCCTCTACGGCACAGACTAACAGTCCAAAGGCACATCGCGAACTTCGGCCAGAGCAACTCTTTGAAAAGGGTCACTCGTAAGGTCATCGACGACGTCAAGATCTCCAAGGCCTGCGCGAAGTTCATGGATCCTGGTCCGCCCATCGCCTTGCGAACTCAGAGCAAGCTTCTATTCGGCACAGTCCGCGTCTTCGAGCGACAGTGCTACTACACCCTGCACGACGCCGAGAAGGTTCGCCAGCTGATGACAGACCTGTTTGCCTCTATTGACAACGCGATTGATATGAATGCTGGCAAGGCCCGGTGAGAAATCTTGTCGTCCGTGGCAGACTCTGATCTTTGCTAACGTTCCACAGCCGCGAACAAATCACTCTGAGCGACGATCCCAGCTTCGTTCCCTCCGACAAGATCCCTCAGTTCTCGCTCGACAGCGGAGACTTGCTCTTTCCCAGTCAGCAAAAGCTTGCCTCTGGAAGCGGCAAGAAGTCCCAGTCTCAGCTCAGTCCTTTCAAAAGCCCCATCGGCATCGACTTCACAGGCGGCGGCGACCCCATTCTCGACTTCGACCTTTCACAATCCTCATCTAACGCCGGCTTCTTCCCAATGGCTTCCCCATTTGGTCGTGGAGCCGCAGCGGACACCTTCCTTCCCAAGGCGCGCGAGAGTCTTGACATGGGCATGGACATGAATTTTGGAGCAGTCTTGGATGACGATGACTTTGGCGGTCTTCACATGCGAGTCGGCCCAGATGGCGCCTTGATCGACGACGACGAGATCGAGTTGCCCATCTTGCCAGGCATGGAAGGTCCGGACAACGTGCCAATTCAAGATCAGCAGCCGGACCCAGAGCTCCCCCAGAACGACCAGGATCAGATCATGCTAGACCTTGAAGGCGATGTGCCTGCCGAGGTGCCTGTGCTGGGAAGCGACCCGCCGTTGTTTCCTCAAGATGAGCTCTCCCTTCAGCAAGACTCGCCCACGCCTGCCAAGGCAGCTGCACCTGCCAAGAAGAAGCGCCCTCGTGTGGCTCGCCCCCTCGAGAAAGACGACGAAAACGAGACCGCATTCCCCCGCGCCGTTATCAAGAAGTGGCAGGTTGACTACGTTGCGAATACGGAGGCTGTCAAGAGAGACGCATCTGCCAAGAAGCGCAAGAGGGAGACAGCGGCTCATGCACGCGAGTACGCCAAGCGACTGGTTCTCGGTAATGGAATCTGGGGTGTTGGCGACCCGAGAGGCATCGTTGGAATTACATATCCGCTTGCCCAGATCTATGCCGGCGATGGTCTTCGCGATCGTATCTATGGACCGCCTCCTGCCGAGGAGAACCAGGCAGACCTAATCTCAACTCCCAGAGGACGTCGGAGACGCTCAGAAGAGGCCTTTGGTGAAGATGAGTCACAGCGCAACGTGCGACCCCGACTCGACGAGACTCCTCACCAAGGTCGCTCCCAAGAAGACATTCCTCAGGACTTCGGCATGATCTACAGCGATCAATCGATGCCCGAAATGGGTATGGATGCTCCGCAGCCTATGTCCGAGCATATATCACCCGCAATCTTGCCTTGGGTCGGAACCCCTTCAGTCGGCAGGGCCTCACTCCCTCCGGGTTCACACTCGCAGCGAGCTGCCCGCCAAACGAGCCTGCGCGGCAGCAGCATCCCGCCCTTCACTCCTCACCAGAACGACCGCAGCAGTGATGCCGGCGGTGGATTTAGCGGCATCCCCGGCTCCGACGCAGGACCGAGCGGTTTGCTCGACGGCATCGCTCAGCCAAACCAAGATGACTCGCTCTGGGCGCGGTCCGCAATGGACGTCGCAAGCCAGGAGTTCCTCCACTGGACTGAAGAGAAGGTCACAGAGACAGGTTACGCCAAGATGGGAGATACCAAAGAGAACAGACTCTGGGTCATGTTCGACAACCTCTGTGAGCCCGGACAGCAGGACCACACCGTCGCCGCCCAGGCCTTTTACCACATTCTTTCACTCGCGACGAAGAACGTTGTTGCTGTTGAGCAGGACATTGAGAACCTGGAGCCTTTCGGAACGATTCGAGTCGGAGTCGACATGACGGGGCGCCTCGAAGATATGGATTGAATGAACGACATGGTGCATTTTGAACGACGAATTTTCTGCAGCATATGGGGGTTTTATGCGCTGCAATTTGCTCTGGAAAAGGACGAAATTTGGGGTCGTTTGCTTTGAAAACTCGGTTTCTTCGTTTTTGTTTCTGTTTCTGCGGTTGATTGTTTTCAAGAAGAGGGGAGAAAAGGTGTTGCGGCAGTCAAAATGGGGTTCGTCTAAGAGGAAAGGGGTGGACGACGCAGGATTTGACAATATGGATTTGCTGCATTTCCCTAGGGAGGGATTTCACGATACATTTGCTAGGCGTCTTCTACATCCGCGCCATACACATTAGCTAGATTCACAGGAACGCAGATGATTTCAAAAGTTGTGTGGCATCAATGATCATGAGTTTCATTACTTCATACGCTAGGTAAAGCCAAGACATCTACTCGTAGACATCATCCTCCTCGCCAACACCCTCTCGATCCTCGAACTTCATGTACTGCACGTCGGGGTCTTCGGCTGCGGAACCCATGACTTTCGTCCAGGTATCATTGACCGGGTCGAGTGCCGCATCGCTGAAGGCGAGATCCAGCGGCAGACTGGGGACGACGAGGGATGCATCGGATGGAACAGGCGCACCCGCGCGGGCTTGCTCATAGGCGACCTTGTAGATAGCTTGAGGGTGGTTCGCACCATCGCTGAGGGCCAAGAGCAGTGCGTCCAGGGCCTTTTGCAAGGCTTCTGTGGATGCTGCTGACTTTGGTGTGATGAAGTAGAGGACGCCTGTGATGACTAGTTAGCCAGATGTTGACATATGGTTTTACAGAGTCAAAATAGATAATAAGGTGTACGATCAGGGTCACAGAAAGTTTTCGTCGAAGCATAAGCTCAGGCAATGTAGATAAGTTTTGACAAATCATCATGTACAACAAAATAGAAGAAAGACGGTGTGGACTTACTCTGACCAGATGGACATTCTCCCGTCTCGCTCGAGTGAGCAAAGACGTAGATGGGATAAGGTGACGCGACGTCCTTTACGGACTCCGCAGGCATCGCGATGACGGCTACAGCAGGCGTCGGCGCGCCTTCAACGGCGGCTTGGAACAGCGATGAGAGAGGCGAGTCGATGACGGCTGTCAATCTGCTCACGCGCTCCGCATCTGACGGCACATCCTCAGCACCGCGGACCAGCGCACGGGTTTTCACCGTGACATCGCTGGTCAGATCAACCTCGAACGTCGCGCCATCTTCCTGTGCTTCCAGCGGGCGTGTGGCTTTCATACCAGTGCCCAACATGTACACCGCGCCGCCGACAGCGCACGCGCGGCAGCCGACCTGTGCAATCTCTGACAAGCCGCCCCATTTCGGGTACACTGCCGCGAAGCCCGGTCCAAACGCCCCCATAGATGAGAGGTGGCGGTGGATGGCTGCCAAGCCAGCGCGCGTGGATATCGTGCCGTCGAGAGAAAGCGTGAGTGTGACGATGTACGTCTGCAACGCTGCGTCGAGCTTGAAATCCGTCGCAAGGAACTCCGCCAGAGGCTTGTCGGCGTGGGGAGTCCAGGTCCAGCGGTTGTCCTCCGAGTCGTAGTCAAAGACGGACTTGAGGAACTTCATCAGCGACCGCTTCGCCCTCGCCGGAATCGCGGTCGTGGAGAAGACGGCTTCGCGGGTGGAGGGGATCGGCACTATCGCTGCCGCGCCGCCATCATCGGCAGACGGGGTGTAGATGAAGAAGGATCCCACCGCGAGGAACTCAATCTGCCGGTACGCGCGGGAATCGACGAGCTGGGTGACGAGCGCCGAGCGCGTGTGTACGATCTGCGGCGCGAGGGCAAGGGAGTAGGCTCGAGGGGAAGAGACGCCTTGCTCTGCCTTTGTGATCGTCGCCGAGGAGAAGACGCCTGAGCTGGACGCGTTGGCGGCAGCCCATTCTTCCATCTCCTGGAGGGAGAACGCGGCTTCGGGACCGCCATAATACTCGTTGGGATCGAGGTGCAGGATTTGTTTTCCTGAGCGGGAGAGGGCTCTTTACGGCCGGAGAGGGCTGCGTCAGTCAGATCGAGGCTTTTGGAAGCAGCAACGACGACATTTTCGCGGGCGTGGAAAGAGGATGCTGAGGAAGAAAGAGAAGCTTACAAGGCTAGCAGCGACTGCTGCAGGCCAGTACCGTGGATGATGACATCCCACGTGTTCTCGGCCAGCGATTCCATATCGGACTGGAGGGTAAACAAGTCGAGGAGGGAAGAGAGAGAAACCAGAAGAAAAGTTTGCGAGGAGAGGTGAGGTTGGAAAAAAGGAAGCTTTGACGATTGGGGCCCTTAGTGGGGAAATGGAGGCTCTGGGTGCGCTGTTACGTAAGGCACTGTCTGCTCGCACGGTAGAGCCGCCCACTCTAAAAATTTCTGGTGCGTCGCTGGGCTTTGCGGATTTTCTTCTCTTCTTCAACCATCCGCCCGGTAAACCAGCTGCGAGTCACCAACAGTAGATTTGCAGCCTATGAGGGCCTTTCATTAGGCTTCCTCGGCGCTGGGCGGTAGAGAGATATTTTCCCTAGTATCTACTGCCTTGGAATAACGTCTGAAAAGGTGGCTCGAATTGTGGAATACATACTTTCACCGTAGACGTGAGCTGTGATTGACTGCCCAGTCTTGTGGACAAAATCTCGAGCGAATTTTGTTTGACTAGCTGATGCGTCTGCCTAGTGCTAGTCGACTGCCGTTTGCTCTAATGGATGTTGCCCTGCCGGAATATCCTACGTCAAACAGCTATTGCCATTCCTTATGCCCAGCCTGACTGTTCCTCCCTCCGTCCTCAATCCGTCTGGACGATGCGAAAGACAAGTCCCCCCAAAGAACTCCTTCCCAAGGTATGCTCATATCTCATAAAGTCGTGCTGTGAAGTAGAAAAGGAAATCAGGCGGAGCTGGAGCCCGAGTCGTCACCGGCCTTCATGGCGACGTGGTTGACAACTGTGCAGCCAGTGCTGAGCTTGCCCTTCTCCTCGCTACAGCAGGACATCACCCACATCAAGTTGACGTTGTCCTTGATGTCGTCGCTGGCCTTACTGGCATGGTGAAAGCCGATCTTATCCTCTGTCTCTACCTCTATAAGCCATTCGCCTGTTGCAGAATATTGTTAGCATAACTATAATCTCAAGGTGATTAGTAGACGTACCAGGATGATGAGATCCGCATTTCTTGTCCTCGTCGTTCTCGTCGTAGACCTTGCGGCACTGCTTGCAGACACGAAGGGCACGCTCAGGCTGCGAAAGGACGTCGCCGAGCATGTGGTGAACCGAAATGCCGGAGTCGTGCGAAGCCTCCGATGAGGCGCGGACGGTGTTGCGCGTAGCGCGGCGCGAACTGAAGACGTTGGGGATGTGAAGGTGGTCCGCGAGCTTGGTGACTAGCTCACGGGTCTTTGCATCCGCATCGACGACCGTCTGGAGGATTTGAAGGAGATTATCCTTGTCGCCGGCAACGAGGCGCTTAGAGATATCGATGTCGGACATGATCGTCGAATCGCGGGTGTTTGAGGGGTTTGGTTTCGTTGAAGAATGGTAGAACCCTTCGTTTGGGTGAAAGGTGTTTTGATTTTGTTTCTTCCAGGAGCTTGAGAGAAATCTTTTGGAAAGAAGTAAACAAGACGTGTTAAGGCGGGTGCATGTAGCTATGCAGCTTCCTTCTCATGACAGCCGCATCGGGTGGGTGCGGCTGGTGAAGGGGATTGCCGACTCATCAAAGCTCATGACAGGAAACATGCGCGCGTTTGCCTGTAATGAGGCAAAACGAGAAAGAGAAGAGACAGAGTACAATGAAGGGGAGACAAACACTGCTTTCCCCAAAACTTTTGATTTTTGCTTCCTTTACCGGGTATCATTATCTTCATGGCATGGCCTTCCTGACCTCCTCCCATCTCTGCTCCGCAACACCGACAAACTCCCGAATCAGCTGTGGCTGCAGCGCCGTGCCGCCGTGCTTTGATATCGCCAGAATCTTGGTCTCCTCTCCGCTGCGATCAACCACCGCCGTAACCTCCTCGTCACAGAGTCCCTCCTCCAATGTGTCCGGATCCACCAGAGTCCAGAACTTGCCATCTGCGGGCTTGTCGGTCGTCTCCTTGCCCGTGAAGACACCCGCCGTGCAAGCGACGGGGAAGCCATTGATGGTAAGGGGCTTAGGGTTGTCGCGGGAGCAGATGACCATCTCACGGTCCGGGTCCCAGCGGGCGATCGGAATAGTCGTGTCGCGCAGGGCAGCGAGGACGGAGGCCCAGGCAGCGTCGAACGGGTTGCCGTCAAGGGAAATGAAGAAAATGTCGATGTAGAGGACCCAGTACGCAATGACCACCTTCTCGCCCTCCCCCTTGTCTCTATCGTCCTCCTCCATCTTGTCCTCGTCATCGTCTTCGGCAGCGTTCTCGGCGGGGCGGGTGTACCATATCCTCAGATCTTCGGCGTCGAGAAGCTTGGAGGAGTGCAGGAGAGAGTACACTCGTGTGCTCAGGGTCTGGGCGAGGGTCGTCGGGGGAACACCGGGGAGGAACTGAGGCGCGCAGCCAGTGGCAAGCTCAATATTCGGCACGAGCAAGTCGTAATCCTTCAGCTCTGCGGCGCCGTCCGTCTCGGTTGTGGTAAGGGCGTTGTGGCGGCGGAAGTTGGGAATGTCGGAGGCGAGAATGGTCTCGGCACGGACGCCGCAGATGGCGGTTGTGTCGCCGGTACGAACAACGGCACTGCCATTGGCATGTGTGAGGGAAGATGTGTTGATGTTCGGGATTCGGGCCTCATCGGGACGGCGGCCATTGCTACGGGCTGAGTTGGCAGGCGCGGGCGGTTGGAGGTTTGCGAGGAGGAACGGGTGGGGAGAGAGCTTTGCGAAGGTATCGCGGGGTAGGCCCTTCGAAGTAGCCATTTTCACAATTTATCTGTGCGAGGCGAAGGCGACGAGAAATTGCGAATCGAAAGCCTTGAGATCGAGAGGTGATGCTGTATGAGGTGGGATGGACGAAGGTGAGAGCTGGAAATTTTGGGTGGAGTCGGAGGTCGGCGTCAGTGGCTCCGGTGGGGCACCACCCCGAGACCCGGGCGCCGGCTGTGTGGTGAGGTTATGTCCACCTCCCACATCGACTGGCACGATCTTTTCCAGCGCATCGCCTGTCTACACCTCTGTCGCTTCGTCATGTGTTGCTATAATGACGCGCTTGCCTCGACAACTTTTCCGTGCTTATTATGACGACTCTGCATATCCATTGTGACTCTGCTGCCTTCAGGCCGGCTGGCCTGGAGCTCGGTTGGGCAGGCTAGGGAAGTATGCCAGCTGGCACTAATGGGGTTCTCGCATCTAAGCGACCGTGAAGTGATGCGGTGTTTCTTTTGGCTAGGTGACTCGATTGGGCGTTGTGCATTTCAGCCGTCGCTTGAGACCCGCAGGGGGCGACACGCATTTGCCTGATCAAAATATTGAAGCCCAAGTTTGCATCGATTTTAACAAAGACCAACATTCTCGCTGAGCCGACCGACAAGATGAGTTCCAGACAGGGGTTCAGAAAGAAGCTCAAGCGGATCTTTCATGGTCACAAGGACGGCGAGATCTCAAGACGACCAAGTCATGCCGGGCCCAATGCACAGCAGCAATCAAGTGTGTCGGCAAACTCGGGATCTAGCTACGTAGCCATGAATGATCCGTCGGCAGAATTACGACCAGTTCCGGCCTCGGATACCGCGAGCCCGCCCCAAGAGCGGCCGCAAGAAGCTCCAGCACAAGAGCTGCTAGGTCCCCAAGAAAATGGCAATTCTATCCGGCAGCTTTGGGCTGTGGCATACAAGAGCCTCCGAGACGAGAAGGATTCGCCTATCCAAGCCTTCTAGGATCAAATCCGTCGCAACTTGAGTTCTGACATCGCTGAGACAATAGAATCGCACGCGAATACGAAAGACTGGATGAGCAAGGTTGTCCAAAACCAGATGGATCAAGTCAAACGAGACACCCTGAAGCTGAGATTTGGCAAATCTGAGGTGGAAGCCCAAGATGTGGTGAAGTCAGTCCTAGCCGTTGTCGATTGGAGCAAGATTTTGTTACCAAGGCCTTGAGCGGAAACCCCACTGCTTCCATTGCTTGGGGTGGCGTGAGCCTTTTATTGCCGGTAGGTCAATGCCCTTCACACAATTCAACATCGGAGGACTGACGCGTTTTCGATGATCTGCCAGCTCTTTTTGAACCCACTCGAACAAGCCTCCTCACTAGCCAAGGGACTGGAGCACATTTCATCTCTTATAGTTCGCAGTTCTATGTGGGAGGACCTCTACGTGCGGCGTTACGAGCCTGCAACTTGGGACACACTACCAGAGTCGCATGCTGAGTACCGGCGCGCTTTGGAAATGCTGTATCGAGAGGTGCTCAGATTTCAGATTGTCTGTTATGGCTACTATAGCCACAAATCTGCCGCTCGTCTGGCTTTGGATACTGTGAGGCATCATGGCTGGGACGAGCTGCTTGAAAAGATCAAGTATCAGGAGACCGAATTCGACAAAATGAGTCATAATTGGCGAGACAAGGTGTACAACGAGGAATGGGAAAAAGCAGAGACACGGCATCAGGAAGCCATGGGTCAATGGCGAACAATTGGAACGGATGTTTCCGAGCTCAGGAAACAAGTTAAGGAAATCCAAAAAGATGAGAAGCGCAAGAATATGCTCGAGTGGCTTTGGGAGGGCGACATTTCCGTTCAGTATAGAGCTGCTCGCGAAAAATACAGTAAAGGGACCTGCGAGTGGCTGGTTCAAGAAGGTGAGGGTTTCAAGTTGTGGGAACGAGATCCCAAATCTTTCCTATGGCTTAATGGAAAAGGTATGTCACACGCTAATGTTCTATGATCCTCCTCCGCTGATAGCACATAGCCGGCTCTGGGAAATCAATTCTGAGCTCGTCTGTTATCAAATACTTGAAGGACCAGTACGAACAAAACCCGGAAACCGCGCTTGCATATTACTTCTTCAGCTTTGGCAATCTGGAGCAACAGAAAGTGTCCGCCATGCTCTCGTCGCTTGTGCGCCAATTGTGTGCCAGTCGCCCTGATACATCACAGCCGATCAAACGCTTCGAAGGTTACATGGAAAAAAGCGAGCGGCCAGACATAGAAGCCCTTGAAGCAGCACTCTTAGCTGCTGTTAGTGGGTTTTCAGCGGTATTAATTGTTGTAGACGCTCTCGATGAGTGCCCAACTGGCGAAGGGGAGCGTTCGAGGCTTTTGGACTGTCTCACCCGCATCATCACCGCAATGCCGGATAATCTCCATATCTTTTGCACAAGCCGAGCCGAGCCAGATATTCATGTGATGATGGAGGAGGTGTTGTCTCTGCCGGCAAAAGCCGCCATTGATCTCACGCAAAATCGCGTGGGCTTAGACAATGACCTGGAACTGTACATCGACACCGTCTTGGATGCGAAAAGAGACCCCTAACGTTGGTGGTCCCGCAAGGTGAAGGGAGAGGTCAAGAAGGAGCTGATCGCGAAAGCAGATGGAATGTAAGTCGAATTTCCAAAAAGTGACGTAGACTATGGCGGAACATTGTAGCTAACATCCGCTCTAGGTTCCAATATCTCATTTGCCAGTTCGAAATCCTCAAAGATGTGGACTCGGAAGCACTGGTAGCCCCGACACTACATCGCCTCCCTGACGGACTCGACGAGACATACAACAGGCTGCTCCGAGACCTAGGCCGCAGGTTTCAATCGCAAGTCCTGAGCTCGCTCAAATGGCTAGTGCTATCGAGAAGGCCCTTGCATCTCGACGAATATGCCGAAATTTTCATCTTCCGTCCTGACACTGTTGCCAAGATCGACGCGACGCGACCGAGCGGCTATTTGACTCGGAAGCTGTTCTGCGACATTTCTCTAGCCTTTTGACTACTGAGACGAAAGATGAATGGAACGATGAGGATCGGGAACGCCGAACCATCACATACGTCCGCCTCGCTCACTTCACAGTCAAGGAGTATCTAATGTCTGAACGCATCGAACAAAGCATTGCCAAGGAATTTTATTTTACGAAAGCGGATGCTGACTTGCATATCGCGCATTGCTGCCTGGCTTATCACTTATACCAAAGTGCTGAGAGAACAAAACATGACGAGAACCTCCCTTTAAAGCGCTATGCAGTCCGAAACTGGGAACTGCATTTGGAATCAGTCCCGCGCAAGCTGTGGACGCCTGAGATCGTCCTCCTGGCGGAGCGCGCGCTCTACATGCGTAGTGTGAGCCTCAGGGAGATTTGATTTGAAGGACAATTAAGGAACCGATGGCACTCATATTGGGATCGAGTTTACAACTTGATGCAGCGGCCGTACTGCTACACCGCTGCGCTCGGCTACCTTGAGCTCACCAAATTGCTGCTTCGGAAGGGTCCACAGACCAGCAGATTCCTGATCCAGGAAGATCTCGACTTAGCCCTCCGAGAGGCAGCGGAGGAGGGGCGTATTGAGATGGTCCGCTTTTTTCTCGACAAACGTGATGGCACCAATGAACGAAGTCAGAGCACCGGCGGGGCGCTGCAGGCTGCGGCGTACGAAGGTCATGAGGCGGTCATCAAACTCTTGCTGGACAGAGGAGCTGATATCGATGGGCACGATGACAGATTTGGATCAGCTCTGCAGGCCGCAGCAAAGGGCGCCAAACTAAAAGCCTTGCGAATGCTTTTGGACCGCGGGGCCGACGTAAGCATGGCAGGATGTCCTGTGTCGTGTCTCATAGCGGCCTATAAGGACAAGGACGAAAAGCTTGTCATGGAGTGCACACAAGTTTTGGAGCTTCTTCTCAATAAGGGTGCTAATATCAACAGGAAGTGCACTAGGCACGGGAGTGCATTGAACCAGGCAATCAGAACATGGCTACGTGAGGGAACGCGTAGCTTTTTTGACTTTGCCGTGCAACACGGCGCTGACCTTGAGTTGAACGATGGGCGACATGGTTCCCCGCTCCAAGCGGCATGTGTCAACCCCAGTGAACTGGCTGGACAATTTGTTGATGAATCTCGAACCAAAAAAGTGGTTGAGGTCCTGCTGCGCCTAGGGGCCGACCCAAATGCCCAGGGAGGAGAGTGCGGTAACGCACTTCAAAAGGCGAGTTATCACCTTTTCGCTTTCTTTGGTGTGATTGAGCTTCTTCTAGAAAAAGGCGCGAAAATCAACCAGCAAGGAGGCCGTTATGGAACAGCATTACACGCAGCCTGTGCGATGCCGAACGCGGATTCCGTCAACACACTGCTTGCTGCAGGTGCTGACCTTCATGTACAAGCTGGGGAGCATGGAAGCGTCTTGCACGCGGCGATTGCCGAGGGATACGTTTTGGATCACAACATACGTATTGCGCAAAAGCTGCTCGACAGTGGCGCCAATGTCAACGCACACGGTGGCAAATTCGGAAGCGCGCTATAAGCCGCAGTTTCGTCAGAAGGTCGCTGGACTGACCCGCAAGCTGTAGAGAAATTGCTACTCAGCAGCGGCGCAGAAGTCAACGCGCAGGGAGGGATATACGGCACAGCACTACAAGGCGCGTGCGTACGAGGCAAAATGAAATCGGTGGCCTTGCTACTTTCCCGCGGTGCTGAGGTAAACATCAAGGGAGGTAGGTATGAAACCGCGCTTCAGGCGGCGTGTGCGAACGAAGAACAATACTCGAAAGAGCATTGTGATCTAGCGCGCTTACTGATAGAACATGGTGCCGACGTCCACGTTCAGGGCGGGCATTTTGGGAGCGCATGGCATGCTGCAGCTGCGATACCCAAATGGGACAAACAGGCCCACGAAACGTTGGAACTGCTGCTTGACAATGGTGTTGATGTGAACGATTGCCGTAGTCCGCACGGCACTGCTCTGCAGGTTGCACTTGAGCACCTCAAGGATGACTCCGAATATACTGACGACACGATCCGCTTTTTCATCAAACATGGCGCTGATATCAACCTGGGATCCGGTCCATATGGTTTTCCACTGCAGTCGGCATGTCTAGCGCCTACAAATAATCCAACTCGTCTTAACACCCGCGGCCTCGTTTACCTTCTCGAAAATTGCGACAACATCGATGTAAATATGACAGGCGGGCTATTTGGTACGGCGTTACAGGCAGCAGCGTACGCAGGCAAGGGAAAGGCTGTTAAGTTGCTTCTTCAGAAGGGCGCGGATGTCAATATTCGCGGCGGAAAGTACAGGAGCGCGCTCAATGCGGCTGTGATCAAAGGATATTGGGATGTTGTCGAGACACTATTGGATGCCGGAGCCGAGCCAGACTGCCATCGGCCCCCGAACCCAATGAGGAATGGCTCGATGGTGTTGGCAAGGAAGATGGACGCAGTGCTGTGGAGCGGTACTGGAAGGTTTGGGAGGAGCTCAAGATGGACGAGAATAGAACAGGAGAAGAATAGAATGCCAAGCGTTGCTTAGCTTGTACATATAAAAGCACAGAACACAAATTAATTGTTTCTGAGTACTTAGTGGGCAGCGTCGATACGGCTAGATTCATACCACCTGATTCTCGTCTTGCAAAACAGGAAGACAGGTGCTAGGCGTCGGTTTATTGGACTCCAGGTGATTTTCACATAGAGCATCAAACAAGAACGCGGTACTGGAGACTAGAGGAGGTACTGTAGCACAAGAATAAGTTGCATAGAGAGTCTCGTCCATACATCACCTTTGCTTTTGGTAGGCTGCTGTCCTCCGGTTTTCTTCAGGAAGAACCTCTTCGGGAACGGATATGCCTCTGATTTAACGAGTCATGACACATCATTTAAACTCTCGCGGGCTTTCCTGCCGAAGAACTATCGAGAAAGCTTCTCGCAGACTTCTCACCACGTTCTTCATTCATGCCATCACGTCTGCCTTCTGCTACGGCTTCGCAAGCTCGCCCAAAGTTTTATACTACAACCAGCAACTCACCGTCCCGGCTCTCGAGTCAGACCTACCAAAATAGACGAGAAGACCAAAAATAAAATAAAAAAATAACGTGGATCTTTGCTTTTTTGACCGGATAGCCAGTTTACACGTAACCAGAAACTGCCATCACGATGAGCATCGCCGCTACCCTCAAGCAGATCTTCGGCCCAGAGATCAGAGATAATAACCGCCTCAACACCGCTCATCTCGCAATCGCCACCCGAGGCTACCACATCCAGACAGAAATTCTTCACATACCGGAGCGATTCGGCATTTTCTCATCCGGCCCTCCCCGCCTTCAAGCCCATCAAGGTTTCCTGTTCGTAATCCAAATGGTACTTATGGCTATTTGGGGCGTTCCTGCGGCGTTCGGTCTCCTATTGCTCAGGTACACGGACCGGGAGTTGCCAATGGCTCCCTTTGTGAAGTACTTTGGACTTATGTTTCTGAGTATGATCGGGATGTTATGGGTTGGGGCATGTCTCAATAAGAGACGAGCACCAGATTACGACTGGGGGGAAAGGAAAGTGCATCAGGAATGATAGCTACTGTTTAGCTATACTCTATTGAGGATGTCTAAAAGTACTGTAATTTCATGCTTCAGGAACCCTGCTTTAGCATTTGGCCATTTCCTCCATTGTATTCTCAAACTCTGTGTTCTCTCCCTCCTTCACCTTCGCTGTCTTGTGCCAGGCCATCCTCTTTATTGTTCAGGATATCCAGATTTGTCCCATGGTCCAAGAGGAGACACAGCTGACCTTCGGTAGAGCTTGCTTGCGACCTGACTCTCCTGAGCTTGACACAGATATGCCTCCGGAGGCAGCCGAAGCCTGGATCTCTGTAACAGCAGGAATCCTTACGCCGCGCATTAATGATCGACGCTCTGAACTGTTTGTCTGCTGATGTCTTACACTAATTTGCTAACCGAGAATGTCATGATCGCGCTGCGAGAACGCAGCCTGACGACAGCGGATTGGTATGGCTGGCTTGACGCAGTCTCGTGAATCGGGACTAAGAGCAAGTTTTTGCTTAGCCTGCGAACAATTCAATATGATGAAGGAAACCAAAAACTGACATATTGCCTATATGTCAAAGAGTTTTGCAATTTGGGCGGAGAGACCGTCCGGACAGCCAAAATCCTCATTCAGTCAGAAATACGTGGGACACAACGAAGGAAACCAGCCAGTGAGCTGGCGCCGCCGACAGTGAGCCCATAAGGCCGCTCGAAGAAGTCCGCGAGAATCTGTCTCCACCTGAGGACCCTCCGACAACGAAGTGAGAAAATTACTCCATGGGAGCATATTCTGCCGAACAAAACATCCAACTTAGGGCAAACTTATAAGAGAAATCTCTCCGAGTTTCTTTTCTCATGGCATTGAAAACACTTCCCCATCACCCTCAGGATGGAGAGATACACTTGTCGCGAGTTGAAACAGATATGTCTGAGTCTCCCAATTCTTCGACGGGTACCTATTTAAGGTTGAGTCGACCGGAATTTGAAATCAATAATCTGCCAGTGCTATCGTCACTGAGAAGATCATGATCTGACGGGCGATGTCGACTTCGACAGATACAATAGAAGCTCCCGTACGATAGTTGCGTGAGCTGGACCTGGTTGACCTTCAGTGGATGTACTTATTGGCTTTCCCACAGAATACCTGAAAAATGACACAACGACAGAGACGACCAGAAGTTTCAATCCTTACCATGCGGCTCCGGAGAGAATCGCTCTATCATGTGTCACGACATCTTTCATACCACAAGATTGTCCTACCGAAGCCGTCTTACTAGAACAGACAGTGTTTTTAGAGATTGACATTTTGCGGATAGCAAAAATATGTATGACATTGCTCAAGACGTATTTACCAGACTCACGTCGTCAGACATTGTCCTCACGACCAAGGATGGAAATTCGCAGCGATACCGTAGCCTTCACGAACCATCCCTGACACTAACCGAATTGGTTATAAATACTTCCAATACCTGACTATTGAAACTTCACGCAGACAATACTATAGTAGTAGTTAACTGAACCCCTGAATGGAAAGACTCAGGTGGCTGTGTTTACAGCAGTTGGGATTGAACAGTTGCTGATGTCCCGTGCCGTTTCTGCCAGACTGGACACCGCAGCCTCAGCTGAGGCGACCCTCTTCTGGCGGTTAATTATTATTCTATTCATTCTAGAGCTACCCTACGAAGAACATTGACGGACACCAGCAAACAATCAGCGATGCCCACATGCTTCCGGTGCTCACTTCCACGACATGCGTTGGGTCACAGGAAGTTTAGCTCACAGGAAGGTTAGTAGACTAGAGAACCGAAAACTTGCACGAAAAACCCATTTGCGTCGAACCCTTCCAGTACACTCCTAGGACCATCGTATATACGGGAGTCAGTTTCCACAGGTAGTGGGAGCTATAGTGAATGACAATCCATTCGCCCTTATGAGTGTCTCAACATACGTCACAACCCGAGAGCTCCTTTCCGGAAGGAGCAATATATCTGGCCTCGTGATAGAAGTACTTGAATTCGAGAGTGACAGGTGAGCATCTGATAAGCAGCAGAATTGCGCGGCGACTTGCAATCTGAGTACCACCCACCAATGAACCATAGCCCGCACGACGATAGCGAATAGACCTCACTCTACTTCACCACTACTCGACACTGTCACACATGTCTCCCGTTTCCAAGTATTCAGATCCAACCAAACAGCCGAGAAAAGCGACGCATACTATCGAAATCCTATTGACGTCTCCTACGAATCTCCCATCTGGTCACGTTCAGCGTCAGCGTGAACTTAGAACGGGTAAGTACGTCCCCAGGGCTAAGAAAACCACCACATTTTGCTGGAGGCAAAGGGAGGGATGAATGACAAGACTGCGCTTATCAGCCAGAACGTTTCGCCGCACCTCTGAGTTGAGCTTATATACCATAACTCAACACCACCTCCAGTCCAAGAGCCAGGGAAAGCTCACACAAATCACCTATAGAAAGGCACCATCAGTCACGTCCTAAAGCCAAACAAGCCAGCCAATGATGAACAAGGCAGCCAATGATACACAGCAATCTTCGGGGTTGAAGCTCGAGATACCATATATTCGTGCCCAACTACCTCAATCCAAACCACCTCCTGAAAAGAGTGCCTCACCAAGCAAATCCTTACCTGCCTCTCCTAAATCGGCGCTACCCCTCTCTGATCTTAGTGTATCATGTCAGAATACGCATGTGAGTGCAAATATAGCAAGCTATCACGTTGACACCGCATCAGACAACGGACAATCATGGTATGTAAACATATAAGCGATGTCGCAGGTTCGGGCGTCACAGGCCAAGAATGAATGGATTCTCGTCGTGGAAAGTCCTCGTCGTTAGGGGGCCACGATACATATTTATTACCTTTCAGGGCGCGCACGACGTCACGTGTGCAAGTTACGTGATGACTTTGACAATTCAGATCTTTCCAAGACAGCTTCAACATGTGCAAAGCGTTTTGTTCATCTCATGTATTAAGTGTAAGTGTCATCAGCAGCGGACATGCCGCGATTAGGTAGGTATACATCATCATCCCGTGGTATCGAACGCCAGGTATTTTCCATCCAAGATCGTCATCCATCAGTACAAATACAGAGCCATCATCAAGCCCGGCTCATAGGGCATAGTTCTCAGTATGTAAGTAAATCTCCTCAAGCATATCGTCACCCCAGATCGCCGCCTGTAACCTGGCGACAGTGTTTGCGACACCAACTCTCATGGCCGGTGGCCCGCAGACAAAGACTGCTGTCCTTCTGCCGAGGATGCCTCTGCCATCAGCGCCACCAGTCGCCCACTCCTTGAGCATGTAGCCGAGATCGGGACGCCCGTACTCGACGCTCCAGCCGCCATCTATCTGATGTGGAATTGGGAAGGCAAAGCGCATCAGGTTCTTTTGGAACTCAGTCGGTGTTTCAGGGAAACCAAAGTCGAAGCCGGACGGCGGGCCGAAGGTGCTAGTGGGTCGGGTTTGGTTTTGGTTGGGAAGGTTCATGGTTCGGAGGTGGACCAGCTCCGGTGGTCGAATCGGGGCTTCGGTCTCTTCCGGGTTGGGGTCGGGCACCTTCCGCGGTGATGGCGGCGCGTAGTTGAAGTGTGGCTGATCACCCTTCATGCTGACACGAGGGAAATGGAACTCGCCGTCTTCTCTCTTGGCATCTGGATCATGCTCTCCATCGTAATCGCGACCCTCAAGTCTGCGAAGCGACTCTTCTTGTGGAGAGAAGCGGTTTGATGGCGGAGGTCCAGGTGGTGGAGGGGGATATTGGTGAGGCTGGAGGTATTTCTGTTGAGGCAGGGCGGTAATCCTGTCCTCTTGCTCGTCGCGAAGCTCTTGCTCCCGTTGTGGGTCGCCTTGTGCGACGGACTGAATGAGCGCCGAGTTGCGCTTCGATGCGATGCCCGCGACAAACCCGTCAAGTTTGTCGTGGAACAGGTGGCTTAGAGCTCGAGGTGCACCACGGTCACCTGCATCTATCATCATGCCTCGGTTGCGCACCGCCGATGTGACAAAGAACTTGCAGGTGACACTTTCAGGAGGTGCGGCTTCACGACAGATCCGCAACTCCTCGCGGAACCAGTCCATTGCCTCGAGTCTCTTCAGAGCCCATACAACCACCACCTTTTTCGTGATCGCCTTGCCATCGCGCATTCGCTTGATGAGGTTCAGCAATTGAGACATCAATGCCGTGATGCCGCTGCCGCCCGCGATGAGAATGCAAGTGTCAAAGGCAGCGAGATCCCTTCGCATGCCTCCGTAAGGACCGTCCAGGAATGCTCGATATGTGTGGAAGGGGCCCTTTTCGATGGCTGTGTCGAGGACCTTTCGGGTGAAACCACCATAGGGCTTGAAGACCAGCATGCAGTCGCGGTACTGCTCGCCGTATTCGGAGGGGAAGTCATCGCTGCATAGCGAAGCGATGGTGAAGGGGTGGTTATCGAAGAATGAGATGCCCGGCATGCGCAGGTAGACGTACTGGCCAGGCTTCCACCGCATTTGGGTGGGAATGGTGATCTTGATCGCGTTCTCAGCAAGGAGAGTGATGGCAGCTTCGTCACCCACCATGAAACTCAGCCTCCATGGCATGGTCCAGTTCAGGTTGAAGAGGCGCAGGAAGTAGCAGAACGCCCAAATGGCAATGGTTGCCCAGAGGTAGTCCCACGAGGCAAGGAAGTTCTTGGTGTGCCAGAACAAAAGCCCAACGTACACCATACCCACGGGTACGTGAAGCATGACGAAAACTTCGTAGGCCATGCGTCGAATGAAGGGAAGGGATGCAACGCATAGCCAAACCAGAGGAACCAGGCACGCAATACCCGTGCCGTAGATGACACCGCTACCGCCGGCGAACAGCCGCGAGAAGACCTCCATACCGCCATCATCCCACACCGGCTGGATGTAGAACGGGACGGTGTGCACCAGCGAAAGAAACAGGCAGAGATATCCGGCCCAGCGGTGGAAGACATTGAGGCGCTCAGGTCCAATGCCAATGAGAATCGACATGATGTTGGCTTTCATGCTCGTCACGACGATCCAAGGAGTCAGGGCCACGGCGATCATGCCGGCACGAATGGCGACGGGAGGTGAGCCGAATTGGATACTTTGCCAGTAGAGTGGCTGTTGGAGGAAACAGTAGAGTGTCACAAAGGCCAGAGCAATGAAGCCGCAGGTCAAGACGGCGAGCGAGGAAAAGGTGAATCGGTGGCTGCCCCATACGAAGTCGGGAATGGGTCGGTAGAAGACCCAGCGGAACAGGGCCAAGGTATCGTTGACGAATCCGACGGAGGAGAAGTGAGCCTTTGGCTTGAACTGCTTCTCCCCAAGACCTTCTCCTTCGGGGAAGAAGTGCTGTGTCTGTCCGGTTCTCAATGCGTGGGCGTATTCGGGATCGGTACTGTAAAGGTCGGCATAGTGCTGCTCCACCTCCTGTTTGTAGATGGCTTGGCGGATCTTGTCTTGCCAGAAGTGCCAGAACCGCATGAATAGGACTGTGCCCATGAGGGCCAGCGCAAAGTAGGTCCACCCCAATCCATACTTTCCAGACTTGATCCAAGGGTCTACGGTGAGGGCCTCAATGAGACCGGGTGGGCTGTCGGGTGTGAGTGTGATTGCGATGCGCTTGACGAGTCGTGTCGCCTCATCCGTGGCGGCGTTAGCCACGCTGCGAAAATGGGAAGCCATTGCAGCGAAGCGACGACGCTTGAACGAAGCAACGGGAGGGCGGCTAAGCGCAGAACACGGAGGTTCTCGTCGACATGCGGCGCGGGTGATTCGATGCTACTCTAAGGATTTCGGGGCGAGTTGGAGAGGTCGTCGAGTAGTGGCTGTCTTAGAGTTGTTCCAAGCCGCGATGGTTCTAATCCATGTGCCGTGTGTGTTCAGGTGACGTTGGGGCTGCTGCTGACCGAGGAATGCCAGATCCCTCCGAGTAGAAGCAAGGAACAGAGAGGCGACAGAGACGACAAAACGAGGGACGGGGCAAAAACGCGGGAAAGAGGAACCGATCCGCAAGTTCGGGAGCCCACAGGGGATATATGGATGTGAGATCGGAGGCGCTCCGAGGTGGAGAGTCCCTAGTGGCTTGATACTGACGGAGGGCGGCGTGATGAGGGCAGTTGTCGACAGGACTGTCACGTTGGTGACTGGCAGGCCTCGAAGCGCAACTAATCAGAGTGTGGTGGCATCTGTGGTGTATACGATGGATGATAAGGCGGCGAAATTGCCATGTGGAGGGGTCGAGAGGATGCGGCCTGGGTGTGGTCGTTCAATCAACGGCCAGAAGAGGGTTCGATGGCTTCGTTGGCTCCGGTGGTGAAATGTGAATGGTACCGGGCCCAGCGGCTGACCGTACTTTAATATTGGCTGGTCGCGATTGTGGTCGTTCCCCGCCGCTGGATGTCACACAATGCAGGCCGGACGTGGGCGCTAGAAGGGTGGATGCGATGCAGGTGAACAGACTGCAAGCTGCAAGCTCTTGGCCAGGTGTGCGTCGAGGTACGGTGGTACGGCCGTCTGCTCGGCAGAGGGAGACTATTGAAGATGTGGACCGGGGTACGACTGCGGGAGGGCGTTGGTTCTTGCGCCATAGGTGTGATCAGCCGAAGATAAAATTTCCGTGGTAGCAATCGCTGACGGCGGCTGGCTCTGGCCCTCGTCACTGGCAGTCGGTCTTCTGCGAGGACGTCGTATGCCGGTTGGTCTCCATTAGGCAGCCGAATAGCCAACTGGAAGCGGGGAAACCGCTGTCGACTTTTGTGTATCCGGAGTTGGTGATCGGGGCAACGTCGAACAATGGCAGTGACTTGTACGTGGTCGTTCGTGGCTCAACGGTGCTGACGACAGCAGTGGTCCTCTCCTTTCCTCAACGCTAGTTCGTCGCTTCAGTCACGCGAGGACATGACACGAACTGTCGGTTCCCTCTTCCATCCTTCTGGGCCAGTAGCCAGTGGGAAAACGTGGGCGTCGTGGAGGACACCTCTCTCTCGCAGAGGAAGCGGCCCATCAAGCAGACCGCCGATGGAGACATGGGAATGGAATTGACCAACAGCGGGCAGTGGACAGCAACGTACTACGAGGCGAGGCCCTGCAGAAGATGCGCGACCCAGCACACATGGTGGACGGCCGCATATTGCAAAAGGCCGAGTTTCTTGGATGGCGGTCGAATGACAGCGGACGACGGCTTTGTGACGGGCAAAGTGGACAATGTGCAGTTGGCAGAAAAGGGTCGACAAAAGGCGGGAAAGTGCTGGCTGCCAGATGTGATTCGCAGGATCGAGGTGGAAAAGAACACCAGTGGGGTCCCTTCCCCCGTCCCCTGCTCCCTGACGGGCGGCAATGTCAAGCTGCTGATTGGCTGTGGTCTCTCCTCGTTCAGTGTCTGTGCATCCTGGACGCTGCGCTAGAGCAGGGCCCGGCCGCCCGCACCTGGCTTCTATCCACTAAAGCTTGCCTTGCTTGCCCTTCCCGGCCCAAGCTCCCGCCACCAAAACGACTTCGCAGCGTTCGCAGTGTTCCTCAGCTGTCACCTCCATCCATCTCGGCCATCTTGGCCCTCCATCTTCTCATCTCGCCTTATCTCATTCGCTATCTCATGCAAAGTCCTCCGAGGGCTTTGGGGGGGCCGCCTGATCTGGCTTCACGCCTCCGGATCCAATTCTCCCACTGGCCGGTACCTGACTGCTGCACTGCACCTCATGCCTCCACCAGGCCGGACCTGCGACCCGTGAGCAGACCCCAATGTCGAGATGTGTATGCGGAACATTGAGGGGAATCATGTCCGCTTGCACACTCGGTTAAGGTCTGTTCCACGTTCATCCGGTGAATCATTGCTGACACCAAACATGTGTCTTTCGCTTTTTCTAACGGGCTTCTAGAAGACGGCGTCGGAGGCGTCAACGCCACCACTGACGATGTGTCGATAGTATTCCACATCGATGGAACAAATACGTAAAGAAGGCCATCATAGCCGCCCACAAACCGTCCACTGACACACGGAATCCCCTGCTGTCCGCGCCAACAACGACTTACAAGAGAGAAAAATCTTTCAAAATCGAAAGCCCCTCACCTCCGCGGCTGCGCGGCTACTCCTGGCGCCGCCGGTGCCCACCCCGAAGATCATGGGCGACATCCAGACATCGATAGCGTCGTTTGCCCATCGGAACATCCCAACACGCAACCAAGTAATCAACGAGTGGGACATCTCCCTCCCATCCAGATCCGGAAGCCGAGCCATCAAGCCCTCCCAAAGAGGTGAACAGAGCCAGACATCGAACCCCGCCGCCCAGCGCTCCCCGGTTGCCGCCGCCAATGGCATCTTCTCGAGATGTGATGAATCTCTCGGATCCCTGTCGTTTGCAGAGACTCGTCCACCAACATCTATCTACCCAGGGCACGATTTCGCCCGCAAAGTCGCTCTCAAATCATACGGTCAAATCAACAATCCATGCACCCATCATCGCAAGTCAATGCAATGCAGTCCGCGATTTCTCGTCACCAACCGCCAAGGCCATCTCTGCCTTGGAAATCAATCTGCAAAAGCGTAGCAAACAACTCGCCCAACACGGTAGGTGGCTTCACAACCGCTGCCGCCGGCTAGCAAACATTCAACAACCCCCCTGTCCCTTGCTTGAACCCGTCGTGTCCCGCCCGTCCCGGTCCTGGCCCGGTGTGATGCGCAGCCCCCAGGCCCCATCCCGGCCACCGCCCGCATGTCCATGTCCATCAATCCTTGCGGGGTTTTCCCTCTGCTTGCTCACCCGTGCATGTCTCGCAGCCCAGCCATTCTTTTCCCAAGAGTCGGGCACTTGCAGTCTTGCATATCTGCCCTCTGCTCGATGGCATCGTACGAGCTGCGCGTGTACCTTACCTTACCTCACCTTGCCGTTGCGTAACTTGCCATCTCCCAACGGCGCGCCACCTCAAGGTCGTGGCACTTCTCCCTTCGACTGCAAAAATGTGTCTCACTGTCGATGCAACCCCGTACGACCCAGCGGTGTGGGATCTGGGTCGAATATGCGGAGGACTTGGAGGTAGCATCGCCGACCTGCACCCGTCAGCACTACGCCCAAGAATAGCCAAAACGCCTTGGAATAAACAAAACACCGAATGTACTCCATGAGTGATGAAACAGCAAGTCTGACAGGCAGGCGCATGTCTAAATTTGACAAATTTAAGAAGCATAATGATCCTTTTAACCACGGAAAAGTGCAAATGGCAAAGACCGCCTGAATTCTCTGTGTCTGCACGGCTGCAAGGTACGCGTGAATTAGACTGTGTTCAAGGATGACGGCAGTAGACGAAGACGACGGTGGACTACGACGGTAGGTGACGATGGTTGGACGACGACGACGGCAGAGAAGACGACGGCAGGGAAAAACGGTCGCTCAAGCACAGGACAAGTACAGGGTCTCAATGGCAAAGGGTGATGATCCCGCAAGCAGCCCCGTCCTCGTTTGCTCTATATCATTCTATGGCATTATCTCCTGACCACGTCGGACGCGGAAACATCTCCTCGATTACTCTACAAATCCAAGCTGCACGGGCCTTGTACAGAGCTCCTCCGAAACCCCCAGGCCATCACAACAATCTCCTGTCAGGCTCCTTTCCCTTCGGGTGCATGCCATCATAGTAATAGTCACGAGCGGGCTTTCCTCGCGAGCAGAAGCGCTCATGATGCTGATCGCTCTTGCAAAAGCGGCAGCGACGGTCTCTGATAGCACAAATGTGCCCACTCTCCTGGCAAGGCCTGTTGCAGCGCCTGCAGATTTTCCCCCACGGTTTATTGGTCAGGACCGAGAGGTTTCGGTCCCGGTGAAAGTTCGCGTACAGGTTGAACGTGCCATCGCCCTCGGTTCTGCTCTTCTCCCTGTCCAGAGCCTCCATATTAGCAAGCATTATGGCTCCGCCGCGAGCACGGGTCGATGCCACTGCCATGCGATTCCGATCGTTGAGAAAGCCTGAGATGTCTTTGGCGCGGACAGAGTCGAAGATGACGAGATCTGCCTCGGCACTCATCGAGTTGTCGATAGTTCGAACTGTGATCTTGCTCTTGATGATCCCCGAGGATGTCATTCTGGCTATCTCATCGCGATAGGCGTGGAGCTGAGCTGAGTAGGGCGTAAGGATCATAATCTCGGCGAGTTTTCCTGTGGTGCGGAGGTTTGGCAGGCCGTACTGAAATGCGTTGTAGGCAATCCAGAGGGCGCAATTGCGATTGCCAATATTGATGTAGCCTGTACCATGCTTGATAGACAGGGTGCTGCGGATGTCATACACCAAAGTGTTCGAGAATCCCATGTTGGGGCTCGGGTCCATCATCCAGCGCATAAAACGCTGGTAGATCTGCGCCTTCGGGTCGATTGAGAGAGGGTAGACGATGTGCATCTTGCCGGGGTAGATGTTGTTGTTCGCCCACACAGCAATGTCGCCGCGGTTCCTGCGATTATTGGAAAGATGAGCAAGAACCTGCCCGCACATCTCTGCCCGCTTCAAGATCGACAGGCTGCGCTGTTGTCCAAAGACGCACAGCCATTCCGTGCGACCTCTGGCATGCTCAAAAGCTGTGTTCGTACTGATAGACAAGGGCTTGAACTGAGCGGTGTCGCCCATGGTCAGTACCAAGGCATCGGGGAATGATACCAGAGGAATCCACCACTGGCTTTCTGGGATACGGCCGGCTTCGTCAATGATGGCGAGGGCAGGTTTCCATTCGACAGCTTGGCGTTTGGGAAGTACTACCTTGGCGGTGTCCTTCAGCTGTCCCATGGCGAAGGGCGTTCCGACGAGGACATCGAAGCTGTCGATGGCCGTGACGATAATCTGGCGACAGGCCTTTTGCCAGTCAACATTACCTGGCATCTCCCTCCAGAAATCGGGGAACTTGTCGGGGTGCTGCGTGGCTAGGTTGATAGCCTTGGCTGCGACTGAGTCGGGAGAGCGGATCATGTCGAGGTCGCCTTTGGTGTCGCTTGCATGAGAAAGAAAAGAGTTGATGTGATTGGAGACATCATTTCCCCAGTGAGTTGTAGATGTGACCGTGTTGCCATCTCTAGCAAGGCGATGGTCTCCGAGTGCATCAACCATACTGCGGTAGTAGGGTAGGCGACCAACGCGCACATCCTTTCCGCACTTTTCCTTCAAGAAGCGAACAGCATCGTCGCAAAGCTCGTTGCTATGTACCGTCCATACCACCCGTTCTCGTGAAGGGCCTTTGGTAACTGCAGCAGCGATGAGGGCGGCGAAAGTAGTCTTGCCTGACCCGGGACCCCCCGTGTACATGGCGATGCCTCCAGGGACGTTCCGGAGACGACTCAAAAGCTCGCGTTGCGGCTTTTCGTCATCTGGAAAGCGAAGATTCTTGAGTTCGGGGAAGCGTTCGTGGAAGTTGACGCATTTCATGGGATGATATTGCGGCAAAACAGCTGGGTTGAACTGCAGAGCGTAAGACCACCGGACTTCAAGATTGCTGCCTTTTCTAGCGGTCGCCATTGTCGACACTGCCTTCGTCTCCATGTGGGCTGTGGCATCGAACTCGTCGACGACGATACCAAGAACTCTGTGCTCCATCCTTGGGTCCTCGATGGATTGCTCCTCGGCCTTGTCGTCCGTAGTCGTCGTCGTCGTCGTCGTCGTCGTCGTCGTCGCCGTCGTCGCCGTCGTCGTCGTTGTTGTCGTCGTCGTCGCCCATGGGAAGATGACCTTAACCGGAATTGGGCGCCTTCCAGGCTCAATATCATTCTGCTGAGGGACCCAAACCACAAAGTAGGCGTTCTGGTATGAAGATCCCTCCGGCGGCGTGGTTCTCATCGCCTGCCAGGAAGACGAGCTGCTACCACTGAGCTCGACTTCGCTCGGCAGACGGAGCCGCATGTATTTGAGCCTTGCCACCAAGTCCGTAACGAACGCCTGGTTGTCGTGTGACGCACTGGCCGATACAATGTCCTTGGCGTATTGAGTTAACTGGGCGTCGGCATCTCCAGGCAGAACAGTCTCGAGAACGGCTTGGAAGATGTCGGAATTGACCACATCTTGCTGGCCAACGTCGACGAGGCCTGTTCCAGATTCGGACTGAGCTCGACGGTAGCCCCCAACGATATGATTGCATATAGCCACCGAGTCGTTGCTATCCACGGAGCCCATGGCGCGGATGCGTGTCTGTACGCTCTTCCCAAAGGTGATCCTGCACTCATCTCCAATCTTCGGCAGGGCCGCAGCGGTTTCGGGCGACATCGGGATCACAGCCAGGTACTTCTGAATAGTACCATCGGGCACAAAGCCATACTTCTCTTGCTCGTTCCTCTCCTAGGCGGACGAGTTGTCTGGAAGCAGGGCGCACGGGAGGTCGGTAGTGCGGAAAGGGTTGGCCTGCTCTTTCTGGCAAAGAGCCTCCTCCCTGGACGAGGCCTGAAGGCGCAGGACGTGGCTTCTATTGTCGGGGAAAACGAATATGGCAGGGATGGGATGCTGGGGCCGGGAGAAGTCGTCGTTGAGCTTTCCACTTTCGTGAAGGTTCTCCAGCGATGACTTTGATGTCTTGAAGAGACAGTCGAGGCCTTGGTCAACCGCCTCACAGCTTTGAGGAGTCGAGTAGTGCTGCGACATGATCTCAACGTACTCTCGAGCGGTGCAGTACATAGCCTCGGGCATGTAGATGTTGATTCTGTCTCTGCCGCCTTGTCGAAAGATACTGAGCTCCGAAATTCGAGTGGCCTCGCTGGCAGCAGTCTCTGATAAAATAACCTTGCCGAGGTCTACTGGGAGAGAGAGATGAAAAGCAGTAGTGCCAAACCAGTCCTCCTGGCCGCAGCGGGGATTGCCTGCCATGGCTGTGACAGGTATGGTGATTCGGGCGACCTTCTGAGAGGGCGTGATCGTTCCGCGATTCTCCACGGCAGTGATGGTGATTCGAAGCTCCGGTGTGATGTATGCGCCGTATACGAAGGTGAAGTCCGTTACAAGACCACCCGCCTGGTTCAGACCGACGCTGTCCCAGCATTCCTTGCTGTACGCCAGGAGCAGAGAGCTTCCCACGCAGATGACGCAAGGTACTTCGCGTCGTCGATATGCGTCGAAGAGAGGACCATGTCTCTTCTCTTGCTGGATGGGAAAGCCAGTCGGCTCCTCATCGTACTCGAAGAACCTAGACATGGTGTGCCTTGCCGAGAGGAACGACAGAAAAGAAGACGGCGGGCGATAGCAGAGACGACGACAACGACGGCAGAAGAGAAGAAGAAGAAGACGACGACGACGATAGCAGAGACGGTGACGGTGGCGGCAAGCGACAGGAGAGAGAAGAAAAGCTGAAGGACGCAGGCAAGAAATATCTTCGCCTAGGAGGCTGATGATCGATGCTGCAGAAGAAGAAGTCCTCGTTGCTGACTCGCTGCGCCCAGGATCCCAGCAAGCGGTGGTGGAGACAACAACGGTGAGGGCGGTAGGGGCGAGAGAAAGGTGTTTAGGAAGGAACTGCTGCAGCAGGCGGCAATGAGGTAATCGCGACGGAGTTGCGAAGTGAAGTAGTTGCAAGATAGGTAGCTGCGAGGTGGCGTATCCTCCCCCCACGGTACCTAGGTAGGTGAAAAGAAAGAAGGAACCTTTCAGAGAGTAGCAGGAAAGAAAAGGTCTTTTTGCAGGAAGTCCCTCTCCATCGAGCCAGGTTAAGCCTAACCCTAAGGGAACTCATTAGCCCGAGAGGAAAGGTGATGGTTTTCTCGAATGTCAATCAAATGTCGCCAGATCAGGTGTCTTTCCTGTAGACCTTTTCATTGAGTTGTCGTCTGACCTTGTAGTGCGGTCAAACAATTCCCTTGTCGTGTACTCCCAAACTTCAAGCAAGGCAAGACATGCAGGATCTTTTCATGCAACCCCCTAAAGAAACTCATGGTAATAAAACAGGTATGCCGGTGCCTTCAGTATTGGAATACCTTCCATTCGGGATCTGCCCATTCATTACTGGAGAACGTAAGTCCAAAGTTCTTTCCGGCTATGCAAGTCACCTGCAGCGCGGAATGCCCCTCGGATGCCCTTGCATGGTGCCATTGTAAGCTTACTTCACCACCCTCGTCAACGTCAGCCTTGCAAGGAGCGAACACCCCCCCACGACTAGGTCGTCTGACCTCCCTTCATGATTGGAGCCGGCTCTGTCTTCCATCATCCCGCCTCTAAGCCTCCATTGGAGGGCTGCTAAGCAGGGTCGCATTCCTTACCCCGAGGCTGAGTTACGTTGCCTACTCTGTCCCAATCTGGGCAGAACATGGCAAAAGGGAAGTTCTTATGGCTGTCAAGTGACAATTTCTCATGGATAAGCCACCATTTATGTCAGACGTGACCTCTTTCGGTGACGAATACCAGTTTTGGTTGGATTCATGTGAGAATCCTTGAGTTGCCTGAAGCTCTTGGCACATCTATAAGAACGACGCTCAAGTTCATGATGAATGCTATTTTCTCTTGGACATACGATTGGAATATCTATCTTCCATCTTTTCATCGAAGCATCTGCTCAAAATGACAGCATACAACTCTCCTCGCCCCAAGACGATGAAGGGCGTCGTCTGGGAAGGCAAGCCCTACGAGATGGCCGTCAAGCACGACATCCCAGTCCCGCGCATCACCGAGCCGGAGGACGCCATCATCCGCATCACCACCTCCGCCATCTGCGGCAGCGACCTGCATACCTACCATGGCTTCTTTGGCAGCCATGAAGTGCCCTTCGCCATGGGCCACGAGGCTATGGGCATCGTCGAGGAAGTCGGCGATGCCGTCGACAGCTTCAAGGTAGGCGACCGTGTCGTCGTCGGCTTCCCTCAGGACGGGTACGTCCAGACCCAGAACCACCTCCAGCTCGAGCTCGTCACCTATGGTTTCGGTCAAGACTTTGGCGGTATAGGAGGTCTGCAGAGTCAGTCTCATCCTCCACTTCAACCCCTTTTCTTTCAAGTAATACTGACACCCATCCCAGCCGAGTACGTCCGCGTCCCGCACGCCGACTCCTCCCTCTTCAAAATCCCCAAGCGCCTCCCGGACAAGGAATGGCTCTTCATCGGCGACATCTTCCCCACCGCCTGGGAAGGCCTCACCTGGTCGGGCTTCCAACCAGGTGACACCGTCGCCGTCTTCGGCGCCGGCCCCGTCGGCCTCATGTGCGCCTACTCCGCCATCATCCGCGGCGCCGCCCTCGTCTACGTCGTCGACCACGTCCCGCAGCGGCTCGCCAAGGCCGCCGGCATCGGCGCCGTGCCCATCAACTTCGCGCGCAGCGGCGCCACCGGGTCCGAGCAGATCCTCGCGCTGCAGCCCGGCGGCGTCAACCGCGCCGTCGACTGCTGCGGGCAGATGGCCGCCGTCAACGCCGAGCTGAAGCCGCAGCAGGACTACGTGCTGCGCGAGGCCGTGAAAGTCACGAGCTTCGGGGGCGGCATTGGCGTGCCGGGGGTGTACGCGTCGCTGGAGAAGAGCGCGGGCGCGCCGAAGGCGGATGAGATGCGCCCCGAGCTGAAGTTTCCATTTGCGGATGCGTGGTTCAAGAGTATTACGATCAAGCTCGGTATTGTGGAGTTGTTGGAGACGGTGCCGGCGTTGGTGAGGCTGATTGAGAATGGCAGGGCGAGGCCGGGGTTTGTGGTTACGAGCGAGGTGGATATTGACGAGGCGCCCAAGATGTACAGCCGGTTTGATAAGAAGCTCGAGACCAAAGTGCTTCTCCGAGGCCCTGGTAAAGAGGGTAGAGATGATTTCGTCTGGGAGGCTGAGCAGCAGAGCAACGGGGTCGTGGTCAATGGTGCTGACCATAGGTATGTACTTGCTCCCTTTTCTGTGGTGTTTGGGGACGGATGCTGACTGCCGAGCAGAATTTCTGGCAAGACCAAGAGAGTGAGACTCCATTGAGTTTCTGCATACTGGACGAACCCATGTCGGCGCATGTAGGCTTTTCCTTGTCACTCTGACATTTCAACGAACTGGTTACTCTTTCTAGGTAGCTTTTGGCAGTGTGAACGGGTGGGGGAGTTCACCGGACTTGGATCGACATCACTCGAACGGACTAGAAACCACTTGTGATGGCAATCTCATTTTCTTTATTTTCATAGTCTTCATACATCTCATCAATAGATTCCTAGCCCCTTAAGAAAACGCAGGCTTCTGGTCGGCGCCGTTGACGCCCGTCAGGTACGACACGCGGTCCTTGCAGTAAAACTCGACAGCAGGCTTTCCCTCGAGACTCGCCTTTCCGTCGTCCAGTCCGCCAGCCTTTGATGACAGATCAGCAACGTGAACTTATACATCGTACGTTGCAGAGGATCCCTTACCTTGATGCAGGTGACGTCCGGCATGAGATCGAGCTCGGTGTACAAACTGGAGCCGCAGCCGGAGCAGAAGAAGTGCCTGTTCTTCTTGCCCGAGTCGCCGGTAATATCGTAGTACTTGGGCTCGCCTGTGGATGATGTCAGTTCCCGCCGCAGCATCATCATGGTGCGGGAGCTCACGTACCCTGGGTGACCTTGAAAGCGGTGCGAGGGACGACGGCGTTGGAGGTGAAGGCGGAACCGCTCCACTGTGACATAAATCAGCACTCTGAAAAGACCCGCGTCGCGACGATGAGGACTCACCTTCTGGCAATCAACACAGTGGCACAGGGCCGTCACCTGTGGCTCTTCTGCAGACTGCATCAGTCGATCCGTTCGCCCGTGGGAAGCCTCGAGGTCCCGGACTCACCACTACTCTCGTATTTCACCGCCTTACACATGCAGCTTCCCTTAATAACCATTTTCCTTTTCCTTTTCCTTCTCGCAAAGTGTATTCCGTCAGTTCACTCGTCGTCGGTGTCCAATATCAAATGATTCGGTGAAAGGAATGTGAGATTGAGCCGGGTCTGTCAGCGAAGGAGGAGAACAAGCGGTTGAGGAAGTCCGATCCCCCATTTATATACACGTTTGAGAGTTTCGGCTAGGGCTGGAGCCGGCAACAAGGAAGCTGATCCCCGTCTTATCATGGGAATTGGCCACTACGCTACGCCGTGCACATTTTCTGCTGCGGGGTTAGGTGATGTAAGTAGTTTGGGTAAGTGAGCATGGGCCCTTTTTTGAGGGGGTGCGTGTGGTGTGTGTTTACCCCGCGGTTGGCGAACGAGAGTGTGTTTGGTCTGTTTGATCTCCTTCTCTACGAATCATCATACGGGGCTTACTTGATAAACCGGTGAAGTTGGGGCTGTCAATTGCAGGGCGTGATGGATGCTTTTACCGCCGAGAAACATAAAATGTGACAATTCCCAGAATTTTATGGGGTTTGCATTTCTAAGCATGTATCTGAAGGATTTGAATTGATTCCAGAGAACATGTTGTCTACAAGGCGCGGGTGGCGCCGCTGCAGAAGGATTGATTCCAAAAAGGCTGGTTCTGCGCCCCGCCCCCGCTATGCGGCGTGTTGACGTCCGCAGAGCGACGGGACTCCACTCGCGCGAACCGGGTCGGGGAATAAAATGGTCGGCGCCGCGGTTGCTCGGTTATTCCACGGGAGCGGAGGCCTGGATGACACGCTATCTTCAGCTGACATCGTGGGCGGGAATAACGACGTGACAGAAAGAGAAGGGTAAACTGCAGTCGCGACGGACTGAGGCATAGAAGCCGATGGGTGAGTGTTGAATTCAATCATGCGTCTAATATCTCAGTAACCTCAGCGATGCAACTTGCGTAGAAGGAAAAGTCTTGCCCGCGCCTGCGCTATCATGAGATCTCCAGCCGCCAGTTCGTAGCGCGTGCATCGAGAGACAGACCAGAAAAGGAGACCAAAATGAAAATGTGAAACAAAAAAGGTGACTGAAAAGAGATTCGAACCCGGAGGTTCCACAGCGTTGGATAGTATGATTAATGTGTTGAGCTAGCATTTGGGCTGTACTCGGCATATACACGGCCACCTCTCCACCCGCTGATGCCTGGTCCGGATCCTAATCTCCCTATATACCTAGAGTATTCTAAGACGGGCGTGAGGTGTGTGTTGCGTACTCACCTTCTGGGTCTGACAAGTCTCGAATCAGCTCTGTGTCCCCCAAAGCAACTGTATTCTTCCGCTGGGTTTCCATCTACAGCTACACTTAGAAAGTTCCGGATGGATTTTTCATGCAATTGTTACAAGCAGTGATTCCGGAGAGAGCCTCGAGAGGCACAAGCCAACGCTGAGCTGAAGGTTGCCTATCTGCGGTGGTTCCAGGTTGGTTCTTTCCTTGCTGGAGGGGTTGGCCAATATGCGGAGATCTTCCCAGCCAGTGCTTCGCGTGGAGCCCTCAGGCCAAGCGTTATTATTGAACAGGATGGCGCAGTGAATTAGGGCGATCAATTTGTCATTAATGTATGTCATATCGGTGCTCTGCTCTGTGAGCACATAGCCATCGATCGGGTCATACTGTGTCTTGTCATCAGAAGTGAAATAGCCGCCCACCGTGTGGCTTTCAACCTCATGTTAACGATGGTTTCGTTGCCTTTAAGGTCGATGGCGTGTGACTCACACGAGATAGACGTACCAGAGATGACTTCGCAAGGTCTTCCGCCACGGAAAAGCTTGTTTCGGCCACCTGATTAAGGCGCTGCTACTCATTATAACCAAGATATTAAAGCAAGAAATAGTGCTGGACGTTCGTACTTCTATCATCATTCGCTTTGCTATCATCAGAAGAATCGTACTGCAGAAGTCAGCAGGATTATACAAACGTTAAAATAAGTAGGTAAGATACTCTCATTCACAAACAAGATCTCACCTAACTACTATTTTAGAAATAAGACAATAACCCCAAACGAAGAACAGAGTTACACGATGTTCAGACTCATCATCAATTCTAGCCTCCCGGCTATGAAGCGCTCCGCGGTTGCCAGCGGCGCTTACCACCGCCCCTTAACCTCTGTGCCCCTTCGCAACCGCTTCTCAACGACCTCTCGCGCTTACTTCTATCCCTGGGTTCCCGGTTCTCATACATACCCCCAGACTGCAGAATGGCACGTTGAGCTATCCAACCAAGATGTCGAGAAGCTCCTCAAGGACTACGATCCTAAGAGGGTGGAAGAGGACTTTATGTGCCGTGCTGAAGGACCTGATGAAATGGGGAATATTGTGTTCCATGTGTATCGAGGTTACACCCGCGGGGAACAGCTTCGTCTGCAGATTGCGACTCAGGACGGTCGGGCGAGAATTACAGAGATTACGTGGGAGACATTCGGACCGAGTGTCCAGGCTCCAGAATGGAGGGCGAAAAGGTTTGCTATAGAGATATGCAGAGAGATTCTGGGTTGCGACATGAAGGGAGCAAAGTAGAGTATCTCAGTTTCTTCGGGGAGAACGTGGGCTACCATGCCATCAATGGCAGAAATTAATCCAAGCATTTCTAGGCAGGCAACCGCCAAGAAAATGAAACTCCCTTTTGTCATCAAAAATAACTGTCCTCCAGTGCTCTTATCATCTGGTTGTTCATGTACAGCCAGTTGCCAAGTTGCGTGCTCTGCTGATCAACCTCCATGCTGAAGTCGCCGGGCATCGCAAATGAGTTACCGGGAATCCACCCATTGCTCGCAGACGGATCACCGAATGCCCCGCCCATCACGGCTTCGGCGTCGCCAAGCTGTGAAAATGGCGTATGTGCCACCCCCTGCGAGCTCGAGTCCGGCGTCGGCATCAAATTCGCCTGGGACAAGGACGGCGGCATCATCAGAGACGCCGCAGTCATTCCCCAGCCACCGATGCTGTTGTCTTCAACCTGTCGCGAATCGTTCGTCTTCAACTTGATGTAACTACACGCCACGTCGTACAAGACCTTGAACAGCCGGACCTCCTTCTTGACGCCTGTCGAGAAGTCATCGGTCAACAACTGCTGTAGAGAGCCGATGAGACCACCGAGACGATCGAGGTCTGCTTCGTTGCATGTCTCGATGACATGGCAGAAGAGGACTGTGAATGGGACGAATGGTGATTGCAGGAGAGCCCTGGAGTAATTAGTTGGGGCTTGTTGGGTTGCGCAAAGAATGAGGGTTGATCATACCAGTTGACGTATGTTTCGAGGAAGTCTTCGTCAAGTTTGTGAATAATAGACATGCATTTTTCGTGTTCTTCGAGGGCTTGGCGGGCGCTGGCTATGCACTCCTTACCAAAGACGGTACCCTCGCCCGGCTCGGCAGGAATGGCTCGGTATATCAGGCAGAACAAAGACAGATGCGTGACCCTTGTGGTGCAAATAAAGGCTTCGAAAAACAAGTCTCCGACCGCGTCCTTCATTGCTTGCATGTAGCGCAGCTAAGACCAAGTTAGTCTACGTGTCACATAATGTCTGGGAAGACATCCGATGGCAAAGACGGCGTATCAACCTGAATGGATTCCACTCACCTCATCTGGGGATGTTTTGCTCGTAAAGCCCTCGAGGACCGAGGCAAGCCTTCGTGCCCGTGCGGTCCTGACGGCTTGAGGTTGTATCAACGCGGCGGGACTGTAGATTTGATCGTAGACCATGCCTTGAATTCTTGCCAGTTCTGTCCATTTCTGCAGCTGGCCAAAGATGGCCGTATCTGCCCTTGGATTTGGTGCAAGAGAAGGAACGGTCACATCAGAGTCGCGAATGGTAGATGATCGGCCCAGTCGAAGGGAGAGACCCTTCTCATGCATGTAGATCATCCAGAACAGCTTGAGCTTCTCTCGTTTGGTCTCCGCATCGTCGTTAGCCATGGCAACTATGCTGTGCATACCTAGAGTCTGGCTCATGTGCGATGCAGTGGCGATGAAGTTCCATGCGGCGGACGGCTTGCAGGAGTCGAGGCAGTACATGGCCTGCCGTGGTCATCAGTAATGGTTCTTTCAGTGGGCATGAGTACATACAGCCAACATCATAGCGCACGTGGTGTCCATCGTTGATGGCAGATGGAACGGCAGACTTGAGAGTACGGTTTCGAGATTCGCGCGGCAAGTAGTTGCCTGCTCTGCGTAGTCCGACTTCTTAGCCGGATTGGCAATCACGTTTTTGCATTCGAGAAATAGCCAGTACAAGCCTCCGTTGACGATGATGAGGTCTGCGTGGGTCACCTCCCCTGGGGAGTAAACCTTGAGGAAGTAGTCGGTGAACGATGAGACGGAGTTTGCTTCGTGATTCCAAAAGAACTTGACGCGAGGGTGTTCTGTACGGCAATCAGTACGCAACGCGAAGCCAAAATGCGATCGGTAGCTTCCATACCTTTGGCCATTCTGAGGCAGGCGAAAGCAGTTTCTACTGGAGGCATGGGCAGGTCTCGGAGTGTGGTGCCCGGCTCAAGCGTTCTGGCATGAGGATAGAGGTACTCGGGCTCTTGCTCCCGCTTTTGATTCCCAATTGTGCGACTGAGGGTATCCAAGACAGAGGCCATCTCTCCTGTCACGTCGGCAGAGGGCTTGCTGCTGACAGCATCGCGGAGGAACTTGTTAGCGAAAGCGGCTTGCGCCGAAAGAGATGATTCTCCCTCATATTCCAATTTTGGTGTTAGAATCTTGCTCGTGTTGCCGCTTGATGGCGATGGGGCGGCTAAGGCTTCTGTTGGGGTACCGCGAGATGCTGGTGTTGCTGGCGAAGAGCGATATGGAAGGGTTGACGAGGTGGAGGGCTGCGAGTTGCTATCAATATTGCCCAAAGCATGGCCAAACTCCTCGAGCTTTTTGGCGATATAGTCGATTTTTCGTTCACTTTGCAATAAATTAGACGCATAACATGGTCCGCGAGCATGCTGCACCACTTACTACACCTCCGAAATGAAGACGCGTTGTCGCCGTTCCTTGGGTTTTTGCCTCTCAGGATAGGTACAGGGAACGTCAATGCGGATGCAGTACGAGCACGGTTGCCGGCGATTGCATTTCACCAGTTGAGCCGTCAGTTCAGCGAATGGCTTCTGAAACGACGAGCAGAACACACCTTACGACGACGGCAGCGATCGCACTGGACAAGGCACGTCAGTATCATGCGCGCCAGCTACCAAACACCCAGTGCCAATTTACAGAGATTTTGGACAGCGGAAGCTCATCATCGTCCTCGTGGTCCTCGAGAGAATCCATCGGATCATGGGCACTGCTGCCGGTTCCCGGCTCGGTTTCCATCCTTTCAACAAGACCCAATGCCCTGGAACTGGGAGAATGATTGGACCAACAAGTCAGTGCGGAGGCGAGTGATGTGTCGTCGATTGAGATGAACGCTGGAAAAGGGATGGCGGCGGTGCGGCTGTTGTCATGCAGCGAAGCGAAGCGCAATGGTGCGGAGCGGAGAGCAATGAAAGCGAGGCCCGCATTCGTAATTCGTAACTCGCGACGTGTTGCCTTTTTTTGCGCAGCTGGCGCGGAGGTGAGGTTGACTTATGCGCAGCGAGAGCGATACGCAACGCGAAACCGAGAAAAAAATAAGGTACGGAAGCGTGGACTTTCTGGGAATTGTGGACCTTTTTGGTGAACCTATGGAAGGCATCGGGTTGGCCGCGGGGTCCGACTTTGGCAAACCCCGGGTCTCTTGACGCGGTCGTTATCTTGAAAGCAGTGATTTGAATGACGTTCAAGTCTCATAATCTCCTTGATGACAGTTTTCCCATCATTTTCCATTGCGATAGTGGCTGAATACGCGTGTTTTGTGGATTTGGACATGGGGTGCGGAATCGAGGAATCTTGGCAGCCCGCGCTCCGTTGGTGGCAGCTGCTTCGGCCGCGCCTGCTTGGCATGCCGCACCACCGCCCGCCCCAGCTCCAACGCGGGACGGAAGGAGATCCCGGGCAGCTGGGCCCTTCCATTCCCATGGATAGGAGTTCACCCAGGGCAGGTGCCTTACCACAGGGCAGGATAGGAGCGTAGCTGGAACCTAATCCGGGCCGCAGCGGGGTGTTTTCCCACCACGCCCTCTTTCGGCAGGCACCTTCCATGATTAGGTTCGCTCTGAGACGCGAGATTCGTATTTGAGAGGCTGCGGACTACACTCCTTCTTTACGAGCCGTGCATACGGTTCGCACCTCGCCCAGTCTTTCCCTTTTATTACGCGGCGACAATCAGCAACAACGTTATACTTTGTCTGCTCCGTCTGAACTTGCCCGCTTTCATCCATTTTTGATCTGGTTCGCTTTTTCCTCCCCTTCTCATTAGATAAACCTTAGTGCCTCCCCCTCTCCCACCTGGGCCGAATCGCTTTCTTCTGTGTCGTTACTCGCCCTTCTCCGCGAGACGTACGCCAAGACAAGACATGGAGAAGCAAGACGTTTCCTCGAGTTCAGCGTCCACCGACTCATCGAAGCACCCCGACGACACCGACGAGAAGAAGCCGAGTGGGTTTGGAGGCTTTCTGGTAAGTCGAGAAATTATGATGGCTCACTGATTGTCACTGACATGAGTTGCAGAGAGTCTTCAGATATGGAGAACCAATCGACTATGTTCTCGAGACCATTGGCATTCTCGCCGCTGTTGGGTCCGGTGTGGCACTAGCAATGATGAACCTGATCATCGGCAATTTGATGGACATCATGAGTGACCCTTCAACAATCTCCGCCAACCCTGACAAGTTTATGGCGGCTGTGAGCAGGAATGCGTAGGCAGACATGATCAACAAACCCGGGAGTCGGCCATCTGACATGCACAGGCTCTATTTCGTCTACATCGGCATCGCCCGCTTCGCCACAACGTACATCTACTCGGCTCTCTTCACCTACGTCGCCTTCAAGTTGACCCGCAACGTTCGACGGACCTACCTCCAAGCTGCCCTCAGCCAGGAAATCAGTTTCTTCGACCACGGCACTGCTGGTTCCATCGCCATGCAAGCAACGACGAACGGAAAACTCATCCAGTCTGGAATTGCTGAGAAACTTGGCCTCTTCTTCTCTTCCGTCTCCACTTTCTTCGCTGCCTTCATCATCGCTTTTGTAAGCCAATGGAAACTGACACTCATTATCATCTGCATCGTTCCGGCCATTGTTCTTGTCAGTGGTGCCATGGCGGCTATCGACTCTGGCTTTGAAACCAAGATCTTGCAGTCCAACGCACAAGCAGGAACCTACGCCGAGAGCGCCTTAGGAAGCATTCGTGCTATCAAAGCCTTCAGCTTGGAGTCTCGCATCATGCAGAAGTACAGCTCGTATCTCGACCAATCGCGGGTCATCGGAAACAAGAAGAGTCCCATCTATGGTGTGATGTTTGGCTGGCAGTACTTCGTTGTTTACGCAGGCATGGCTTTGGCCTTTTGGCAGGGTATTGCTATGATCGCGCGCAAGGAGGTGGACGGCATCGGCACGGTTTTCACGTAGGCTCAACTGCAAGTCTTTCAATAATCGCTCTGCTGATCAAAAGCTCATAGGGTCTTGTTTTCCGTTATCATCGCCTCGACTTCCATCAACGGTGTAGCCCCTCACCTGATGGCGTTCAGTCGTGCTGCTACCTCCGCTTCGGAACTTTTCACTTTGATCGACAGAAAGTCCAATATCAATCCGTTCGACGAATCCGGCCAAGTCCCTCGCCAAGTTTCAGGGCATATTGACATCAAAGGACTCACATTTAGCTATCCCACGCGACCGGACACCCGAGTTCTCGAGGACTATTCTCTAAACATCCCCGCTGGCAAGGTGACAGCTCTTGTGGTATGTTGAGATGGCGATATTTCAGCGAAACGTTGCTTACAACACCGCAGGGATCAAGCGGCTCCGGGAAGAGTACCATCATCGGCCTCCTGGAGCGATGGTACGATCCTGCCTCCGGATCCATCAGCCTCGATGGTATCAACATCCGTGACCTGAGCCTGGGTTGGTTGCGCACGACGATGAGACTTGTTCAGCAGGTTTGTGGCATGCTCCGAAACTAAGTCCGAGACATGATTGGAAGACTGACCTCAAATAGGAGCCTGTTCTCTTCAACGGTACCGTATTCGAGAACATTGTCAACGGCCTAGTCGGGACCCCTTTGGAGAATGCCTCACGAGAGGATCAACTTCAGCGCGTCAAGGAAGCGGCCAAGGTCGCGTTTGCCGACGAATTCATCAGTAACCTTCCCGAGGGATACGATACCCGAATTGGCGAGAGGGGTGGACTGCTATCCGGTGGCCAAAAGCAACGTATCGCCATTGCACGAAGCGTTATCTCCGAGCCCAAAATACTCCTACTTGACGAAGCAACAAGCGCGCTGGACCCTCATGCCGAAGGAATTGTGCAACAAGCTTTGGACAGCGCTTCCAAGAACCGGACTACCGTTGTTATTGCCCACAAACTTGCAACCATCCGAAACGCAGACAACATTGTGGTGATGAACAAGGGCAAGATCGTGGAGCAAGGAAAGCATGATGAGCTAGTTGCACTAGGTGGGAACTACGCCAAGCTGGTGAAGGCGCAAGATCTGTCTGTCAAGGAGAAGGGGAGCACCGACGAGAGTTCCGAAGACGACTCGACTGAGGCAGCTGAGCCCGTTCAATCCCTCGCCAAGTATGACACCGAGGCTGCGCAACGACTCGTCTCGTTCAAAGACAAGGAGGACTTCAAGCTTTACAAGCAGACCAATCTTGTGCACACTATCGTCAAGCTCATCCGTTCTACATCTGAGATTAAGATGTGGTACTGCAGTGCCTTCGTCGTCTGTGTTCTCGGAGGTAAGTCCAGTGGCCAGCTCACGATAAACACTACACGCGCTAACCCACCTTCAGCTGCTGTCTACCCCGGACAGACTCTTCTTCTGTCCCAGGTCATGGATGTGTTTACCTCTTCCGACATGGTCAAGCGCGGCAACTTTATCGCTCTGATGTACTTCGTCATGTCCATAGGTACTCTAACTGTCTACTACATCATGGGCTGGACAACGAACGTGATTGCTCAGGTACGCTCTCTGACTCTATTGGTATAAACTTCCACTAACGTCTTACAGACTCTCAGCCAGAAGGTTCGCAAGGGTCTCCTTAACGGAATGCTAAGACAAGACCTTCGTTTCTTCGATCGAGCTGAGAACACAGTTGGCGCCCTCAACAGCCGAATCGATTCCATGGCACAAGCGATTCTAGAACTGATGGGATTCAACGTCGCTCTCGCCTTCCTGTCTTTTGTCAATGTCGTCGCTAGCAGTATCCTGGCGATCGCAGTGTCTTGGAAGCTTGGTCTTGTCGGTGTTTTCGCAGGCATGCCACCTCTCCTTGGAGCAGGCTTCGCCCGTATTCGTATCGAAACGAAGCTCGACGCCGAGGTCGACGCGAAGTTCTCAACAAGTGCCTCTTTGGCATCCGAGACCGTCAACGCAATACGCACGGTCTCCTCTCTTGCTATCGAGAAGAGCGTGATTCAACGATATACGAATGAGCTCGACAACGCCATCTCAAGCTCGACTCTTCCGCTTTTCAACATGATGATCTGGTTCGCCCTTACTCAATCCATCGAGTTTTTCATTCTCGCCCTAGGATTCTGGTGGGGATCACGTCTTGTTTCGGACGGCGAGATCAATTTCTCCCAATTCATCATCTCCTTCATGGGTGTTTTCTTCTCCGGTCAGGCTGCGGGCATGATATTCAGTTTCTCCAGCAGTAAGTAGATCGCTGATGCTATGGCTTATAGTCTCTAATCGCAGTGTCTTCCCAGGTTTCACCAAGGCAAATTCCGCTGCCAACTATTACTTCTGGCTGATGGGTCTCGAGCCCACGATTCAAGACACCCAAGAAAACGGTGACAAGGGCCCTCCTGATGGTTGCAGCTCTTATGGCTTCGACAATGTCCAGTTTTCATACCCCTTAGCCCCGGACACCAGGGTACTCAAGGGCGTTACTTTGAAAGTAAGTTATTTCCGTGTGATATTGGCGAGCAAGAAGACTGACATTTGATTCCCAACAGATCGATCGCGGCCAGTTTGTTGCTTTTGTCGGCGCCTCAGGTTGCGGCAAGAGCACAATGATTTCCCTTCTCCAACGATTCTACGATCCTACAAGCGGCACGATCATCATTGATGACTCTACACCCCTCACAGCGATCAGTCCTCGCCTTTATCGCAACAAGCTAGCTCTTGTCCAGCAAGAGCCCACCCTCTTCCCAGGCAGCATCCGCGAGAACATCGCGGCAGGAATCGACCTCCCAACAGAGGCTTCCGACGCTTCTGACGAGAAGGCGGTTCTGGTGGATGACATCGTGATTGAAGCAGCATGCCGCGCAGCCAACGCGTGGGACTTTGTCAGCTCTCTTCCCGAAGGCCTCAACACTCCCTGTGGACAGGGTGGAAACCAACTTTCCGGCGGTCAGAGACAGCGTATCGCCATTGCTAGGGCCTTGGTTCGCGACCCCAGTGTCATTCTACTGGACGAGGCCACCAGTGCACTCGACACCGAATCGGAGAAGGTCGTCCAGAAAGCTCTTATGGAAGCCGCAGCTACGGGCGATCGCATCACCATCGCCGTGGCGCACCGCCTCTCCACGATCCGCGACGCAAACAGGATCTGCGTCTTCTACGGCGGCCGCATCGTCGAAACAGGAACCCACAATGAACTTATCGAGCAAGGCGGGATGTACAAAAAGATGTGCGAGGCGCAGAGTCTGGATAGAGCTGCGTAGGGCTTAGACTTTTCTTGATGGACGCAGGTCCGAATCTGGATGTGTTTTTCGTCATTGTCAGCGTTGCATTTGCATGGCATGGCGGATACCTAATGTGTATTTCAATTCTTGTAAGACATTTAGACTTTTAGAATGAGAAGAAATGGAATCTTCTTTGGCTTGCCTAATCGGGAAAGTCGATGTCCTGCAGTCCTTTTTGCCGCGAAGGATGTGATGCGGGAAAGCCAAGAGTGGCCTTCGTCGAATCCTGGCCCTTTGTTCTTAAGGCGTATGCCTGCGGATGTGATGGGCGAAATATTAAAGTCCGACGGGACATTTACTTTTAAAAAGTTGATCTCACATCGCTTGGGGAGGCTTCAGCGTCCAGTGTGATGGGGTCTGGGCCGTTGTTCACTCCATTTACGGGAGTTTCGACGGCGAAATCGGCAAGCCACTTACCTGCATCAGCGCTGATCAGGCCCTGAAGGTCCGGGGCCGGGAATTCGGATCTGGTCGGGGGACGGATTGACGTCAGCTGAGCCACGCTCATGATGCCGCTTGGGCAGACAGCTCATGGAGTCTAGGTGTCTAAGAACAGCTTCATGAATTGTGTCCAAAAAAGCATATAAGGAGAACTGCACTGGACAAGATGTCCTGGATATTGGACCAAGTTATCACAACGCATCTTTGTAGCATATTCCTTGAATATCGTTGCAACCACGCAAAACGTGCGTCCCCATTTATCGAAATTGCTGTGTTGAAAACTGACTATGCCATCACAGGTATCTCCACGACCAAAACCAAGCAAGAACACATCTCAAAGCTTTCAAGCTCTCCCTTCCCAAGGGTCAAAAACGAAACACAAGACAAATCATGGGTTCCTGCTCCAGCAAGTCCGGCGATCCCTACCATTGGGGCTACATCGATGACGGCAAGGGCTGGACGGCGCGCCCGCGGTCCGAGTACATGAAGACACCGGCGTATAACAAGCACCTGCGGAGGCAGATGAGGGAGGAGTCGCATGCTAGGGGAGGGAATGGGCATATTTCCATGGCGGAGCAGTCGAGGAAGCAGTGGTGACGAGGGAGAGCAGCCGCAAGGGGAGTAAAGAAGGACGTTTTGAGGGCATACATCTGATGGATGGATCTATTTGAATCTAGTTGCTGGATTGTATCTCAATTTCTACAATGGTTTCGTCTGATGAAACCTAAAGACTTGAATATCAACATGTTCTTCTGGCTTGTCAAGGTTGCCTCACTATCCTGAGCCAGAGCGCGCTGAGAAGCCTCACTTTCGAGCCTGGTACTCCTTCAGCAACGCCTCGAGAAGTTCAACTTGGCTCTTGCGGACAGCAAGCGATCCAATCGTCTCCCTGGCCACCGAGCGCTCACACTCCGCCGGCTTCCTCGTCCCGTCCTCCGATCTGATGCCAAAAGACATACCGGGCGTCGGCACAAAACAGTTATCCTGGCTCCTCGCCGCACGCAGCTGGCAAATCTCAGCCTTACGGCACGCGTCGTCGCACTCCGGCACGTTCCACCCGCGCGTCCTGCGCGCCCAGTACGCCTCAAACGCGGCCGGGTCGTTTTCCAGCGCGACGGTAACGTTGTGCCAGAACGCCGGGGTCAGCTCCGCTTCCGCGGCGACGGGGGTGTCCAGGAGGGCGCCGAAGGTCTTCTTAGCGGCGTAGGAGAGTTTCCACACGGGTCCGGTGGTTTGGAAGGTCGGGTCGGTCATGTCGGCGACGTAGGTCTCGATGTCGAGGATGGCGAAGGTGGTGGAGTCGATGGTGTAGAGGCGGAAGGCGGGCATGCCGGAGAGGGGGGTCATGGAGGGGGCGATGTAGGATGTTGCGACGGCGTTGGAGGCGGTGCGGTTGGTGTAGTTGGAGTAGCTGATTTGGAAGTGGTCGAGATGGGTATGTCCTGGGTTATTGTCAGCTTCGACGTCGTTTGGGTGACAAGGGAGATAATTACCAAAGAAAAGCCCGGCGATGGTTGACTTGTATCGGTTGACAATCTGATCAAAGTAGTTCGATCCATCGTGGAGCGCATCAGAAGTGCCCATGGGCATATGCCCAACCAGGAACACGCGCTCGCCAGCTTTCTCCGCTGCATCGAGCTCCCCGACGAGCCATTTCAAGTGATCACTCGGATCCCTCTGCACATCCTTATACAGCCAAAAGTTAAGCGTGTACCAAAAGTTGGTCGACACCGAAATCACCCTCAACCCGTCCCGGGGCGTCTTGACCGAGTACGCACCAACCGCCTTCGCCTCCGCAGATGACCCAATCCACCTGCTCCACGCCTCGGAGACGACATCGTACAGCCACTGCGCGCCGGCGCCGAGGTGCGTCGGCGGGATGGCGTTGGCGGGGGACATTTCGTGGTTGCCGACGGTGCCGTAGATCTGCAGCCCCGCGTCGGCCATGTGCTGGTACGCCATGCTGATCTCGGCGGAGTTTTGGGCGACGGTGGTGTTCCAGATGGCGTGGTCGACGATGTCGCCGGTGAAGAGGGCGAAGTCGGGGGAGAGGGCGTTGATGGCGGCGTACATGCTCTGTTCGAGGCTCAGGGGGGCGCCGCAGTTGTGGTCGCCGAAGGGGCCGGCGGGGAAGTCGTTGTTGCCGGGCTCATCGGCCGGGGTGTACGGTCTTATGATGGAGGGTTAGAGCTTCGGGTGAGGGGGATCTTGGGGTAAGGGGTTGGGAGTACCTGCAGCACATCGGCTTGGAGCAGTTGGCGTTGGAGCCGGTGACGTAGAGAGGGTCGATGTGGATGTCTGAGAAGTGCGCGATCTTGAAAGTGGCGGGTTTTGTTCCGTTTGAGGAGACGCTTGCCGGGAGAGGAGAGGTGACAGTCTTGGGGGGCATGGAGATGGTGTACGGCTCAACCTCAGGGTACTCGCAGAGGCCGAGGAGGGTTGTGCAGAAGACTTGAGCTGCCTTGCTTCCCAGGGTGAGATCGCGGAGACTAGCAGCAATCACGGGGCCTTCCAGAGCTAGAGTGCCGTTACAGACGTCTTCATCTTCGGACTTATCCCACACTTGTCAGTCTGAACAGGTGTGGATCTTGAGGGGCACTTACGGAAGCGGCATTGCAAAGCTTCTGCAGAGCGCCGACGAAAATATCGTCACCGAAGTTTGCGAGCGTCTTCAAGATGAGAAGGATTCCCTAAAGAGACATAAGAATAACTTCGAGGTAGTTTGAGGAAGCAATGTATGTGCTTTGACTTACTTGGCATCCCAGGCAGTTGTTGTTTCCTGTGAGACTGTCCCAAATGCTTTCGACCGACTGCGGAATGTCCACATCAGGGATGGCTGCCTGCCGGGCGACTGCGATGCTGCTGGACGACTCTGTTCCGACGTAGCCAGAAAGGGCCCAGGTGCACAGTGCTTGCCCAGCGACCGAAAAAAGTGCCGTAGCCTTTTTCATCTCGGCGGCTGATAGAGGTTTGAAAAGAGCGTGGAGTATTTGCGAGACACAGAGAACAGAAGCGAGTGTGGTGTGCAAGGGATGAAGAGCAGTGAGTGAAGACTTCTATCCCGAGGATCATGATGGAAATCGACTTCATGTTATAGGAAGGCAAAATCCGCGAACGCATGTCGGTTGGCCCGATTCACTGCTTTGAGCGGACCGCAGTGGATAGCAACAGTCTGCCCGACTCCGTTTCTCTTGGCACCCGAATATCTGCAAGCTGGCGATCATGTTAAGCGAGTGCGAGACCAGAAGACACCATAACCATCGGCGGGGCCGGAGCGGCTTGATACTCCGACTTGCTAGGTCTGTCTAGCCTTCCACGTCGAAGTGCTGATAGTATCTTGGAGCCTTCCGATGCATTGATATTTGATGAATTGGCAAGATCAGCAAGGCTCATTGACTTCAATTTCGTGTCGTGAAATGAAGCTTCGGCGCTCGGAGTTGGTCTCGCAGTTCACCGTTGGTCACCATTTCGAGTCGCATGAGGTAGCCATTGTGCCGAAGAACCCCAAGAGTTCATATTGCTTTTCTCATTAAAACGTAGTTGATGAAATCCGCCCGCAGATACACTTGCTCATGCCCGTGATACATCCATTGCAGCATGTCACTCGAAGCCCAGGCGCAGGCACAAGCTGAACTCAATTGACAGCAACCGAAGGCAAGCCAAAGAGGCTTTGGCAGTCAGTACTCCCTTCCCAAAAAAAATCGTATGTCATGTGAAGGGAGAGAGAAATGCTGTTGAATAAATTCGGTCCTCGGTAAGGTAGGTTGCTTGATTCTGTTGATACTGCTTCCGAATTACGGGGCCCACTTCTCGGTCCTCGGGTCTTGGCGAGACGGACCATTGGGGTATGGTCGGGGTCCGCAGCCCGCAGGCTCTCAGGTGCCATGTTGAACTCCATTCTGTGCGGAAGGCCGTTTATTTTACATGACAAAAGTTCGAGTGGGGACGTCCGTCCAATGTAGAAATCTTTCGCCGGGAGAGGTCGTCCATTCAAAAGCTAAATCCGTAGCGCGCGGCACCTTATTTAATCAGTATTACTTGGGCCGATGACAAATCCATCCAAGTGGCATGCACATTCAGTTCTCAACAACGGGTTGACATCATCTGAGTAATACCTAGCGCAACGGTCTCCAGATCTAGCCAAATTAGGGAAACCTAATCTCCGTCGAGTTTGGTGCAAAGTGCAGCTTTCATTCAGGGTTCTATCCTTTGTCAGATTAGTCTACGCTAATTCCGTACGATACCGAGAATCATAGTCGTAAATGGTGGTGTTCAGAGTATGAGATGTCATCAAGCATTTGTTGTCTGTTGTTACAAATCACGCTAATGGCCAGGCTAACTGTCAGTAACCTTGGTAGTACCTTGGCAGAGTATTTAGACATGAGGACTTACATCTTAGAACTGAATTATTACTATGGCTTGTGGTCATTGCATCTCTTTGACATTACAGCGCAAAACAATTGCCCTACGAAACTGTACTGCTATACGCTATGAAGCTTTACAACACATTACAAGCATGGCTGAGCTGCCATGCTGTGGCTCTAGCTGCTTGCAACGACACTGAAAACCCACGCGTTGACTTGGGCTACGCGACATACGAGGGCACCGCGCTATCCAACGGCGTCAACCAATTTCTCGGAATGAGATTTGCCGCGCCTCCTGTGGGACAGAACCGATTCAAGCTTCCACAAGAGGTCATTCAGGAACATGGCATTGTATCAGCGAAATCGGTAAGACCTGCACAATACCCTGGCGAATGTTTGGACTGACACCAACCAGCACGGATCACTTTGCCTGCCAGTTGATGGCCTCGCATTCACCCCGCCACCTGGACAAGATATATCGGAAGATTGTCTGTTCGTCGATGTCTACCATCCAGCCCATGTCAATGGCACACCAGCCCAAAGTCTTCCGGTCATGATCTGGATTTCTGGCGGAGGATTCGTGCAGCTGCTGAATGAGAACTATAACGGCACAGGGCTGGTTGAAGCTAGTAACAATGGTGTTGTCATTGTCAGCTTCAACTACCGCGTCGGCCCTTACGGATTCCTTGCCAGCGAAGAGCTTCAAAAAGAAGGAAGTCTCAACATTGGCCTCCACGACCAGCGCGCCGCTATGAAATGGGTCGAACAGCACATCGGAAAATTTGGCGGCGACCCCAACAACGTCACCCTCTTTGCAACCTCGGCTGGATCAGGGAGCGTGCTTCTGCACACTCTCGCCTACGGTGGCCATCCTCCTGAAAACGACAACGTCAAATGGCGCGCTGGAATTGCACCAGCTGTATGGCTTCCCTCTGTCCACAAGGTGGAAGAAACCCAGTACCAGTACGATCATCTCCTCAATGCCACCAACTGCAGCGATCTTGCGTGCTTGAGGTCGCTCGACTCAGACATAATCCAACGGGCGAACAGCGGCTTCCCGTTTCCTGGGCAGGCGAATGTTCCTCTGTTCCCTTATGGCCCAGTCATTGACGGGCATCTGCTCACAGGAACACCGTCTGAGATGCTTCGCAACGGCAATTTCGCCAAACACAGGCCGCTGATTCTGGGCTCGTCCAGCACTGAGGGCACCATCTTCGCAACCCAAGCCAATACCACCCAAGACGTCAATGACTTCCTCAAGACACAGTTTCCCGATCTAACAGAGGACGATCTGGCACAAGCCAATGCTCAGTATTCCTCAGTGCCAAGCACTTTCCCTGGTGTCAACGTGACAAAGTCTCCCAAGTTCTACCAGTTGTCCCAGATGTTTGGCGACATGGCTTTCAGCTGCGTTGCGTCAGGGTTTGCTGCTGGACTGAGCCGAGTGGGGGTTGATGTTTACCTCCTACGCGACCACGTCCTCGACCCAGTCGAAGTTGCAGCGGGATTCATTGTTCCACACACCTGGGAATTGCAGGCTGTTTGGGGACCAGATTACGCACCGCAGTCGGTTGCGGTGCCGGGCGCTAATAGCTACGATGTCGGTGGCGTCAATCATGGGATGGTTGGAGTTGTCCAGGCTTACTGGCTTAGCTTCGCCAGGACTGGTGGCAAACCAAATGCCGCAAAAGCCGCAGGCGCACCTTTCTGGGGGCCATACGGTCATGGAGAAAGGCTCAAGCTGCAGACAAACTCAACGACGATGGAATATTTGCATGAAGAGGAATCAGGTCGCTGCGCATTGTGGAGCAAGCTTAGTGCGAAGACACACATTTGAAGGCGTTTGGTGTGATTGAAGCTAGACTCTGACAGTGTGCATTTGTTTAAATGTTTTCACTAGATGATTCAATGTTACCTGTGTCTAATCTACTGCAATGCAGATTTCCTTGGAATTAGGGTACTAATGGACTAAATTCCCTACCAAAGGTATAGCTCTAGCATCTGCTCAATCCGAAGTCCTTCGGATCGGAGTCTCAAGAGCTCGGGTTTAATAATTGAGTCTGGGCGTTTTCCCCCACCCAATGACATATTCGGTGTTCGTTGCCCATCCGAATCTACTCTCGAAGGAACGCTTCGTAGAGACATAGTCCCTAGTGATAGAGGCCGGAAGCAGCCGCTCACAATTTGCACACATTGAGGTGTATCAGAAACGTGAGGCAACGTAGCATGTGAAAGCACATGGCTGAAGTATTTTGTGATTGTATTTGCTATCTTCACGACATGGGAATCATGTTGATTGAATAACAAACGTGAGAAATGTTCGTGGTCTCTGCTCGGGCTCAAAACAAGCTGGTGAGTGTTTCCCGGTAGCTTTTCCCAGACATCGCATTTCAGCAACAGCGTCCTCCATTATTTGCAAGCCGGGTCGTCCTTGCAAGTGAGCTATCAACTAGTCAGCCGTTTCTCTTTACTTTATCTAAGCCCTGAGGGTGAACTTACGTAGCAGCAAAGGGCATAATCCCGACCTTCCAGAGCTGGGGGAGGGGCCGCAGCGATCTGGGCAACGGCGACAAGAAGAAGGCTGACGGTGGCGAGGAATTGCATTTTGAATTAGAGGATAAGTGAATGGTCGTGACTAGAGTAATCGGGTCGAATTGTTACTATGGGTGAAAGGAGGATTGAGCATCGTGGGGTGAAGATGGCTTTTATGCTTCCTCCTAGATCAACCGTGTAGGGAACAGGGAATCGTAAGAGTCGGGTTGCAAGCCAAAAATCCCTCAAAGACTTGTCATCACTTGATCTCAAGTCATGGCCTGGCAATCATTGCCGAGGCTTGTTTCCATAATCTTATCAGATCTGTTCCCGTCGTGGCAACTGACGGCTAAAAAAGCCGTTCCCGCCTTGGCTGTACCCATTCGGGACCCCAATTTAGAGAGAACTAGCGGCATTCATTAAGCAGCCGATGGGATAAGTTGCCACCAAGCAGGGAGATCCTTCAAGCATAAACATGTCTGTGGCCAGAGCATGTTCTTGTAATCTTATCAGATCCGTTCCTATCCAGCCATTGGCTGCTGGAAGGGCGGTCGGCCCTGGCTGTACCTACCCATCTTTAGTACTACAATTTAGCGAAAATATGGTGATGTTGTGTGCTAGAGTTATTGAGCATCAACTGAGACTAAGCTGGTGGCTGGGAAATGCTCACAGTGAGTGATTCGTCGTCAAATTGTGGGGCCTAGAGCAGATATTTTTGGTTTCTCTGATTGTCTTCCTTGGTTATGAGGCCAAATGGCAGCATGTTTGTTGATACCTTGAATTCTTTTAGAAAGGATTTTCTCTTTCTAGAACACTTCGAAGCTGGGCAACGAAACCGAAAATGATGCCTCCTGTACCGGTGATTGAATGCTTAAAGCATTTGGCCAGTAAGAGCACTCTGGTAGCTTGTTATACTTGTAGAGTAGAAGGAACATTAGACCATACGCATGAGGTGCTGCATCGTCTATTTCAAAAGTTTTATGGCATTGCTTGAGGGGAATATCCTGCGGCATTGTTGAATCTTCACGAGTGAGGCGGTTGGAAACTTGCGATGCGCCTCAAGCAGGCCCGGAAAAAGGTACGGTGTAAAACAGGAACAAGTGGCGTTCGGCTCCGATGCGATCGGCCCCGTTACGTGGAGCCGGCGCCGTTGCTGTTCCGCCGGTATGCGCGGCCCGCAATTAGACTTTGCGCGAGGGTGTTCTTGCCGGCAGAAAGGATATCCATCCCATAAAGTGCTGCATGACGCCAGTATAAGAGTATGCGGGGCACAGCGAATCAAATATTGTATCTGTTGATCGACAATTTTTCTCAGCGAATTGCAAAACGGCGAGACCAGACTTGGAGTTCCGGGTACTCAATATGCTGGCGTCATGTAGCACTTGATTGGCTAATTACTGCTTTCGTTGACGAGGAGAGCGTGGGTTAAGGTGCCCATATAGTGTTGCCCAAAGTGTGCCCACGAATTGGAATTTGTCTTAGTCTTTTCACAGGCGGGCTGCGCCGTAACCACAAACTCAAAGAAACGCGAGGTACGGACGTACGGCATCTGGCGGTGTTAGGCCATCATGGTAGATTGGGGTTGCGATTTCCCCGGATTTTCTCGTAGTTCGCCTGACTAAGTACAAGGATTATCCTGTCCGCGGAACTGGCCGAGGAATTCCGAACCCATGCCCCGTCGGAATGACACCAGACAATTAAGTTCCGAGCTTGCATCTCGTTCCGTCGAGGGTAATCCCTAGAAGAGGGGATTCTTTGCTTGCTAAAAGTGACATCTCACATTAGGCAAGGACAGCCCCTCATTCGCAACACTGACTGGCTTTCCCCTTCGCGGTCTAGCTTATTTATTTGGCCAAGTGCTCCTCCTACAGGAATCAGTATTGCCTCTCTTCAGGTAATAGAACTACTCGATTCCAACGGCGCTGTTCATTTTCCACAACATGGGTGTCATAACATTGAAGGCCGGAAATGGTCTGGTCACTTCAGGTACGTTATCATGTAGATTCGCACAGCATTGAAAAACTAGGCTTACGTTAAGATGGTAATTAGTCGAGAGCGGACTGTTTATCAACAACGAGTTCGTCGAAGCCAAGGCGGGCGAAACATTGGACATAGAGAACCCCTTCAACTTGGAGAAGCTAGCAACACTGTCCGCTGCTCAGGGGGCAGATGTAGACTTGGCTGTGCAAGCTGCCGAAGCCGCCTTCTATGGAGGTTGGAAAACGACCCTTCCTCCAGTGCGCGCAAAGCTTCTACACAGGCTGGCAGACCTGATTGAGCAGCACGCCGACGAGCTGGCCCTTCTTGAAGCCCTGGATGCCGGAATCCTTTTCAACGACTCGAAAGGCTTGCACGTGCCCAATGCTGTGTCTACTCTTCGTTATTTTGCTGGTTGGACTGACAAGATCGATGGAAAGCTTTTGCAAATACCTGAGGGCACGGCTTATACTCTTCGAGAGCCCATTGGGGTGTGCACAGCCATTGTGCCATGGAATTGTCCTCTGTAAGTCCTGGGTATTCTGTCTGATATTTTCAAGCAAACTGACGCGGATTCTCTGCCACTTAGCATGATTACTTCATGGAAGCTGGGACCCGCCATAGCCGCAGGGAATACTCTCATCATTAAGACCCCTGAGGCCGCGCCACTATGGGGGCAGAAGCTTGCTAGCCTGGTCAAGGAGGCAGGCTTCCCCGCTGGCGTCATCAACATTCTGTGCGGCGAGGGTGCCATTGCAGGAGCAGCGCTATCGGCACACCAAAAGGTGAAGAAAGTATCCTTCACTGGAAGTACAGCCGTCGGCCGACACGTCCTCCTATCCGCCGCCAAGTCCAACCTCAAGAAAGTCACACTCGAGCTTGGCGGTAAGGGCCCGTCCATTGTTTTCTCCGACGCGGACTGGGACAATGCTCTCTTCTGGACATCATTAGGCAGCACAACCAACAATGGTCAGATTTGTGCCTCTGGATCCCGAATATATGTGCAAGATACTATTTACGACAAGTTTCTACAAGCATTTACTGAACGAATCAACAAGGCCGTACACGGCGATCCTGTTCTTCAGGAGACAACCAAAGGTCCAGTCATCAATGCATCCCAGCAAAAGAAAATCTTCAGCTACATCGAAGGAGCCAAGAACGATGGAACGAGGCTACTTCATGGAGGGGAGAAGCTCGACCACAAAGGCTACTTTGTTCCCAACACCGCTTTTGCTGATGTACCTGAATCTGCGGCGATCATGAAGGAGGAGATTTTCGGACCAGTTCCGGTAAGTACTTTATCCAAGCCCATAAGCTGGAGAAACGATACAAAAGCTGATTCGGGCTTCAGAGCATCGCCAAGTTCTCCACCGAACAGGAGGCAATACAAAAGGCCAATGATACCGATTATGGCTTGAGTGCTGCGGTGTTTACAAACAATGTAAACATAGCTCAGCGGGTTTCAGCGGCCATTGAGTCCGGGCAGGTTACCATTAACTGCTGGGGAATGTTGCATGCCAACACTCCATTTGGAGGTGTTAAGCAGTCAGGATTTGGGAGAGATTTGGGCGAGGAGAGCCTTGATGGCTGGCTGAACTCTAAGACGGTCAAATACTTCAACATTCCTGAGACTTCCAAGTTGTAGGTCAGCTACATCAACCGCAGCTGCGTATGTAGCTTCACCTGAGGTAATCAAATTTGAGACAAGCAAACAAACAGTATGAGGATGTTCACAGGCTATACAATTCCATGCACAGGTTATAAGCTTGCCATGTTTCCCCGGATGGAGAGTTGGCGAGTTCGAACCTAAGCATGCAGATTCACGCAAATGGGGAAACTCCATACGGCTCATGGTGCATCATTTGATAGCATAGTACCCAGTACAAGATTGGACAGCATTGGACAGCTCAATTGTATTGGTTAACACGAAAGTTGGCGTTGAAAAACGTCAGACCAAGATTTGATGTTCTCCCATGTCCTTCATAATATCTTGCCATCTAGCTGGTGTGGCAAGACCATTACGGACGAGATCTCGGTGATTCCATACCGCCTCTAGTATCTTTTCGCCAGACTTGGTATTGTAAATTCCAAGTAGGTGCATGCTACACCATCTGGAACGAATATAGTCGCGCTGATCTAGGAGATCAAGCTCCGCCCCAAGCACCACCAAACACCAACCTAGGTTAGCTCCTGGGCCAAGGGCATCTGGAACCTGCGTCAGAAGTTGAAGTGCTGTCTGAAGAGACTCCTCCATATCCGACGTGAGTGGCTCTTCGACGCCATGAGTAATTCGATAAACATATAGGTGTGACGTGTGCCTGAATATTTCGGCGCTGGCGATCATCCGCCGGCGCAGCTCTTCTTGCTCCAATCCCACCATGGCCGAGTACTTTTCTCGAGCACCATCGCACAGGATTGAAATGACTGGATTCGAGTTATCCTCCATCTTCGTATCTTCAATTGCCTTTTGGAGGTTCTCAGACCGCCTGTGTATCTCCTCGAGGGGGATTTCAGCATCGTAGGAGGCCTTCTGTAGTTGCGAAGCGGCGCACTATCACCTCAATTAGCTGCGCCTGAGCTTTGATTTAGGAGTCTAAATGACTTACCATCAGCTTGGGTAACCTGGAGGAGCATCCGAACAACGCGTCGATCGAGTCATTCTGCTCTATATCTGAGGTATTTGGGCATAAATCAATCCACGACTCAACCTCTTGCATAACCGGTAATCCCACATTCAAAGCACACTGGGTTTCTATGAGACACACCCAGGTCTTTAGGAACGGGTCTAAGTCAGAGTGATCTCCTCGAGAGCGAATCCACCCCCGGATGGCTTCGAAATGTCCTCTCCATCGCGGAGTCCCTGAGAACACCTGGCAGGTTTAGACAAGTCAGCGAATAATCGTAAATTCATGTGACGGGGACAGTGATCAAATCTTCTTGATTACCTCAAACGACACTAAAAGCAGCATGATGGTGAGAGTGACGGGGCTGTTCAGGTCACTCAAATTTCCGAAACGGCCTTTGAGCGCTGCGGCGGCGGCCCTCAGGTATCGGCGCGAATCTTTGTCGCTTATTTTCTGCCAACGGCTGTGATGTGAGGATGCCACAGCGAGTGCAGCACTCATTAGACCGGGATCATGAAGTGCAAGTGGTAACAGAGAGCGATAACCGTTCTCATTGTAATCGATAGCTAGCGCGACGCGAGCGAGGTTTTCTAAACGAATATATCAGCATATCAAGAACATGCGAGCGAGCCTTGATGGTGATAGATAAGAACTCAGGTATTCACTCATACTCATAAAATGTTGCATGAAATAACTATCCTGTGACGGAAGCCCCAGCGATGACAAAGCTTGAGGCACGCAGAATTGATTTCGGGGTAATGTCTGACGAGTATCATAATTCATGCTCGGAAACCCTCGCGTATCCGAGGATCCATCAGATGCTCGTCGTGGTCTCTTCTTTCGGCGAATGAAATCTGCGGGCCATCGCGGCCTGATGCCGTAGCCTTGACATCTTATTCCCCTTTCGGCGCAATTCCTGCATCCTAGAACGGAGCACAACGGTGATGTTAGCACTCGATCGGCGTTCAACCCACTAGGTTCGTGAAGAGGGTGAGTTGGTATGGTTGTGATCTGTCAACGGTGAGGAAATCACCTACGCGGCAAGCTGAGATCGCATATGCGTTTTTGCTTCAAACATGTCCAACAGGCACCACTATCGTTTTGCAATGTTGTTGGAGGAAGATTCCGCGCATCCGCCATTGGAAAGGAAGATTACAGAGCACTGCCTGAAGTCCGCTGACGAAGGTTGGCTTGTGAAGCTTCCAGTGTCAGCACAAAATGGGTCGTTTAGATGTGTGATTTGCGATGGGCGGGGATGCGGAGATGGTGTGGACTAGCTCGAGAGCTGACATATTGAGGTGGCAAGCATGAACCTGTAGACGGGAAACGGAATCTGAACGAGTCGCAGTTCCGAACAACCTTCACTTCCCCGCATTTATGTTATCTTCATAGCCATCGTCTTGCGCATGGACTGTAGCCGGATACCCCGCGTGTTATCACTTGTGCCAGCAGAAACCCTTGTCTGCTTGCCTGTGTCCAATCAGAGCCTTCCATGACCATCCCGGATATATTACATAGCTGATAGAATGGAGCTGGACTAACTACCTCTCTCGCATCTGACTTGGGCGATACCCGTTCATGGTCAATGCCCGCCGATCTCATCCGAGTCTCAAATCACCTCACCCTATGCGGCTTTTCATGAGAAAATTCTTTGCATGTCGACCATATCTCAAATTAGAATTGAGCCTAGCATGACTACATAAAGGGATTTTTGCAACTGCTAAGGCCTATGTTCATCTCCACCCATAGACTGTCGCTCCCTGTCATGAGCTGTCTTAGCAGTCGGGAGTCAAAATCTTCCTGGTATCCAGAGAGGTCGGCAAAAGCGAAAGGATCTGTAAGCGAATCGACAAGACCTATCGGATCAACGAGGGAGCCTTTTCCTGCATCCATATTTTGGCTCATCATACTCGTTTGAGACATAGACGGCAGGATTGCTTCAGATGACTCTAATGAGCCTCCCACCAACCCAAAGGGATCGCCGGCATTCTTTCCGTCGTGAAATTCCAATGCATCGCCATCGTCTCTGTCTGAGCGGGTGGACTCCTGCCTATGGGGCTCTATATCCTCCGAAAGATGACGGGCATAACTGTGAAGCCAATTTTCCTTACATTTAGAGCCGTGGCCGGGTTCAATCTGAGCTTTATCAGAATGCGATTGATGATTTCCTTGGCCGCTTGAGACGTCCTCACGAACTCTTCCTTGAGCGTTTGACACGCTACTGGGGATAAGCGGCACCCACTCCGGTTCCTTAATATCGACATATCTACTGAAATAGGTTGAGAAAACATCTTCGACAGGGGAGCCACTGACGTTTTTCAGGGAAACATTGATATCGTGGACCCGGATCAGGACTTTAATCTAGATCAGATTAGGTTTTAATTTAGCTCCAGGGCGCTTGCGGGGTCTTAGTGACAGGTAATTCAATATACCCAGTCATTCGCGGGAGTATGGAGACTGCTCGCAGCCCCTAAAGCAATGAAAATGAACTTCAGGGTGTCTGCTATCCAAGGACTATGGGGCCTTGAGGCACGGTGAAGATAATTGACCAGGACAATTGCACTCTGCATACATGCATACCCAACAACATGAATGTTCTGTTAAGGCATATTAATAAGGAAGCAAAACGACAGCAAAGTTCAACTTGAAATGTAACTCACCCGAAAGAAGTCTCCTTGCCACATCAATTCTTTGCAGATGGTGCAGATGGCTACTGCGCTTGCCTGGCAGCGATACAGTCTTTCCTCAACAGAAAGCTGTGGTGCAGCTGGAAAGTTTAGTTGTCTGGAGGATGCTTCCGAATTTTCGTGGTCAGGCCCGGTTGTCTTTGGAATTGGAAAAAAGTTTCGGTTCAAGCAGATAACACAGCAGTGCCAAATCAGGGAACACATGGCACTCTGAGTGCGCTGTTCCTGTGGTAGATGCTCGTCCTCGGATGACCCGGGATGGAGTCGTTCCAGCCGTTGTAGCACCAATTGTTCTAACTCCACCTGGTAAGTCCTGAATGTTGAATGCAGGCTCCAGGGCGGTGGGTTTTGCTTGGAGAACCCTGAGGAGCAATAGAGCTGGATGCGAGCATATAACTGTAGAAGTTCCAACAGCTGCGTGAAAAATTGATTGATGCTGGTGTTACAATTGGGTTCTTGATCGCTCTGGTCATTCCATGTCGGACAGCGTGGCTTCAAGGAGGAATGACTGAAAGTTATCATCATTTCCGAGATTTCGAGGTATTTCTGGACTCGATGTAATAGTTCGAGCTTGCTCGGGTTGACCTCTTCGTTTAATAGAGCCAGTTGTACCATCAGTAAAACCAACTTACTCGTTTCTTGCGGCAATAGTCACAAGCAAGTGTGACCTTTCTTCTCAGACTGCCGTAGCCAGGATCCACAGAGGCTTCGGGCATCGTGAACTGAGCTTATGTCTCCGTCGACGAATGGGTTACCCGGGGCGTCAGATGAGGCTGGGGAATCAAGAACGGCCACTTGGTGGCTATCGGTCGATGGAAGGAGTGACCAACGCGGCACAATTAACAGTGTCCAGCTTTCAGATGCCTGGGTACAGGACACAAAACGATGTCGGGCGAGTCGGCAGAGCATGAACGGGTACAATGATGTACAAGTTGCAAGTAACGAGGCTCACTGTGGGACTCAAGCAGGGATACCCAGGCACAGATCCCAGCCGGACCCCTCTTACCCTAGTCAGTCTCACTCTCTGCCCACCGGCCCTTGCTAGTGCGGGAGCCGGAAGCGGCTATATCGCAGACTCCTATCCGACTAATCTTATTGGTCCTAATTTTCCGGAGCAGTTCTTCAGTAGGTCTGTACGTTGCCATGAGGCTTCGTCAGTGACCAGCTCGGTATGTGTGCTCATAGGTTTCTGCTCCCGGCCAATTCGTGTCCAATCGTTGATGTGGCAGAGTATGACGTCTCCTGCTCCGTTTGAGAATCGTACATGTTTGCTGCTGGTACATCGTTCATTTGGCGGATAATAAATTGAAACACAGCCAGATAAATGTTAGTAGTCCCAAAATACTTGTCAAGAAGTAGAAGCGAAAACACTCGATCTTTGACTAATCATTTTCGAAACTTGATACGTATCTTTCCGTATTGCTCAAAATGGTAGACTCTAGAGATGGTTTTACCTGGACGCCCAGCGGAGGCTTGCGCCGCGGCTTGCCCACCATTGGAGTTGTTGAGCCGCCCGTGTATACCTCGCCCTTGTCCGATGGCAATATCGCGTACGACGTCATTGTAATTGGTGCTGGTTATACAGGCTTGGTGGCAGCTCGAGACTTGGCTACGCAAGGTGCGCACTGTAGACCTCTTCCACTATGATATGCGCTTATAAACCGTCCAGGAAAAAAAACTCTTTTGATAGAAGCCCGCGATCGACTCGGCGGACGCACATGGCACGCAACCATTGATGGCTTCAATTACGAGATGGATGGCACGTGGATACATTGGCACATGCCTCATATCTATCGCGAAGTCTCTCTATATGGGCTCCAGGACGACTGGCTTGTCACACAGCAGTCCGGCAGCAAAGAGGACTATTTTACCCTAACGACCCCCAATGCCCAACGCAACATGACCCATGACGAAGAGGCTAGTCTATCTCATCAGCCACAGATGTCATAGGCCAAGAGGATGCTAACGTTTCACCAGGCCGACATGTTTGGACGCGTGTGGCGGATGTTTTGTGATGTAGATAGCGACGACCTTCGACAACACTGGAAGTTCCCATTTGGAACAAAACAGTCGCCCGAGCTATCGGAAGAGTGGGACAAAATGTCCTGCCAGGACCGGCTCAATCAAATCCAAGATCGGCTCAGCTTTGAAGAGAGATCGATGCTCGAGGCACTGCTGAAGCAGATGGGTGGGACTTCCCTCGACAAGATGGGTCTCCTCAACGCCCTTCGATGGTGGGTATTGGGTTCCCACAATCCGACTGGCCTGAACGACATTGCTCTGCACACCAGACTGCGCAGCGGTAATGGCACTTTGCACAGACGAATTTTTGAGCACGCAGTCTCGTCTGGAAATCTATCATACAGCTTCAACTCAGCAGTCAGTAAGGTAGTGGACACGGGTGAGTATGTCACAGTGTTTTCCAAAAACGGCCAATCGTGGAAAACCAAGTCGGTTATTGCAACTGTTCCGCTGAACGTGTTGACCGATATCGAATTCTCGCCGGTGCTTCCAACTGCGAAAGTTGAGGCCAGCCGTCAGGGTCAAGTCAACTTGTGCAATAAGCTGCACGTAGATTTTGATGGTCCCGACTACAAATCGTGGACATCATTCGCTTCTCCCGGAAGAGGCTTTGTGTGCGCTCTTGGAGATCATCCAACACCGGCCAATAATTCTCACCTGGTTGCCTTTGGTCCCGATCCGTCCTCGCCTGGTGGTATACCCCTATCGGATATAGACCAGGTGAAAAAGGGAATTTTGCACCTGCTACCTGAAGGAAAGAGAGCCGAGGTCGGCATTCATCGTATAGTATGTCTTTACCCTGTTTCTGTTGAAAGCATTGTCTAAAATGTACTTTCTTAGGTTGCCCATGACTGGGTCAATGACGACTTTGCCAAGGGTACTTGGTGCTATATGGCACCGGAGTTTACGCAGAAATATGTTGCTGCCCTGCAGAAGCCGCATGGAAATATCTTGTTTGCTAGCGGGGATTATTCCGAGGGCTGGCGGGGTTGGATCGATGGTGCTGTGCAAGCAGGTATGGAAGCGGCTCACACGGTCATTCAGCTTCAGCGCAAGAATCTGAAGGAGAACGGCGGAAGGAACGTCAACGGCATCAATTCTACGAAGATTTGAAGGTTTTAAGACATAGCAAACGCTGCAAGATCGGATCAATCTTGCAGCGCAACCCAACAAAGTAGTTAGAACCGTAGTTATCAAAATCCGATCCATATAACGACTTTCAATCAGAATCAAGCATTCAGTAGGCGAAGATACTTTCTGTTACCTATCAAACACATATTCTGAGGACTTCTTGTTTTATTACTATGTATTTCCCAGCACTCGTCGATAACACGAAGGTATGCCCGGCTAACTTGTTCACGTTACTGAGCCTTTCCGCTACGATGCGAGCAGCGGACGCCTGCCAAAGCTGATTTATGCAACCAAAAGGAGACCGAAGTCAATATTTGATAATAAATGATAGATAGTTGTATATTTGAATGAGATAAAAACTTTGGATACACTGCAAAATCCAAACGCATTGTCCTATCTTTCCGCTCGACCTTCTATCGTTTGCATCAGGCCATGATACCTGTACCTGCCGTATGCAGTCCAGGAGATCGTCGCCGCTGCGAGACCACCGCATACCACCACTGAAGCGTAATTCATGTTCGCTGTGGTGACAGGCTTATACGTAGGGAAGCACATCATGATGATGAGGCAGAGGGACCAAGCTAGAGCCACTGTGGCGACGAGCCGATGGTATTTTCCCAATGAAAAGGGCCCCTTTGGTAAGCTACAATGCTTGAATCCGAACAATACGGCCATGCATATGGGCATAGCGTACGAGATAATGAGCGTAACGGTGCAGGCGCTGGAAAGTCCGTAGTAGGCCGTTGCGTTGCCAACGTAGATGAGACTCAGAAGACATACAATAGCCCAAGTAATCAAAAGCGAAAGTACCGGGGTCTTTGTGCGGCTGTTGACCTTGGAAACGGACTGAGGGAGGCCTCCATCGCGAGCGAAGGACCAGACCACACGAGATGTGGCCGTCATGATGCTGGGCCCCACGCCAAGAAAGCCCATCAGAGGTAGGTAAAGGGTCATGCCAACTGTTACCGCTTTGTTGCCACCAGACACGTTGTAATAAAGTTGTGCCATGAAGCTGATCGTGCCTGTAGGGCCGCTTAGAACCCCGGAGATGTCTGTGATGCAAAACACAACTCCAATAATCCATGGAAACGTAAGAACGGCACTGCACGCTATGTTGATGATTACTGGATGATCATGAGCATGTTAGCAAGTTCAATCATCGTGCTTTTGCTGCGTTGTTAAGTGGGTCTTACAGCTTCGTGGCAGGTCACGCGACGCATGCTTCATTTCCTCGGACATGTGCAACGGACTATCCCAGCTTACAAAACCGATTGCAGAGGTGAGAAGTCCGATAAGCCAGCTAATCTTTAAAGATGTGTCAGTAAGTTTGCGATACTCTGGAGCAAGAAGATCCGAAGAATTCGACTTACTCCGGGACTTTCCCAACCGCTCAAGCTTGTGGAGTCCGTAAACACGTACTCAGCAGTGTTCTTTGGATTAATACGAACCAAGAGGTAGATGACTGTGGCGAAATAGCCGACAATGTGCACGAACATTGCGACAAACAGCAGGCGGTGCAGCATCTTGACCTCAAAAACTGCAAATAATGTGTAGAATGTCGCGAGGCCGATGACGATCTGCCAAAAAGCGCTTGCAATTAGCGAACTGAGGTTTCTCGTATAGACGAACTGGAGACCTATGATAGGATCAAACTCACAAGTGCAGTGTGCCATCGCTCGTATGTGTAATCGGGACTGAAGAGAATTGCCCACGCTTGGATCTGCATTGCGGTAGCAAAGATGCCAGCAAGTGCGCATAGAATCCAGCCAAGCATTGTCATCCAGCCTGCATACCACGAAAGGATTCTTTGGAACTTTGGTGGCGAGAGCTCGGCCACGTAATGGTATTGGCCGCCTGCCGTCGGAATCATGCTGGAGTACTCTGCGATGCAGAGGACAGTCAGGAGAGCACCGAGGCTGCTTGCCACGAACCCCCATACCAAACTTGAACTGCCTCCTGACATCAGACCCTGGGCCATTGTGGACGAGATTGCCTCCCATGTGATACTGGAGCAGAACGACATGAATGCGAGCGACCAAATGTTGAAATTGCGGCGGAGCTCTGACGGCTCTAAGCCAAGTTGCTGAAGTTGGATATCATCGTCGTTGATTTGAGATTTCTTCTCGCTAAGAGCGGCATCCGTTTCGTCTGAGTGGCTGATTTTCGACATCGTTGTCCCAGTCTCGTAGTCAAGACTGTTGTCTGAGCTACTATGGTTGTTTAGAATACTTTCGGTTTCACGACACAAACTGCAACCTGTACGCCTTGCTGCTTTATTGCGCAAAGTGTTGCAATGAAGATCGTGCGTCTACTCCTGTTTTGTAACAAATGCTTACATCAGGGCTGCCAATTCCGACCCCAAGCTCGGAAAGACAATGTTGTGCTGTACAGCGGTTTGATAAGCTCAACTGCTATCTCCAATCTGTAGGTATTCTGTTGTTGACGGTCGCATGCTTCTCCCCACTGGATCGGGTATCGCGCCGGAAAATCGCAGCCTATGAGAAACGTTCTGATAACACCAGATGACCGATGACCAGGGTTAATGCAACCCCAAGAACCGGGGCTTAATCAGGGCGAGTGTATCCGGATGCGCAGTGACCCATTGATTCGACAGGGAAAACATGTCTAGTGTGTAAGTGCATAGCAAGGTCCGCACGATAACGCGGGCATAGCGATGGAAGAATCGGCTCCGAAGCAGCGAGATGCGAAACATCGCCTCAGGACTGAGATAAAAAAGGTTCCGAATGAGTACTTCAAACACCACAACGCAACAATACGCATTGATTTCTCCACAAGCTTCAGTCTTGTCATCGCTTCTCACACAGCGCACCTCGCAAACTTGACCTACAGGCGTTCCAACAATGGCATCTACAGACGAACTGCGAGTAGTCATTGTCGGAGCGGGCTTTTGCGGTCTGACAGCAGCAATTGAGTGCAAGCTTCGAGGCATGCACCCAATCCTCGTCGAAGCATACCCCGGTGCCAGCTCTCACGGTGACTTGCTGGACTTTGTGCGAAATGCCGGTCGGGTCTTCGAGTCGTGGGGAGGAGGAAAGGTTGGCCGCGCGCTCACCGCGGTGGGCGTGAACGCTGCCAAGTATCTTGAGTTCTTCAACGCCGACAACGAGCTCCTGCACAAGGACCCGTGGCCGCAGGGCACCGAGTTTCAATACGTCTACGCTGGGCACCGCGGCGAAATGCATGAGATTGTGTACAGTTACGCTCTGGAGATTGGTGTCGACATGCGCTTTAACACACGCGTCGCCAAATACCTCGACACCGATGAGAAAAGGGGCGTAGCCACCGATACGGGCGAGAATATTCTTGGTGACGTGGTCTTGGCTTGTGACGGCCCAAAGTCAATTGCGCGCCACCAGTTGCTCAACCTGACGGAGAGCAAGGTCAACAGCGGATATGCGATATTTCGAGCCTACTTCAATATCACTGATGAGCTGCGCCAGACTTCTGGAATTGCCGAGTTGCTTCCGGAGGGCGAGGACTGTGTTCGATGCTGGGTTGGACGCGACATGCACGGCTTCATTTACACGTGGAAGAATGGAAGGTGAATTCATTTTGAATTTAAATGTTCCCCCAACCTTGAGCTCTCTTCATTGTGCTTTCACTGTGGGCACATCACAGACATTATGAATCTTTAATCTAACTGGGCTGTAACAACTTTAGGGATTGTGCTTGGGTCTTAACTCACAAGGACGAGACAGACATTGCAGAGTCGTGGTCCGAGAAGACCACCAGGGCGGACGTTCGATACTTCCTGGACAAAGCCAAGTTCCCTGAAGTATGGTACACTATTCTCGAGGCCACTCCAGAGGACCGATTAATTGACTACAAACTTGTGTGGCGAGACCCTCTTACCACTTGGCTCTCCCCTACCAAACGAGCCGCGGTTATGGGTGATGCAGCACATTGCCACCTTCCTACATCAGCTCAAGGAGCTTGTCAAGCGGTCGAAGACGCAGCCGTAGTTGCCATGTGTCTGGAAAGGTCCGAGGGGGATGTTGAGCTGGCGTTGCAGGTCTTTGAACGTATCCGATTCAACCGGTCTCATGTTATTCACCAGGCATCCATATCAACCCGAAATATCTACCACCAACACGACTGGACGCCCGAGTATGTTGCAAAGCACCCTAGCTCCCTGGTCATCCCACTTTTTGACTGGATCACCGAATACGATGTCTACAAAGAGGTTGATGCGCATTTTGACCACCTGGCTGAGGATGCAAGGAGCGGAAAACAAGGCACTATTGAACAGCTGGCGCTGCCAGCCGGTGGGAATTACGATGAGATGGAGATCACTGCAAACAAAGAGGTTTTGTCGGACTTGATAAGTAAGCCTGCGATCGTTGCCTTGGAGGCAAGCTCTGCGCGGGCTTAGACATATGAATCATTTTGTTTGAAATAGTCTGATATAGTTGGCAGCCAATATTCTTTCCTGAAGCAAGCTACGTTGCGTTTGTCAATTATATCCCGTGTGACGGCCTCGTGATATTCTGTGATGACCGATTCAGCAACGGCGACGTGTTTATCTTTTGCATGAAATATTTGCTAGGACAGTTTCACCATGCTTAACAAGTAACACTTTCACTACCTTGAGACTTTATTACCTGGGAAACGCCATACAATTAATGAACCGAATGCTCCCTTGACCAAAAGTTTTGAATCATTATTTTCACAAGGTTCAGCAATTCGCGCTCCTTTTTACCGTTTGTCGCCTGTTTGGGAGCACAACTTGCCCTATTGTGTTTGGGCTATTATTCATCATGGTATGAAATGCTACGAGGGCTCTTCGCATTGACTGCCTCTCATTGAACAAACTAGATTCCTCTCCTACTTCGGCGAATAGGTCTCGACAGTGATTTCAATATGTAGCCCAGGGAAGACCAGAGATTTGACCTCCACGCCCGTCCACACTGGTCGGGTATTCTTCAGATAAGACTTTGCAATTGGGATCACCACACCAGCAATGCCTTTGCCATTGTGCGCAACTTCAAAGGTTTTCACCTGTTCCTGAGTTCAGCATGCACACTACATCACCGGGGTTGGGAACAAAAGTCATACAGAATAGACGTGCTCCCATGCGTCGTCGCCAAGACCAGCCGCCTTGAGGCTGCGAGAGACATGTTCGAAAGCTTCTTTTACTTCATCCTCGATGTTTTCAGGGATCGAACCGTCGTCTTTGATTCCAAGCTGACCGCCAACTATGATTCGACTGGCATTCGGTGGCACAACCACGGCATGCGAGATGCCAAAGTCCTGGGCTGAGGCTTCACCTCCGGCCCAGTCAGCAAAGCGGAAACCGTACTGTGTAAGCGTTGACTCTGCCATGTTCGGAATGCACGGAAAACTATTCGCGGAAGTTTTGCCATTTTGACATTGCCACTGTCTCACGTTCTTGGGTTCATATACCAAAGAGGAATCTGTGCGTTATTCTGTTCTGCCAGTAACAAAATCTTCCCTTCACGAGTTGCCATCGGAACCAACAGCAGGACCTCGGAATGACTCTTCAGGTGGCCGGGTGGGATACTCGGAGGCCGCGGGCTGATGTGAAACGACGACGTCAAACAATCAGACCGGGAAAATTAGCTTATTGGTTAGTTCTTATCTGGTCCTCGCAACTTCAGGTATCCGGATATTTTCTGGACAGCTAATTATTTCCTATCGGTCAGCTTCTTGGTTGGTAATTGCGGCCACCTCCTAGGCCACAAGCAGCTAAGCTACACGATATGGTGGAGCAAAATTACTAGGATGAATGCGGGGTAGGTAATTACCTTGCAGAGCAGGGTACCACTGTTATCTAATCTACACATGCACTCTCAGTACTGGGTAGGTTAAGACTGGCTAAATGAGTATGCAATAAAGCCGTAATAGCCATGCCGTGTTAATTTCTCGACAGGTTATGTTAAACATTGATCATCTGTACATGCACATTGACGGCGTTGTGATTTTCAAACTTCAGCGCGCTGATCTTCGAGCCATGGCCCTCTCTTCAAAAATTGTTGTGTCGGTACAACAGAAATGGCATTTGGTCCTGCCGTGTTTCGTGTTAGTCTATTTTCTTTGGAATCGTTACCAAAGAAGGCTATCCAAAGTTCCCGGTCCTTTGATAAACTCATTCACTACGCTGCCGCGAATGTGGTCGGTCTACCGAGGCCACCACCACCTGGACGAGCTGAAATGGCATGCCAAGTATGGCAAAATCGTGCGTGTAGCGCCGAACCTGGTAGCGATATCCGACGTGGATGAAATCAACCAGATATTCGGCATTGGCACCAAGTTCATCAAATCTCCATTCTATGATCTTTCAGCTGTCTATGATGAGGAAGGCCTGGTCCCGGATCCGTTCGTAATTCGACATGACAAAGGACTCCACTCGCGCATGAAGCGCAACGCTGCCAATGCATACAGTATGAATGGGTTGGTACAGTTCGAACCATGGATCAACACCGTCATGGACCGATTGGTCGCCATTCTGGACAGGAATGCCTCATCTGGAACAGTCTGCGACTTGGAAAACCTGCTGAAGATGTTCGCCATGGACGCTGTGTGCACTTTGACCATGGGGCGAGACCTCTCTTACATGGAAAAAGGTGACCATCTTGGCTTCTTTCCAACTCTCGATCTCTTCACCAGTTACATGTCTATTGTAAGTCATGTGTATTACGAAATTGAAGTAACAAACATACAAGGGTCAACTGACAAAAACTAACAAATTAGATGGGCCATGTCCCTTGGCTGCATCCAGTCTTGTTGGGCAACCCAACAATCGCAAAGTACATGACAGGTAGTGATAAATCTGGCACGGCCTTATTTGACCTGGCAACCAAGGAGCTTGAGAGAACGCGGCGTGAGCCTCCCGTAGAGGATGCGCCCATGACGTTTTTGGCCCGATTAGGCCTCAATCAGGACGCGAATCCCAAGTCGATTACAGATCGTGAGATCATCACTCACGCCTTTGGGAATCTCTCAGCCGGTTCCGACACCACGGCCGCCGCTATGAGATCCGTCTTCTACAACATTCTCCGCACCCCCCGAGCTTACGCGCGGTTGGCGAAAGATGTCAGGGAGAACCTACAGCTGCCAGTCACTTTTACCAAGGCATACGCAATCCCTTACCTACGAGCAGTCATTCAAGAAGCTATGCGCTTACATCCTTCTGTTGGTCAACTGCTTGGTCGAGTGGTACCTCCAACAGGAGCCACAATAGGCAAGTACTACCTGGCACCGGGGACAGAGGTCGGTATGTCTCCATGGGTGGTTCATCGCGACCCGGATATTTTCCCAGATCCTGATGCATTCATCCCGGAGAGATGGCTTGTCGGTGAAAACGGCACAACCGAGGCTCAGCTTCGCCGAATGGAACGATCGTTTCTTGCATTCGGTCATGGATCGCACACATGCAGTGGCAAGCATATCAGCATCATGGAGGTCACCAAATTGGTTGGAACACTTATTTTAAAATATGATATGGAATACGTTAAGATTGGGGGAGGTTACACATTTGTGAATCACTGGTTTACATCCCAGACTGGTTTGAATGTAGTGTTCCACCACGTTCAAGAAAGCAACGCTTAGATGCAGCAGGAGAGATAAGCCACTCACATCCTTTTTCCCTCCTATCCTAGCTAGTTTCCACATACGCCTAGGAAAAGTCGTTACAATGAGTTGATTTCAGCTTGTCTTTAGCTAAACGTAATTCTGTCAAAGGCAATGATGAGCTTACCCTGACAATCACACAGGCTTGAGATGAAATACTAATATTCTACAAACTGCAGCTATGATTACGACTTGGTCCATTTGGCAAGGTCGGCACGAAGGTCTCCAGGAAACGAAGATAAGTAGCGACTTCGAGTCAAAGTATTTCACGACATCATTTTAAGTCAGGCAACTTCATGCTAGAGTCAACCGGATGAATGAGCAAGGGCACATTTAAGAGCCTATGATCATTCCTGGTCGTCTGGTCATTAACGTTCTTATTTTGAACGTGCACGAAATCTGGGAAATTGGCTACATCGCGATTTATATGAGTTCTGACCTAGAGTTCCGACCTCGTTGCCATCTTGATATTCCAACTCGTAGGTTGCCTCCGTAGATGTTGAATGGCAATCCTCTAGCTCCAATCTTGCGGCAACATGTGACATGAAGATGAGATGACATTCTGTTGCCATGTGAATACACGTTCGGAGAGTATTCCGCATCAATCGCATCTTCCGTCTTACTTCACCTTCCTTCCTGTCCGGTACAAGCCCCACTCTCATTCACCTCATCTCATCCCACGTTGAAAACCTGATCGCACGAAAGAATTTTCACCCTTTCCTCCTCTCTCGTCCCAGCCTCATCACGACTCTGGGTTGGTTCTAATCGTCGTCGTCGTCGTCGTCGTCGTCGTCGTCGTCGTCGTCGTCGTCGTCGTCGTCGTCGTTCACAAGATATCGCTTTTCATACGGAGACGATGTCAAGAAGCTCCTGAGAAGGTCCTCTAGGTAATGATGTCCATGTTTTCAGGTTTTGGCATCTTTTGACTTTCATCCAGAACATTGAATCGGCTTCGCACTCAATATCTCACGAAACTGGCTGCTCTTTCAGCTTCCACGCTCGCTCTCGACCACCCACCCCATCCGTGCGCATCGTATCAACGGCAAATCCCCGAATGGAGATTTGTATGCAAAGTTCATCCCTCCAGCTGCAAAGTAGGATAATCTCTGGTTTATTTGGTTGTCACAGATGCTGATACAAGCTTGCCAGAGGCGAATTACGCCGACCCATACACGATGGCGAACAACGCTTTCCAGGGCCCCAACCCAGGCCTGGCTCAGAACCCGAATCAAGGTCTTCCCGCGAACCAGAACCAAGGCATTGCTGCGAACCAGAACCAAGGACTTGCCGCAAATCCAAACCCAGGCCCTGCCCCCAACGCGCCTCCAGCCTTTGTGATGCGACCCAAAGGCCCCCAGTTGCAGGACATGGCCGACCCAGCGTTCCTGCAAAACCCGCCCGCCCAGCGCCCGCCTCTCGGCCCACTCGATTGGGCATTCCACTCAGTCAACAACCCGCAGCTCAGAGTTCTGCTTGCCTATGAGAACCCGCAGAACCTGAATATGCAGGTTTGGATCGATCCGATCAACATTGGAAGCACCATCGAGCACTGCGACCCCTGCTTCCAGGGCCCGCAGGGCCAGATCCACAAGTGGAAGGGACCACACACCATTGCATACCTCCCACATGGTGCCAAGCTTGTTCGAGGCTTTGGCTGGACTCTGACTCCTCAAGGAGAACTCATCAATCTGAGCGTCCTTTACCTGCCGATCAACATCACCTTCGGCAAGACTGTCGTCACGGTCGGAGAAGTCCTACAGCACCTGATGAACAAGGTCAAGGACAGCTTCCCCCACGGCCCGGCTCTGATTGCTGGTGGCAATCTAACCCCAGTTCAGCTGAGCAAGACCATGTTAGCAGCCACTAGTCAGTACCATGGCACCGTCAAGCACTTGATTCACTTGTGCGACTGGATTGGCGGCGTCCCTCTTCAACAGACCTACTATTGAGGGAGTTGTTCTTTGACAACATAAGGTTCTTTGGGATTTGTCTTGCCGGAAAGGAAACATTGTTGGCTTTGTCGCGAGAGGTAGTTTGTTCTAGGTCGAGTTGCCTTCGAAGTATTCTAAGGAGCACAGCAAGGATTGGAGATTTTGCTGCCCCGACTCCAACCTCGATTCATTGCATTGGGGTTGACAGATAATACAAGAAAACCGAAGCAAATGTTCTGCGAACTTCTGTGCCGTCTCCAGTTGAACCCCAGTCACTCGAAATATCCCACAGAATAAGGTTAGAGCTAGCTCCCTGCCCATGACGCAAGAAGCTCAACCAAAACTCCATGTCCGGCTGCTGGAATGTGGGTCCCGGCTGCAACTTTGCTTTTCCCCAATCCATCTTCTGGTCGGAGCTTTGTAGGAGGCGGGGAAATTGAAGCCGAGGTCAAACCAATGACGCCAGTTGTAGCACAGATATCGTCGATTTCAAATCTTCCCCTCTCTCAACAAACACCATCCGTCACATTGATATCTTGCCATCGATCAGCCGTCCACGTCGCCAGAAGCATCAATTCCTCTCCAGATCCCTTCATATTACCCAGATACAGTTTCTGATTCTCTCTAATCAGTCACCATGGTCAAAGTCGGCGACTCCCTGCCTTCCGGCACCAAATTCACGTAAGCCCCTCCCTTCGACCCTTTGACGACAGAGGACTGACCAAACCTCCAAGCTACGTGCCTTACGACCCCCAAACCGAATCTCTCACAGCGTGTGGCCTCCCGATATCCTACGACGCCTCCGCCGAATGGGCCAACAAGAAGGTCGTCCTCTTCGCCGTCCCCGGTGCCTTTACCCCGGGCTGCTCCGCCCGCCACCTCCCCGGCTACATTGAGAAGCGCAAGGACCTCGTCGCCAAGGGTGTCGACATCGTCGCCTGCATCGCATACAACGATGCCTTCGTGATGAGCGCCTGGAGCAAGGCCAACAACGTCAAGAACAGCCCCGAGGAGATCCTCTTCCTTAGCGACGGCGAGCTCGCGTTCAGCAAGCAGATCGGATGGACGATGGGTGAGCGGTGTGCACGGTACGCGCTCGTGATTGACAACGGAAAGATTGTGTACGCGGAGAAGGAGGAGGTCCCGAAGGAAGTCAGTGTTAGCGGTGTTGATGCAGTGCTCGCGAAGTTGTAGATGAGCTCAGTACAGGTCTAAACGCAGATTTCCAATGGGCGCACCGCAAGTCCTGTTTTCCCGTCCTGGAACAACTTTTTTGACCTCTTCTCTAATGGGCTCGCCATCACCGTTGCCTCCAATCATCTTCAATTGTCTCCGTCGTCTCCGTCGTCTCCGTCGTTGTGGAAAAGATCTGTTTCAATCGTGATGTCCGAAATCGGTTTCCATTTGGCATCGTCCTCCGCGAGAGAGCCTCCAGTGGGGAGCTTGAAGGAGTTGAACGGCCATCTCTGCAGTGACTCATCCACCGGCACCCGACAGTATGTGATGTTGGAATCGACGTCGGAAGAGCCTATCTGCACCTTGGCATTTCGGGCAACGAGCAGATGATCGATATCAAAGACCCTCCACGGAGTCAACTGAATTTGCTCCAATTTCGGTAGTGAGCGTAGAAAGAAGCCGGCAATACGTGCCCACTCCGGGGCGTGATTTTCAAAGCATAATAACGGTATAGATAACATCTTGAGACATCTGCCGAACTCAAGGACCCCCTACGGAAGGCAGGTTAGCTCACTGGGTCACTCCTCCAGATATAGAGGGAGCAAGCCTTACATTGTGAACGTCATGGGCCAACTCATCCACTGTGTCGTCATGAATGCTACCAAACATGGCAAATCGCTCTAATTGCGGGAACGCCAGGAGAATGGTGCGTATGAAGGTGCTCTTATAGGTCATCTTCGTATTTCCCAAAGTGAAAGATGTCAAAGTATCGCTTCGAAAGGGACCGTTGATTCGAATGAGTTTGTTGTCGTAGTTTGCAGTGTCCCACCAGAAAAGTGTTTTCGTGGAAGGGCACCGGGAAATCAAGTATTCACCCAGCCGAGACCCCGCCCTGCCATCGCCAAGCCTGAGCCGCAATGTCTTCATTTTCTTGAAACACAAACAAGGGGTTGCATAAACGAGGCTTCGCACAAGACATTCGATACTACTCATGTGGTCAGCACAACTGATCGATAGGATGAGTTCCTCGATAAACGGTGCCATAGACGTCAGAGCGTAGCCAAGATGCGTTCCGAGACCGTGACGTTTGAAATATGTCCGTTGCCTCGGTGCACAAATCGGGAGATCCATGGACGCGAAATCTTTAGGGTGAAGTGCGATCTTGAGGGATCTTTTCAAGAGACGTCAGCCTATGTTTGATGGAAGAAAATCCAGTACTTACCTCGCGACCTTCACAATGTGAGGCATATTGTTGAAATCTTGAATCTCTCTCAACACCTCTGAAACGGTCCCAGCGATGCAAATAGTACCAAGAGCTTTGGCCATCAAGTCGGCTCTCATTGATGACGAAGTGCTGGACAGCATTGCAAGATCCTTCTTGGTGAGATAGCTGTTGACTTGAACTTGAAGTTCAGGCAGGAGCTGGCAGTAGGAAAAGTGCGCTTTGGTCGCATACGCCTTGGGTAGAGTGGGTTCAGTACCTTCCGCGTGGAGATGGATGTGCGAAACAGGCGCGTGGACGTCCCAGACCGGCTCGTAAGCCAAATCACACTCGAAGACCAGATCCTGGGCATGAGACATCTTAGAAGAGAAAGGGGGTAGTGGAAGTGATGCCGATGGTGAATGGATGGTTGAAGTTTTGGTGGTGGTGTCAAGGTATGAAATGAGGGCAAGTTGAAAATTTCTCACCAGACGGGGGGCAGACTTCGAGCAGGTTGTTGCGAAAGCTCAGCTTCGCTTGGTCCAAGCTCAAGTCATAGAGAATACCAGGTTATTATCATCGGAGTATTGTGGCTCTCGAAACGACGACAGAGGCAAGAGCGACGGGGACGAGAGAGACAAGAGCGAAGGGGACGAGAGAGACAAGAGCGAAGGGAAAAGGATGAACATGCATGGTTGTCATGATCCCTTCGTCTCTGAGATCGATAGGACTTCGCCGGACAATTGCTTCCGTTCAAGGTCCTGGCAGACGACGGCATTGGCTCCGTGATGCCTTTGGCTCCAGGCTGCATTTTTGAGGGCATCTCTTTTCTCGATCACTACGTCGTTGAAACCGAAGATCGCGATGGCCGCCGCCCACGTTCCACATCTTTTGGATGGTTGGCGAGTGTCCGTCCCTTCAACGTCCAGCCCAGAAGCAACAGTTGAGCAGCATGATGTCGACCTCATATCCAGCTTGAAAGAGGTGTTTATGTAAACTAACTATGAATACTTAAGAGTTGTACCATTCTTGGAAAGATGGCCCATCCTTATCAATTGAGAGAAAGAGGCAGATCGTGAGGGGTGCAAGGTAAATCTCATGAATGCTGCTTGCAGCATTACGAGATTGATGGTCTTCTTGTCTTTGAGCCCCATGTTCCCATCTTGCAATTTAATCACAGGCATAGATCACTCATCCTGATTCAACAACTGTCCTAAAGCGTCAGCGACGCTGTACTAGCATGAATACCTGGGACAATGCCGTTATCGGCAATTTTCATTCTTTTCGACTTAGTCATTTATAACCCGCACCATGCGAGAAACGAAGAAAATCTTGCGCTTTTGCACGCGGTTTATCGATCCTCTGGCGTGTTTGACTCCGCATCGAAAGGAGTATTGTCAGGCGGCATCATTACCGAGTTCACTGGAATGGCACGATATGTCTCGGATTTTGAATAAGGTGCTATGGAGTCGGCGGTAGAATCATTCGAGAGCACTCCAAGTAGTGCGCCAGCGGCGGCCTCAAATGACTCCGCAACGAAGGCGTCTGATAGAGTTGGCACCGCATCACTCAACTATCCTAGTTATAGCAACCAAACAGTTGGTGTGCAGATGGGTGAACTGAAGACCTTGTTCGGATGGGTATTTTCCGACCGGAGTGACGACATATAGCATGGCCAGGCTGAGAGGCGGCAGCGTGAATGTTGACAGTGAGCGACAGTGGCCGACCTCAGACAATTCTGACTATCAAGTGAGGCAGGAAGTTTGGGTTGCAATCATCAGATTCCGATTGGAGAGCAGAGATGTTCATTGCAGCGCTTATGATGATAAAAAGGCATGTGATACAAGTAGGAGTACATGTTGAGCTCAGTAGCTGTAGACCGCGGCAACGGCGACAACCCTCGCAAGGCAACCTTCAAAGCACCTTAAAAGCGGACACGTCCCTTGGTAAAAGCAAGGGCCAGCCATCCAGCAATCAAAGCGAGACCACCAATGGGAGTGACAGGGCCGAGGAACTTGAGGTCGGGGTTGAGGATGAGAGCGTAGATGCTGCCACTGAACATAGTTATGCCAGCGGTGAAGAAACCGGCAGCAACGGGGTTTTGGCGGGCGATGAGCAGAGCGATCGAGTGTGCGAGCTAATTCTCATGAGTATTCTCGGGACGAATTCATCGGATGAAGATGATAGTTCCATGGGAGGATATTTACCTGGTAGTGGGCTGCGGTCGTCCAGCTGGCGATCTTTGCGGGATCAGAAATGCGGTTCTTGAGGCCGTGGGCCCCGAAGGCTCCGAAGCCGACGGCGGTGGCGCCGAAGACGGCTCCGACCTTCCAGTACAGCTGGCTGCTCATGGTGTCTTCTTCGTCCTCGACGGTGTCGGGCTTGGGTGATTGATTCGGAAGAAGCGAGGTGGTCTCGTCGGCTTCAGTATTGGACATGAGGGATTGATGGGATGATCTGATGGTTCTGAGGGTGAAAGACTCGCGGTGGCTCGCTCGCTGAACGCGACGCTCCGAATGCCGACAAAGCACGCGAGAAGCCGACTGGACAGGTCCGGCTGAGTAATCGTGGTCTTGGCGGGAGAGCCAGCTGTCGACGGCCGCAGCCGCAAAGTCATAGTGGAGTTCGCATCCAAGAAGCAATCAGATGAACGAGAGTGCTTGACTTCAGCTGATAGGCTGGACAATCTCTGGTCTAAGGGGCGATGAATAGGATGATGTCGAACATCAAGATTTGAATTTTTCCCAGGACGGGTTTAAACACGAGCGACCCCGTCGATTAACAACGACAAGACGCCCGCCAAGCTATTCTGGAATCTAGGCTGGACCGTGCGAGCAACTCAGGATCCAATTCCGGCCTGTCTATCAACAACAAAGACGGTTTCGTGGTGTAGTTGGTTATCACGTCAGTCTAACACACTGAAGGTCTCCGGTTCAAGTCCGGGCGAAATCAATAATTTTTGCTTATTTGACGAACTTGTCCGTTGTTTTTCGTTCTCTTTTCCTCCAAGTTCTTTTTCCCCAGATAACTGAGATAGACATTCAGTTAGTTCAATTTCGACTTGAATTTTGCCGCCTGGCCTACCTAGACAAGAACATCGCCAAGACAACACATAAGTCACTGCGATTGACAATAAACCCCGAGTGAGATCGGCGCCTGAAAGGAGACTAGCGCCAAATGCCCCACCCGTATTCAAACAATTCCGACTGGTTAGCAATACGGCTGAAATGCTCTGCGAATCGCTCAATTTTCAATACGCGGGATCTTGGAATACGGCGGCTTCGATCCACCAGGCACTGCCTTGCGATGGACCTGGCGTCATCTTACCCAGTAAAACTTCATGAGTTACGAACTGTGCTTCAAGAGAAGAAGTTGAGTATTCTTCCTAGTTCCCCTTAGTGATCTGGTTATAAAATGACGATATTTGCCTATTGCCAGTCCAAGGTTGTTGTTCCATTTACCATGATTAGAGTCATCAACGTTTTAGCCTGACGTGTTGATCCAATGTGTAGTTGCGTCCAAGCAGAAGACCACTGCCTTTCACACCAAGAACAACCTAAACGAAAAATATCCCTTTGTAGCAAATCTTCCGATAAGAAATTCATATGCGCTTCTAGTGAAAGCTCTAATCGATGTAAACACAATCTCTTACTTAAAAAGTCTCACAGGTGATCGAGAAATCTTTACGTGAGGAATCGTCAAGTTGCTCTGCCTATGCGAGCACAGTGCATGGATCTGGGGAATGCAGGCTAGGACCGGCGGCACCGGGGTGGCTTGGCTCCAGCGACGTGGATCATCTGGAGACTTTAAAGGAGTGTCTGGGCTTGTCCTGCCGGGGATAACACTCTGGACCCTTCATTCAATCTGCACTTTGATTCAACGTCGTCGAACCTCAACGTTTGAGCGGCCACCACTGCTCCCGTCCCCTGAACGTCTGCAACAACTCGGTTCTGCGATCTTCATTTCGGAGCCAGTTCGTCCATCGTACCCTCGTCAGCTCAGTTCTGTCAAGGAAAATGCGTCAGAGAACGCCGCATCGGAAATCGCGGTTTGGCTGCAAGGAATGCAAACAGCGCCACGTGAAATGCGACGAGAGCCGCCCGTCATGCGTCAACTGCTCTACTGCCCTCCGACGGTGTTCATATCTCGACACCGAAACGACTCTACCTTCGCCATCGGCATTTATGTATCAATGCCCGAGCCCAGCTGCATCAACAGAGTCATCGGCTGCGGCGGCTGGCTCTATCCCAATCGAGCAACCCTTGTACCGGCCACAGTACCCACCAACAGAGCCGTATGACCTTCTCCACATGGAGCTGCTCTTCCATTTTGAGCACGAGCTAGGGGCCGAGATGGAGTTTGGAGACTCGACGCGGGAAAAGTTTCAACGGATGTCCATCAAGCAAGCACTCGGCACGCCATATCTCATGGACGAACTGCTAGCCTTATCAGCCGCTCATATGAGCACCCTTCCTGGAAAGGACCAAGCATTTTACCGAGCCGAAGCAACACGACTTCAAACAAGAGCGTTGTCGCAATTTAATCTTGCCAAAGCTGAGGTATCAAACGACAACTTCCTGGCAATATTTCTCTACTCGACTTGGCTCGGCCAACATGTCTTGTTCGACACCTTCATTCACCAAGGTAATTTCGCGACAGTGTTGGATAAGTTGGTGCACTGCATGAACCTCCACCGTGGCATTCGCACCATCGTCGCTGGGTCCTGGAGCATCTTACGAGGTCATCTTGTGGCACACCTAGGCCCAGATTCACCGTTTGTGGATAGTATCATCATCGAGCCAGACGCGATGGAAAGTGGCATCGAATGCGCGGGTCTGGTGGAGCTCTTCGACAAAAGCGATCTCGGCGAGTCAACGCGTTTGGCATGTGGCGAAGCTATTGACGCACTGCAACTCATGTTCGATGTGCAAAATAAGCCTGAAATCACACCGGGCAGACGGCGGGCGACTGTGCAGGAATGGTCAATCAGAGTTCCAACGGAGTATGTCAATTTATTAGACCAGCAGCGGCCGGAAGCTCTTGTGGTACTAGCGTACTGGGCGGTCCTTCTGCATTTGTCAAGGGAGTACTGGGCATATGCAAATGCTGGCAAGGCTCTTGTCCAGTCTATCTCTGCTCATCTTGGCACGTACTGGAGTGAGTGGTTGGCTTGGCCGCAGAAGATGGTAGAGGAGCCTGGTACATGTAATCCGGTCGATCCGTCGTTGCAATAATACCTGAACCTGTTGCGATCAATTCCACTCACGCCTTGTACAGAGTGGTGATGATGATTCGTTTATTCAAAGTCGTATGCCGCACAAACTCATATACATATATACATCTCACGTACTGGAAGACTCCTCCACTCTGGTCATTTAGAGACGGTAGCAATCTTCCGATGAAGGATTTCATCTCGCACGAGCAGAGAGATGAACCTTCATCTCAGTCTTGTGCCACGTGGTAAACATCTTCTGCCTTCCAAGCCACCCAGCACTATCAGGGTGCAACTTCATGTCAAAGTTCCATACGACGCGTGCGAGAATGACGCGGATCTCAGCGTATGCCAAGCTGCATATGTGTCAGATCTTCTCATATCAAGCAAGACATATGGGGCCTAGGTCATGACTTACTTCTTGCCAATGCAGTTTCGCGGACCAAAGGAGAACGGCTGTGCGGCACTCTTCTTGTCTGACTCGAAACGTTCGTCGCCAAGCCAGCGCTCGGGGTGGAAGCCGTCGTGCTCGCGGAAGTTCACCGGAGAGCGATTGACAGATAAGTGGTGCACACCGACGGAGTAGCCACCAGCAACGAATTCGCCGCATACGGTTCTTCCACCATCAGGAACCACTCGAGGGAAGGTGCCGGGCCCCGGGGGCCCAAGGCGAAGAGCCTCCTCGATGACGGCGGTGAGATAGCTTAGCTTGGCTGTGCTTTGGATGGTGATGTCCTCCTCCTTTTCGAAGGTGTCACGAATCTCAGCAGTCAGCTTTGCCAAGGTGTCGGGGTTTTCGCAGAGGTAGTAGGTCGCGGTGGTGAGTGCTGTGGCTGTGGTCTCACTTCCAGCGACGATGAGGACCTGGGCAGCGGCGTAGATTTCTTCCATGGTCATGCCCTTCTCATCAGTTCCTTGGAGAACATAGTACACTGCACCGTTGGTCAGCAGCTTCTTCACGATGTCCGACGGCGAGGCACTTACTGAAGTCGGGGCGTTCAGTCTTTTTCTCTAACCGCTTGTTCACGCGCTCAACACCAAAGTTAAACTGGGCAACTCTCGTCTTGATGAGGCGGCGGGGAATGAGAAGCAGCAGCATCTCAGACAACGGCGAGGGGAAACGACGAGCGGCGCGGAGGTAGGTACCGGCCTGGAAGATGTCGAAAACGGCATGAAGCCACCAATGCCATTGCGCATCCCGAAGACAGTAGAAAGGTTCGCCGAAAGCCAGATCACCAATGATGTCGAATGTGGTGAAGTTGTACCATGAGTTCATATCCACCAACGACGTGTCGGGGCTGGAGACTTGGCCATGGAGCTGATGAACCAGAAGGTTGACATAGCCGGTGATGACGGACTCTTGGGCCTTCAGTGCTTTGTCGGAGAAGGCTGGGTTCTGGAGCCGACGCATACGCTTGTGACCGGCATCGTCGGCAGTGAGAATGTTCTCAACACCATTGACATTCTTGTTCCACCATTGGGCATCCTTCTCGTAGTTACCATTACCTTCCCGATTGGGAAAGCCTGATTCATGTTAGTCAATGTAAAGACCAAGCTAATGGGTGTAAAAACGCACCATAGATAGCCTGCCAGGCTTGAATGGAAGTGTACGAGAGCTCGCCCGGCGCAATTCGGACGACTTCGCCGTACTTCTCGTGCCATTCCTTGACCTTCCAGTGACTTACCCCACGGACATCGTACCAGAGATAGTAAGCGCGGGTAACTCCAGCCAGCTTCGGACCAGGATAGTGGCGAAGTGGATGTAGGAATGCGTTGTAAACGCACTTGGCGACAACTCCCAAGATCGCCTGGGATCGAGCCAGATTAGTATCAATCTGTTAGTCAAGTTTTCGTCCCTCAGACCTACCAGAAGCACAATAATTCCAAGCACCGCCATTGCAGCTAGTCAGTGAGGTTGCAAGACCCCGCCTGTGTACGATACCGCGCGGAGGCCCTTGGGCATATGAAACGAAGGGAGCAAGGCGTAGTCGACAAATCACCTGACAAGGGCAAGAATACTCTCATGCGCAGCTGTCCACGAGTATTCGGGATGTGGAAACGGCATCACGTTCCCAAAGGGGGAGGGAATCACGCCCGTAATATGACGCATCGCCGCTGTCGGGTGTGGGAGCCGCTTGGCGAGTCATACAGACAGCTCCCTATCAAGAAATCAATTCGCGGCGTCAGCGTACTGTTATCTGTCAATCAAGCAGGTGCTTAAACTTTCGGTCAAAGGATCCGCTGCCATTGTCACCCCGCACCGTGGGCTTGGGAGCGGATGGCCCCGAACTTCACGAACCTACGCCGTTACGCTTGGACGGACTGGGCAGCGATGGGACGTTCGTCGATGCTCATCTTGGCTTCTGGGGTAATCGTGGAGGGCGGCTGACTCGCCGCCGGCCAAGCAATTTAATATACTTTAGCGATTACTGCCGGGACCCGTTTCCTCCACTGATATGAATAGATATCAAAGCTTCGATCTGTGGGGGCAGCCTGTGGCTGCGGTGCCGCGCTGTCGCACGAATGTGACAATACGGAATTACTCGTCACCGTCGTCGGAGTCGTCGTCGGAGCTGGCCCGGCCGGCAGATGAGGTCTTATCCAGGCAATGCCTGCTCACTGGTCGTATGCCCTGGACGATCAACTCGTTCTCGGACGAACACTCCTAGGGTGCCCTGGTCGGGCGTAGATATCGCGAAACGTGACAGGCCTGCGCGAAACATCTACCCTGTTGTGTGCCGATTCCCTGGCGGTGTACCCTGGTTGTTCAATTCCACATGGGATGAACCAATGAACTGTAAGCCATCGAAGATGCAGCTCCCAGTGTAATGGAAGAGATATGCAAAGACGAGGAGGTAATGGAGGTAATGCGGTCGCATGTGATAAATTGAGGAGCTTGATTCTCCAGAACCAAGGCTCAGCTCTCAACAATACTCTACTTTCGTGTTCAGAAGCTTCAGCGCCCTTCGAACTATACCACAGTCTTTTTTTTCAACAGCCGCCAAAATGGGTGAAATGATCATGTCAAATGAGCCCTGGGACTTCCTGAACTCGGTTCTCCGGTTCAGGGACGACGACTCCCAGTTCTGGTGGGACAGGACAGGGCGCATGTTCTCCAAGCTCCTCAAGTACGCCGGCTACAGCGCAGCAGAACAGTATCGCGAGCTCAACTTCTACTCCCTCTTTGTGGCCCCTGAACTTGGCCCTTCTCCAGATTGCCACGGCAATGTCAGGAGATGGAGGAGTCCTGGGACGCCAGACTCCACGCCGATCGACTTCAGCTGGGAATGGGGAAGAGATAACCATGCTGTCGTGAGGTATAGCTTCGAGCCCATCGGCGCACATGCCGGTACGGAGCTAGATCCTCTCAACAGGTATGCGACAAACGACTGGATCTTCAAGCTCCAACAGCAGAAGATGGTGCCGGGTCTGGATCTGGAGTGGTACAAGCACTTCACGAACCAGATCCTGCAGCATGACAACCGCACATCCAAGACAGTTGACTGCTTCGTCGAGGAGACAACACCCAAAGCCGGCACTGTGGTCGCACTCGACATTGAGAAGACCGGCCCTGTCATGAAGATTTACATCTACCCCGGACTCAAGGCGGAGGAGCTGGGCATCAGCAACCTCGAGCTCGTAGAGCGCTCCATCCGCAGCCTTCCGCCAGATCAGTTCAACTCCCTCAATGCTGAGCCCCTCTTTGACTTCCTCCGGGAAGGCACAGAGAAGTACAACTTCGAGACGGGCATCCTCGCCATTGACTGTCTGGCGCCCAAGGATGCTCGCATCAAGGTGTACATGAGAGCCCGCCACACGACCTTTGAGTACATGATGGACTGCATCACCCTCGGCGGCCGCCTCGACATGTCAGGGGAGGCCATCGAGGATCTCAAGGACTTCTGGAAGACCTTTCTCGGAGACGCCTCGGATATGCTTCCCGACGACGCGCCCGGCAGAGCTAGCCCCGGCTTCTACTACACCCTCGGCTGCGGCAAGGCCATCTCGCCCAAGGTGTACATCTCTCCGCAGTATTTCTGCAAGAGCGACGTGGATGTGCTGTCCCGCCTCCGCAAGTTCTTCTCCACACGCCGATCGGATGAGATGATGGACAACTACGAAGCGGCCATGGTCGATATCTTGTAAGTTATCGTCACGCCATCGATCTAGATCTTTAATTCCCGTGCTGACGTCTCCACAGCGGTACCAAGACGCTGGATTCCCGGTGCGGCAGCCACTACTATGTTGGTTGCGCGTTGGCCAAGGGTCAGCTGAGAGTGGTCACTTATCTCAGCCCCCAGTCCTTCGATTGTGAGAAGGATAAGATCTGCTCACGTAAGCCGTAGACGAAGGATTCGCATGCTTGTTTGGAGTCTTGTTTTATTTTTCTTAGTTGATATCCAGATGAGTTTATAGGTGTTGTGTATTGCGAGGTCAAAGTGTCGGATACGTGAGATCTCAAACTGTACATAGCATCCATTCAAATAAAATATTGCATGCCACTTTACAATGTTCAATTAGTAACCTTGGATGTTTTCTTTGGTGTTTAGTTGGAATCTTGGCCGACGTTGAACTTGGCTTTCGGCTATGAAGCTATGTCATCATGCCTAAGAAGCTTGGCATGCACTGACCAGTGGTTGCGACAGGGCCTTGGTTGCATCTTTTGTGAGAAGCGAGCAGCATACTTTCGGCTCCTTATTGACGTTGAACTCTATTATAGCTAATGACGCATCTATGCATTTACGTCTCCAAATATTCCGATAAAATGTTCCATCAAAGCTACTCTACGTTTTATATGCTTTTGCTGACGTCTAGCTCTAGTGCAGCCTTCTCTAACAAATCGCAAGCCCTCTTCGCACCGCCCTGTGCATTCAACTCCTCCCGGATTCTAGTCGCATTGTCCTTGTAACTTGAGTCATTGAGAATCTTGTAGACCGCCTCCTTGACCTGGGTCACAGAAGGGTTGTCTGTCTTCAAGTCGATACCTGCGCCAACCCACGACACCCGTGCAGACGTGTCCTTCTTGTCCTCTGATGTACCAGCGCAGATGAGAGGAACGCCGTGGGACAGTGCTTGTGTGACGCTGCCGTAACCACCGTTGGTGATGAGTAGTCTCGTGCGCGGGAGGAGCTGGTCGTAAGGAACCCAATCCGCGATGCGGACGTTGTCTTCAATCTGCACCTTCGCTCGGATCTCGTCTCCAAGCTTCGACGGCACCACTATCAGGAAGCGCTTGTCTTCTTGCAGTGCCTGGAGTCCAGGAATGATGAGCGACGTCGGGTCCATGGCAAAGGTTCCCTGCGTGAGGAAAAGAATGTCCTGTCCCTTCGAAGGCGCGCTGAGCACATCATCCCACCACTCAGGCAAGTTGGCGTTTGAGCTTCCGATCTTTGCGACCAAGGGCCCGACATAGTGTGCTTGAGGGATGATAGGCTCGGGCCCTTCTTGAAATTCAAGCGATGGGCACGAAGCCTGGATATGCAGGAATGGGCTGTATGAGAATGCATCTGTGGGCTTCAGCGGCGGCAGGCCTAATTTCTCTCTCTCCGGATTGATGACCGGCAGAACCAGCCGCGGTTGACTCAGGAGCATGCCGAGGGCAGACTGCGCCGGATGCGCGGTGGGCTCGGGCCCGACCTCCGGGAGGTACAGAGGAACAACTCCGAGCGTCGCGTAGGATGGGATCTCTCCAAGTTCGTACACAGCTGCCATGCCCTGCGGGAGTGCATCGTTCAAGACATAGTCAGGCTTGAATGTCTTCAGTACCCTGCGGATATCAGCCACTTGGGCCGTGAGCCGCCCGCCGAACATGACCTCCGCTGTTTCTGCCATGTCCTTCGGATCTGCACCGTCAAGATTGGCATCGACCTTGATCACATTCTCCGCCGGGACGAATTTCGCTCCCGAAGCAACAACTCGGGCTTCTTGAGGAGCGATTGTCGTCCAAACAACTTCGTGCCCTCGCTCAACAAGCTCCCTCGCAACGGCCTGCATAGGCAAGACATGACCGGTAGCCGAGAAGCAGTGAAGCAAGAACTTCAGCGGCCGTCGATCCTTCGGTGCGACCGTGCCCGCGCCCTCTGGCGTTGATAGATGCATTTTCGTGATCGGATTGTCGGTGAGACTTGAGGTTGGCTTGTCTTGAGACGACGTGGCTGAATTTAGCGATTGGATGAACAGCCTGGCGCATTCACAAGCCAACGGACACTTTCGCGCTGCAGCTGAGACACTCTCTCTTGCATTTAGGAGGGATAAACGGCTTATCGATGCATTGGCATTTCCGAGCTTCTGATTCGTCGATGTGTGCTGATGTGTCAAAGCCCGCGCAACAGGGAAGGTTGAGGGGGAATTATCAAGCTATCTACCGAGATCGGGCGCGTAACCAGGATGATTCATGATAGGGTATCAATTGATTGATTTCCAGAAGCACGAGAGAAGAAACAAGTCCGCTGCGGATCTCTGATAGCGACGTAAACTCAAAATATTACCCCGGACATTTGGAACGCACTCGCATGAGTCGCAGTCGACCGGCGGCGGCAGGCGAGTCATGCGTCGTGATGGAGTCGTAGATAACACGACGTGGCAAGGGGCTGGGGCATCCATCTCCTCCCTCCACCAGGGTTGAACCGGCAGTTGAGAAGACTGCAGATGGGTCACCGCACGTGGACGGGAGGGAGGTAGGGTCACGAGTAAAAGGTCCGCAACACCGCCCTTGAACCAAGCTGCTGCAGCGGAGCGAACCCGACAAACCTTCCTGTGGTAACATACCGATCTGTTGCATACGAAAAATGTCCCGTGCTGTCGATAAACTTCCCGCGCCCGCAGAAGAGCGGCCTATGAAGGTTATTGGACTTGGTCCAAGCAGGTCAGTTTAGACGGAAACTGCATCAGATATGTTGGTGTTGGGGGCTAAAGTCGGCGCAGAACAGGCACTCTTGGGCTATGGCAGGCTCTAAAGACATTGGGCTACAAGCCTTTTCACATCTCAGAATTGCTGCCCTATGGCTTTCAGCAAATGAGGGCGCTTCAAGAGGCTATTATCGCCAATGATACGGACAAGCCTTTTGGTCGAGCTGAATTCGATAAGCTGTTTGCTGGTTACGACGTAAGTAAAATATTCATAACTTAGGTTCAGTGACGAGAAGAATCCGGATTGGCTAATTCAAACCCAGTGTATTGTTGAGAGCCCCTGCTATCTGTGCCCCAACATTGTCACGGAGTATTTGGAAGATCCCAACGTCAAGTTCATCTTGACCGAGCGAACACCAGAGTCTTGGGCCAAGTCCATTGCTGGATCTCTAGGTGCATACCATGCGAAGCTCGCACAACCGCCTCTGTCAATTGTCAGATACTTCGACAGCTTCGTCTGGGAGTTGAGGGCGCTTTTCAAGGCCATGACACATAGATGGTCTGGTGGCCTCGAGCCCAGCGATCCTGGCTTCAAGGACGCCATGGCCAAGAGCTACACTGAATAGTAAGTCACATCCTCACCCCGATTCTCCTAAGCCTAGTCCCTGACTGACATTTCCATAGCCTTACAAGCGTCAAGGCTCTTGTGCCGCCCGAGAGATTGCTTGTATTGAATCTCGAGAAGGGATTCGGTTGGGAGGAAATTTGCACCTTCCTGGGCCATGACGTCCCAGAGGAGCCGTATCCTCGCATCAACGCGATGGCTGACTTCCACGTCGCTGCGGAGATGGTCCTTGCCCCCGCCGTCAAGAAGACCATGCGCATCTTTTCATCCGCTGGAGTCGCTCTGGCTGCTGTCGCCATATGGTACTGCCAGCGCAGGAGATAGGCCACTCTCCGTTTGTGTAAGAGTCTCAAGCTCCAGGAGGACATTGATGTTTCCTGGCAACGGCTCAAAGGATGTATCTGAGGTTAATGATACCCACGGAAAGGACAAACAATCAGGTCGAGGCGTAGAGTATGAGCATAGATAATAGCGATCGCATAATTCATTCTACTCCATCAATTGATAGCCAGCTTCAAGCTTTGTCTCATATAGTCCTTTTCTGTAGCTGCACAGATGCAACTATTGAGCCCCCTGCGGGTCATAAGCAGATACCTCCGCCTCGATACGCATCCCTGGTTGCCCAAGTTTCGCGACCCCGACGCCTGTCAGGATAGGCGCGTGATCAGGTGCCCATTTCTTCATGTTCTCTACCATCCGACCCATGCCCTCTGAGGTCCACGCTTCATCGAGAGCGTAGAGACGGATTCGGAAAACCTGTGACCAACCCTTTCCCCCAGCATCCTTCAAGGTCAAGTCTACATTGGAGAATGCTTGGTCGATTTCATCCAAAAGATCAGAGTGAACCTTCCCTGTTGCCGGGTCCCAGCCGCCTAGATGGGGTTAGGTAAGCATGGGCACGGAGGAAGCCTTCATACTCTCGAATAAAATTGGAGGAACTGCGCACCTTGGCCTGATATCTCGATGTTGTCTCCGACTCGAACAGCTTGACTGTAGTGCATCTCCTCAAGAAGGGTCTTGCCATAGTCGCTGTAAGAGAAGTACTTGAGTCCAGACATTGTGTTTGTAGTATGGTATGGTTGAGATAAAGAGCTCGAAAATGAAGTTCCTGCGTATTAGAGACTTGTTTGCCTTACATCAGACTGAAGCATTTGAGTTGACATGGATTATTGGAAAGTTGAATGGGTAGTATTTATCATCGGTGAATTATGACCATCATCAATACACATCAATACACTGCAATCACCGACGCAGCTTGGCGTTCTTGGCCAATATCTTCTTGCGGTGGGATTCAAGCCCGTCTTAGTAACTCTTCACTGATCAGAACTGGACAAGAATACGATGGTTTAGAGTATACCCTGTAACCCTCGAAGGATTCAACCAAGCGATGGCTGAGCGAGTCACGAAAAGTATTGCCAAGGCGGCTCAGCACTCCCACTTACTAATACAGTCGGGACAATGTTCGCCGGTCTCACTTGGGGCCAGCAATTGAGTAGAGGAACCGGCGCAACGGCGCTAATACAATCCCGACGATTATGTCAGAAGGCACTTACGATCAGACCATTGGATCGGCGCCAAGGGGCGAAGGATGCGACTGCCAAGTCAAGCAAGCCAGATTTCCCCAGGCATGCCAGGCTGAGCTTCCGCGCCTTGGGCGGGAGCGCGACGGGAAAATTCCGTCTTCGGTTGGATTCGACTTTAGCGCAATCTCAATGTGGCTGGTGAGGCTCGCCGCATTCCTGACTCCCGCCGCCGTCCTCTGATCGATCGGCTCAGAGCTTTGTCTCAGTCACAAAAGTCAATGATTTCATCACCTCGGGCCGAGCACCCCGCGCCCAAGCCTTGCACTGCTGGAATGCTTGATTATATCACTGCTCTGTCACCATGTACATTATGGCGCCCTCTTATTCACGTTCCCGGAAGAGTCCCGGAGCAGGCCCGAGAGGGCCCCACCCGTCGGCCCGGAGTGTTTCCAATAGCCCAGGTGCCGGCGGCGTTAAGCTCGGGCCCGCCTCAGGAAGATCGTCCCTGCGGCGGCTATGACCGGCACGGCGCCGTACTTCAAGAACGCCAATAAACCTTGCTTGAGCTGTTGATCCTTGAACTCCCTCGTCCACTTTTCAAACTCAACCGAGTCGTTGAGATGAGGAAACGGCTTGTCGGGCACATCCTTGCCCAAGAACGTGCACAAAGGTCCCCAGCCAGACCCCAGCTTGTATTCTAGCAGCCGCTCTTTAGTAACAACTCTCCGAATCTTCTCGGCGTGTTCCAAGTTTGTCTTCTTGAGATTATCGCGCCAGCTGCTAATGTCGTGGGCGTCGAAAATCTTGTACAGCACCTTCTGCGTCATGATCGTTGGCTGTGGATTCTTGAAACGCTCGAAAATGTTGATGACCACCCAAGCCTGCCAGTCAGAGAATGGTGCGACGACACATTCATTGAAGGACTTGTACCAGCTATCGATGTCCCGGTCCACAAGGACCACTTTCGCCTAGACGCAGTGATTAGAATCATGCTTTACCCGGGGACACTTTTACGAGCTCGCTCACGTCTGGGTAGGCCTCAAGCAAGTCATCCGTGAATCCAAGTACGGGACAGTCCGACAGAACGGCCCATCCCTTGAGGATCTCGTCAAATTCCTTTCGTCCAAAAGGTGTTCCCTTCCCTTCATACTTGGCAAGATATGCTTCTGTCCAGGCCTTTTGGTCGTCAGGTCGTAACATGTATTCGAAGCCATGGTACGTCGGTAGTCCAAGTTCTTCGTAAGCAGCCTTCATAGATGTGCTGCCAGTTCTTGGCATGCTTAGGTGGAGAACTTGCACGCCAGATTCATAAGTCATTGTGGCGGTTGAAAGTGACTTGACCATGAAATGGGCCGGAAGTGGTCATCATGGCAGGCAGATTAGCCAGCTTAAGTAAAGCAGCATCGTTCCACAAGAAGTGGAACTAATGCGCCTGACAGACTCATCGCAGTTGTGTGGTTTCTTTCCCGCCCATAGTGGCTCTCCAATTTTAAGGGGTCTTTTGTGTTACAGATACGCGCCCGGTATGCAGCATTGTGTTGGCACCTCATGTTAGGATTATGCGCTCCGCTGACCGGTCTGACAGCGGTCCATTTTGTTGGTCGAGAGCCACGTTGCCACTTCAGAATGCGACTTCCCGCATGAAGGGGACATTAAAAAGGCTACTAATCCACCAATGACAAAGTCTTCCTAATGGATTGCAACATGCACCTGAAGAATGACAACATCCGATGCAGCCAAGACCGTCGGCATCGCCCATCCTTAGGTCTCGCAACAGCTGGGTACGCAGAACATTATGGCTATCAAGTGAGTCATTTACTGTGCGTCAAACAAATACCCATCAAATTTGATAATATTCATGGATGCACCGACCTTCGTATATGTTGTACATCACCTGCTCCCAATATTAAGATAAAAAAGTATGAGATTCGATAATGTGACACGTAAGGTATCTCAGATACATGTAGTTTCACGAGACAACGCAGGTTGTACCGAGAGCCCGCTCAGTTGGCACCAAACGGTCAATTCTCTAAGCTTTCCAACTCCACTTTTCTAATAATTGAAGCTGAAAGAAAAGTTCCAGAGTGATAATAATTCCTGATGGTATGGTATAACCTCAGGGTTTGTCTATGCTCTTTGTCTGTACTAGGTACCTGTGCGATCTCTTGATTCCATCTTTGAAATAGGCGCGATCATTTTGAGTATGCACCTGGCTGCATAAAAGTGTCTAGGCCATGTATGGTTCACTATCTTTTCTTTCTGAGGGTTGATTATGGCCCCCAAGGTTGCCTATTTTGCCTGCATATGCCCGGGCCTGTTGCGCCGAACCTTAGTGCGGTGACTAAGTACCGCTAGGGGCATCCATGGATCTGGTTTTCTCCGTTTACCAACAGAAGAGCATCAAAAGACCGTCATCGCCCACCAACGATACACATAAATCTCGCAAATCAACACAGAATAAAAAAAATAAAAAGAAATTCAGTATGGGTAATTATCTTTCAGTTCTCAAATCCAAGAGTCCGCCGCTAAAGGTCGTGACGCCACCGCCAGATCAACCCGACCTCACGCCCGTTCCCCAGTCATGGCATGAGTTCGACGAAGAAGCCTCAGAATGGAAACCAGTGGAAAATGTCACTAATGATAGCCTGCGAGACGAACCGACTCGGAACTTTGACCCCGATTTGAAGTTGACGATAGCCACATGGAACGTCGACGCATTTGCCGAGCGTTCCGCCAAACGGCTGTCTTACCTCTTGTCCAGGATCCTCGACCACGCGCCGGTTCCGGACGTCATCTTCCTCCAAGAGGTGAATAAGGGCATGGTGCCTCTAATTCTGATGAATCAGCAGATTTGCGACGGGTGGTCTTCCAGCGAGAAAGACACCGCCAACTGGGGCGGCCATCTATTCGCGACCATGACGCTCATGTCAAAGGCGCGTTTCGGACACCTGGGGAGAGCTCAGTACTGGGCTCTTGGGCAAGTTTCGCGCATCAAGTACCGGTCGTATTACGGCAGAGACGCACTTTGCAGTGAGATATTCCTGCCGTCTAATCCCTCATCAATCCTCCGGCGGCCTACATTCAAGCGCATCGAGCTCATCAACGTACATCTGGACTCGCTTGCCAGGATTCCGTCTCTGCGGCCCCATCAGCTTTGGCTTGCGTCAAAGATACTACGTGAGGCGGGCCACGGCCTGGTCGCGGGAGACTTCAACCCGGTTCTTCCTGAGGATGAAACGCTCATCGAAGGGAACAATCTTGTCGACGCTTGGAAGGCTGTCCATGGCGAAGAGCCTGGGTACACTTGGGGAGTTGACGGGACCGCGCCGTTCCCGCCCAATCGAATGGACAGGGTTGCGATGGTGGGACTGACGCCTGTGTACATGGAGGTGATGCATCCAGGTACCATCGTCGTTCAAAGTCCTGAGGTCTCCGAGGAAAACGTCCCTTGGAGTGACCACTCAGGCCTGAAATGCACATTCACGATCAATCCATAATGGAGACTCGACGAACCTCTAGGCACAGGGAGTTCGGACTCCGAGTTCAACAGTTTAAAACTGTTGTTTGGGTTTTATGGACCAGTTGGGATTATTTTTACCACAGCAAGATAGTGTTGTGAATGGGAAACCGTTTGAATATATTATCAACCTAATGATTCAATTTTAAACTTACATTAAAAAATTATGAAATTCTCAATTCCTGTATGACCAAATTTATTACGTGCATGTTCGTGGTCTTGATGTAAGCAAATAGGGCCCCATCAGATCGATGGCTGCCTGCACTAGGCAGCGAAGTGCCGAAAGCCCTTGTCTGTGATTGGTTTGGTCGGACTTCATCAGCCTCTGCTCAATCTCATGTCATCTTCTTTCTTTTAGAAAATCGGCCATCTTTGATGTTTTCTCTCTTCATTCCAACGACCTGCTTAAACAGAACTAGTACACCGGGCACGTAGCCTTTAAAGATGGAACATCTTCCTCTACCACGCGACCCTATCAATGAGCACCCGGTCATTAAGCTCGCGACGGCTCAGTTCCACAACCCCGGGCCATTCCTCGACTACCCAGACCGGCATGGCGCTCTTCTCAGCGGTCAATATCCACACGTACCCACCCAAGCCGATGCGCTCCAGGGCCGTTTCTCAGCCGGAGTCTCAAGCTACAACGTCCTCGATTACTACCAAGGATGGCTGTTCTTTGCGCTCATCAAAGACTTACTCGGTGATGACGGCGACTATGATGCACGGAAGAAAATCATGTCTTTCACTTTCGACGATGACGGACAGCTGAGCAGCGCTGCGCTTTCGACCAAGTCGTTGCACAAGGACTTGACGGCATGGAGGGAAACCGGACGTCTATCGAGCATTCGGCGTGGCGACGAATATCACAAACATCTCGACGAATGCCTCGAGACCGCGTTCGAGGCTCTTGACAACATCGATTCCAGATTCCCCGGCTTTCTTCGGGTCTTCAGAGATGAAATGATCTGTCTGGCGAGTGTGGCTGAGACACTGGACGTGGCGGTCCAGACAGCTCTAGAGCATGGGCCAGTGGCGGGTAAGACTCTGGTGACAATCTGCCCTGCTCTGACAGGATGACTGGGCTCCGTCTCGTTCCAGATGAACAATTAGCTAATGAGACTGCCGCTTAGAGATGAATCATGACGAACAGTACTTCCCAGCCCGACCCAAATATGGGTGGTTCGCAACCATTGCACCCCTCCTGGATCCGTTGAGCCCCGAGACTAAGAGGGCCATGGTCAACGCGGGCTGGTGTCCCGGCAACATTGGCAAGATTCGGGACACCTTCACGAGCATTGAGGCGTTCTACTATCTGCAAAATTTCAAAGCCGACTCCACGGTGGCTAATTTACACAAGGACTGCCGAGAGTATGGGTGCAATGTTAGAATCCCCGCGGTGCCCAAACACGAGAGTCCTGGGTGCGAATGCCCAGGCATGATGACATTTGACGAGGAGCACCTCATCGAGATCTATCAAAAAGGGGACATTCCCTGCTTCGCCATCGGCAGGCTCGAGGACGGCGGTCTCGGGGTGGCATTGACCTCAATCAGCATCGACGAGGAGTCTCAAAAGGACCCCGAAAACCACTATGTCGCACTCTCCCACGTGTGGTCTGAAGGGATGGGGAATGTGCAAGCAAATGCACTGCCGTTCTGTCAACTCGCATATATGATGCACTGGTCGATGATGGCCTATCAGGTGGTCGAAGATAAGCTACGGGAGGAGGAGACGACGGGAACGGGGATCAACGTGCAGACGAAACCGAAAGTCCGGCAGATAAACCTGTGGATCGACACAATGTGCTGCCCCGCGACTCCGGGGTACGGTAAGAATTTGTGCCTGTCAAGGATGCGAGAGATTTATGCAAACGCCTATGCCGTGCTCGTCAAGAGCGCGGTCCTTCAGGCAACGAGTGTTAGGGACATCTTCGAAGACACCTCCAGGGGTCTTATCGATGTTGCCACGCACATTTATACGTCGCCGTGGATGCGTCGCATGTGGACGCTTCAGGAAGGCGTTCTCGCCGGCGCGTCGCGAGCCAGAGGCTCTGGCGACAGGCTCTGCTTCGCGTTCCGCGACAGCCTCCTCTCCCTTGAATCAGTCGTCAACCTGCTGAAGCAGGCCCCAAAGCACGAAGCGACCCTGGCCTTCCGCTTCATCGCAGAGTTCCGCGACCTCAGCGTCAGCATGTGGCAACTCCCCGACGAGACCGACACCCCTGGGCGCAAAGTGCACCCGTTGAACTTCTTCCTGCAAATGCTGGTCAACGCGCTCAAGCACCGCAGCTTGACGGTTGCGTCCGATGAGGTGATATGCCTAGCTACGCTGCTGGATCTGCGCATCAAGACGGCGCGCGGGGAGGTTGAGCCTCTTATCGGCGACGGGGAGACGCCCGAGGACGGGATGTGTCAATTGTGGCGCAGGGTCGAGACGCTGCAGGGCGCCGCTGGGCTGCCGGGCGACATCATCTTCTCGTGCGTCCCGCGTGTTCAGGTGCCCGGTTTCCGCTGGGCGCCCCGGACGTTGGTGCAGTATGCCAAATACGGGAACATGTTTGTCTCGCCTTCGAGCCCCTACCCGGCCAGGATCGAAGATGAGGGCCTGAGAGTGAGGTTTCCCGGCGCGAAGCTCAACTGCTTTGTTGGCCTAGATATGGTGGGAAGGCTGCTCCCCACTGAACCGGGATCGACTGATGAGAACGGTGATGGGCACGGTAGAGATGTAGAAGCAGGAGGCGAAACGGTCGTCCCACGCGTTCTGATGATCAAGGTCCCGACGGACGGTGATCAGTGGTATGCAGTTCATGTCTACGAGCAGCCAAAAGACGGAAAAGAGGATGGGAGTTATCCACGATCATCGGAGGAAGATGAGGAATCAAGGCCAAAGGCAATCGCAGATCGGCACGATGATCTGGTGCAGCTGATCAGGAACGGCTCCGTCGCCCTGGTTTTCCGGCCCGGTGAGGTGATCACTGGGCCCGGCCTACTGGTGTCCATGCCGACTTCGCCGTCTTCGGCAGAGCTAGGGGCCGGGTTAGCGATGCTAAGTCTGAACCCAGAGCCGCTTCGGGTGCACAGCGAGTTTCCCGTGCAGATCAGACCCCTTGCCGGACCGTCCTGCGTCATTGCCGACGCGACGGTACGGTGCGTCGAGGGGCTGCAGGAAGCAGTTGTGGCTGAGGCGGGACAGCGCGGGGAGGATGTTGCCGTTAGCGATGTTTGGGATGATCAGGAGATTGTGACCCGACTGCTTCGCGAAACGGCCGAAGGCTTGATGGGATCATCAGAGGATTTAAAGAAGGCGCTCTATTTTGAGGTGCTGGCTAGGAGAGCCTCTTCGACAGACGAGACTGCGCTTAACATCTTCTTGAAATATGCCCGTCATATGGCATATTTTGGTGGAGGCATGAAGGGAGAGGCATATTCTGAGGATCAAGAATGGTGGGTGGACTGAGCTTAGAGGTGAAACAAGTAGCTCGAAGACACAAGCGCCCGCTTACACGTTTTAGACTAGCTCAGTGTTCAAATCGAAAGAGGGTAAATTAGCAGTAAAACACTGTAAGACCATGTCATGCTGCATTTGGAAGGTGCAAAGACCAGGTTTGCTGGCAGCGAAATTGCGCAAAGAACACGGTTGATAGGGTGACTGGAAATGGGAGCCTGATAACTAGTCTGTAGCAGACAGCATCTATGAGCTTTCAAAAAGGGTGATGCTACAGTAACCGGCCGGGCTGATGTCGATGACGAGAGTTGGGGAGCGAGGTTAACCTGAGAAAGCAGAGATGAAGAAGCGTGGAAAGCGCCATTCGAAAACCAGGTGTCGATGATTCTGCCTAACGCACGCCATATCAAACGTCTTTTGGGTTGTTGTTTGTGGCGCTGGGGAGGCTGAAGCTGTCGTGAATCTGGCCGTAGGGACCGCGTTTGAGGGGCGACGATGTTCAAGATGTGGCGATCAAGCAGACACGTTCGCGCGAAATCGATGACTGGAAAGGCTTGAAGTGGCTGTGAGACATTCGATAGCCGAGAACAGGGGCGTCAAAAACCCCACCAAACAAATGACGTTTATTTCATGAAAGCAGATCCAACCATGTAAGACATCAGACTAGGGCAGATGGCTTGGCGGCCCGGTGAGATTGGATCGCATACCACTTACTGAATGCGTGACACCCCCGAGCTCAAGAGTGCTGCCATCAACATGAGTTTCCACCGCCGAGCCTTACGAATCCGGCCTCGAGGGGGGGATTCTGTGCGGTTTTGTTCGGCCCGAGGCCACCTGCGAGCCGAGTTCGTGAATTCAAGCGTCAAATGCATCATTGAACTCGGGAGCCAACCTAATCTCATAGGCCCACAACCACCCGACGGGTTCATCCGAGAGAGCCCGATCCATCGATGCTCCTGCCGACGGGATGTTACGTTGGACATCGGGTATCTTGGCATCCCAGACTGGCCACATGCGAGTCGACGGGAGGGCTTGCAACCCCAGAGATTGAGTCGGATTCTTGCCCCATTGTCGCATCCGGTACATTGCTTACTGACCTAATCCGACCATTTCATAGTCTATTCTGCGCGCCGGCTCCATTACCGACGACGTTGGAATCTGATCTGCAGTCTTTATGTCTATTCCGAGGAGCCCTATCACAACGAGAAAACTACTGGATGTACTCATTGCTAGAAGTCGTTTATAAGGGGTACATCTCCCCACGAATCTAGTCATCAAGTGGATAGCAAACGGTAAGAAGGTGCTCTCCATCCCATCCTCTTTCGGCCACCGTCTACGCGCTAATTGAAGTACACACCACCAACATCTCGCAACACCCTCTGTAGAGAGCGGACAAACGACTCCAACGAGGATGTCTGCAATCGGAAGTGCTCGATAATAGAAACACTTGGCAACAATGTGACAAATGGGTGTCGATGCTGTCACAGAGAGGTCATGGACTATGGATTGGTCTAGACTACCTCAAGTGCCGCTGGTTCCTCAACCTCGAATCATACGAAAAGCGCGAATGTCACCTTCAAATTTCTCTTGTTCTAGCAAAATACCGTGAACTTTCTTTCACTCTTCAACAAGGTCTTACCAAAGATCTTTCAAGTGGACACTACAGAATCTTGCATGTTTCTTACGTGATCTTTGTTTTCCATGCTACGAATCTAGCGAATTCGGCTCTCACTTTTTTGAGCAACAATGGCGAGACTCACGGGGTCCTGGAAGACCCTGTTGCCCCTTGCGCTTCTGGGAGGACAGGGTTTTGCGCAATCATGTCTTGATGCCATCAACGACGGCCAGGTCGACGCCTGTGTATGCAACGAGCTCGAATACGTCGTCAGCTACGTCGCCTACGTGGCGCTCTCGACATCGCTTACATCCAACTGCGAAGCGCTACCGACTTCGACACTGAAGATATCCACATCTTCATACACTTCAGTATCGGATCCCTCAGGGAACTCATCATCGGACGCATATGGGAATGGAGGGACTTATACGGATAGGGGCAGCTTCGCTCAGGCGACTGCTGGGGGCAATTTCCTGCCCAGGAGACAACTTCCGTCTGGCGCGTCGTCTTTCGATTTCCGACTACCGTACTACACGATAACGAGGTCCGGAACAGCTTCGGCAACCCCGATTACGGTGTCGAGCTTCAACAACTTCACGAGCCTTTTCACATCAAACCCTATCTCGACGGCCCAGACTCTGGTAGTATCGACGCCAACCGCAGCCGCCTCCGATGACCGATCACTCGCCCGCGGCACAATCTGGGTTGCCATTCCGGATGGCAGGATTGACTATCCACCTCCTGTAACATCGACGGTGTACTGGAGTGGGAATGGCTCGCTTTCTGCTCCGTCAACGATCTCGACAATCCCGCCAAAGGCCGAGACTTATATCGTTGCCATTAACAGACCGGCCGACGCCTCTGCACAGAGCGACGTCCCTGCACAAAGTGACACCCCGTCGCAGAGTGATCCTCTCCCGCAAAGCAATGTTCCACAGAGCAATGCTCCCGCGCAGAGCAATGCCCCTCAGAGCAATGTCCCGCAGACTGATGCTCCCGCGCAGAGCAATGCTCCCACGCCTAGTGACGTTACCTTCCCGCAGAGCTACGATCCTGCGCAGAGCGACAGCCCCTTACCGCAGAGCAATGCGCCCGCGCCGACCGACCCGAGACCTTTCGTCACATCGGTTGTTCAGTACTCCGGCTCTGCCTCAGTCAACGGCCCGACGACAGTTAGCATCATTTCCCCGGACGGTGATCAGGCTGGAACAGTTGTGGTGGCAGTGCCCCCGATTGCTTCCGCCGGAGGAGGCTCACCTCCTTCATTCATCACGTCCGTGGTGCCGAACCAGTCGCCGTCTGAACCTGGCCCGGGAGGAGATGGCGTCAGTCAGCCCCTTTTCAACATTGGAACCGAGGGTTTGGTGGCTTCTCAGGTCACAACTGAGATTGAGTATACAGACTCCTTGGCTGCGACCGTGACCGTGACTAGGACGCTTGATGCGTTTGTTGCGACTCCCAGCGGAACCCAGCCTGGTACAGTCTTTGTCATTCAAGCGCCCTCAAACGCTGCCAACCCAGGTGCGGGAAGCACAGCGGGCACTGGTCCTGATGGTCAGCCCCTTGAAGCCTCTTTTGCACCTGGTTCAGGAGCAACGGCGAACCCGAACCCAGGAAGCCCTGCTGCTAGCAACGATCCTGTACGCGGGCCTGATGGAACTGGTGCGCCGGGCCCGAACGCGACCGGAGGCAGCGGAGCGGGTCAGAACCCCGGACAATCTGGATTGCCGCCATCCGGCCCCCAAGCTTCCCCCGCGGCTACGCCCGGCGGATCATCTCCGGGAGGCCCTGGTGATGTGGTTCAACCCGGTCTCTATGTGACCTCTGAGATCCAGTACACGGGAACTCTTCAACTCCCAGGACGTGTGACAATCTCTTCGATTGCCCCGCAAGGCACAGCTCTGGGTACGATCATCGTCGCTGTTCCTCCCGGCCAGGCTTCAGCCGGTGGCTCTGCCGGTCCTTCGAATGGTGCTCTCCCGAACAACCAGTCACCGGCTGGTCAGCCAAACAACGCAGACCCAACAGCCTTCTTCAACACTTTGGCAGCACCTGGCGCGACAGCTGCTACTGGAGCTGGAAATGCTGGTTCGGGAGCATCAGCTCCTGTCAACGGCGGAACTCCTGGTGCTCCAGCAGCAACCGAACCTGCAACTGGACAGCCGCTGACAAACCCCGATGTCTTGTCCGCGGCAGCCTACATCACATCAACCGTCACTTCCCCTGGTCTTAGTGTTCCGAGAACTACCATCGCGACTATTGCGCCTCAGGACTCCCGACCGGGAGTGTTCGTTGTTGCGGTCCCGAATAACCCAGTCAGCTCTGGAGGCTCAGTCGTACCCCAGTCTAATGCCCCTGGTGCGCAAGCCCCTGGACAAACTGTTCTGCCTCAGACCATTCAGCCCCAAGGGGCTGCCTCATCAGCTGGAGCTCAGTCGAACGTTCCCGGGGCTCAGTCCAACGTTCCTGGGGCCCAATCCAATGTTCCTGGAGCCCAGTCTAATGTTCCCGGTACACAAGCTCCTGGAGTAACCGTTCAGCCTCAAAGCATTCAGCCTCAAGGAGCTGCTTCTTCAGCTGCGCAGGGCAGTGGACCAGGACAAGCTGCGTCTCAGGGCGGTGTCAATCCCGGTGCGACAGCAGCGACTCCGGGTGCCAACACCGTCCCGGGAGCCGGAGATCCCTTGGCTCAGGGAATTGTTACTGTCACCTCGACTGTCTTGTTTACGGGGCCGGGTCAGATTACTGCCCCGACAGCAATCTCTACGATTCCAGCCAACGGTAATAGCCCGCCGACTGTTATTCAGGCAATTCCTGATCTCTTCGTAACTGTCACCATCACCGTTACTGCAGCGGACCCGACTCTTCAGCCGACGGCTTTCTCTACGGTGCAACCAACAGGAAACACTCCGGGTACAGTCCTCGTAGCAGCGCCCGCCTCATTTGTCACATCACGAGTGCTCTTCACCGGCCCTGGTTCGATCTCAGCGGCCACCCCGATTTCGACGATCTTGCCTCAAGGGACTACGCCAGGAACAATCATCTTGGCGCAACCCTTCGTGAGCGTCACATCAACCAGGCCTGGCAGCACTGCTGGAACCGGACCAGCGGGCACGGTAACAGTCGTGACTACGATCTTCCCGTCCAACGGCCCTGCAACGGTCGTCTTTGCTGGGCCCGATCCGACGGCTCCCCTCTTCGGCTCCTTCGTGACATCTGTTGCGAGTGCCGCGAGCAACATTGCGCCTTCCGCTCTTGTTCCGGTGTCTACTGTCTTGCCACAAGGTTCAGTTCCCGGAACGATCGTGTTGGGACAATCCGCCGCGCAGACACAGCCTGCTCCAGCTAGCAGCGGAGGCGCATCGCCTGCTAACACCCCAGCAGGTGCAGGAACCTCACCAACGGCGTTGGCCAACTCCATCGCTAATGGTCAGTCCTCGCCTGCTGCTGGTGTTTCTCAAGCGGTGTCGTCGCCTGCTGGCGCTGCGACATCGCCACCGGCTTTGGCCAATTCCATTGCTAGTGGCCAGTCCTCGCCTGCCGCTGCTGCTTCGCAAGCTGTGCCATCATCATCTGCTCCGGGTATCCCGTTCACGGGGGCACAAGCTGCCTCACCGGGGGCCTCTGCCGCAAGCTCGCAAGTGCCTTTGGACAACTCTCTCGGAATAACTGGACCGACAACTCTTGCCACTGCTAACGTGGACCCCAACGATCCTAACGGTACTCGAGGTGGTAGAGGTCTCGTGACTCGTCTTATCACCTCGGCTGGTGTCACTGGATCCACGACTGTGTCTACCATTGTTCCCACGGACCCGCTGCTGGCAATCACAGTTGTGGTCATTGTACCGGCGCTTCAGCAACCTGCAACAACTACTCCCGCTACTTCCATTGATCCCAACGATCCTAACGGAACTCGTGGCGGTCGAGGTATCACAACTCGCTTCATTACCTCTTCAGGGGTCACCGGAACAACGACTGTCTCTACCATCACTCCGTCGGATCCGCTCCTGCAAATCACGGTTGTGGTTATTGTGCCAGCACTTCTGCAACCTGCGGCAACTACCCCGGCCATTTCGTCCGCCGACACAGGTGTACAGGGGGCCTCGCAGACATCTCCTGCTCCGGCCCAGTCGGCTACATCGGTCCCAGCAGCTGTATCATCCTTGCTCGTGGACCCGGCGATTCTATCTTCAGCTAGCTCTGTCCTAGGTCAATCGTTTGTTCCTACTCCGTCGAACTCGTCATTGCCTCAGTCTTCTGCCGTGCCATCTCCTGCGGCTCAGAGTTCCTCGGCTGGCCAGTCCAATGTGCAGCAGCCATCAAACACTCCCGCGGCTAGCTTGAGCGCTTCTCAACCCATTTCATCCCCTGTGGGAGGCACTCAAATTGGCTCGTCTAACGCTGCGAGCATCGCTCCTTCAAGCGATCCTGCTCTTGGACAGTCCTTTGTAAGCTCGGCTGGAGTTGGAACTTCGTCAGTTGACCCAGCCGCTTCATCGTCCGCATCTGGGGGACCAGGAACCTTTGTTGCTAGCACCTCAGGTCCCAGCGGTGTTGTTTCTGCTACGCCAGGCGTTTCTCAATCCGCATCTGTTGACCCGCAATCACTGGCATCCTCGTCAGGAGCACAAGCCTCCGGAGGGCCTTCGTCAAGCGTTTTCTCGTCAGGGGCTATTGGCTCTGTTTCGTTTTCGGGCTCTCCCCAAACCTCGACAGCAGCTCCTATCGTCTCCTCGTCAACATTCCTGACTACTTCAGGCGGCTCAACCTTCCTGACTACAGTGGTCCAGACTTCGAGTGAGATTCCGGAAAGCCAAGCATTCCAGTCAAGCGGCACTGCGGCGTCTAGCGCAAGTGATCCCGCCTCTGGGTCGCAGTCTGCTACTGCGAGCATCTCAGTCTCACAGTCTGAGCTCGCTTCGTCCTCCGGTACTGCCCAAGCATCTTCGAGCATTGGTTCCATCTCTTCGGACCCGGCCGTCTCCAGTCAATCTGCGGCAGAAAACCTGAGCTCCTCCGTGTCGATCTCAGACTTTGATATCTTCAGCTCGTCCTCAGCGCAAAGCCAGGCTAGCTCCGTGTCTGACCCGGCTGCCTCTAGCGGAACGCTTACTCAATCTTCCGCTGCTCTGAGCGACATTCCATCATTTGCGACCATCTCTCAGAGTGCCAGCCCTGCTTCGTCAACAGGCCTTTTGACGTCCTCCGCTGAAACTCAGTCTGGCTTGACCTCCAGCTCTGAGGCACTTGGAGCTTCGTTGATCTCTACGACTTTGACTTCCCTCATTACATCAGACGGAATCACTTCGGTTTCAACCACTGTCCTTACGACGGCGATTAGTGCTTCCCAGCCTACTGAGACAGCATCAGGCAACACCGTTTCCCCCAGTGCCTCCTCGGCTCTGAGCTCAACAGACCCAGACTTTGCATCGCTCACGTTGTCTACCGCCAGTTCTGACCCTGCGACTAGCAACTCGGCCACAGATGCTTCAGCGTCCTTGAGCGCGTCCACGGAGGCGAGCAGCGCTAGCTTTGAAACGTCAGCTTCTGATGCTTCCTCGTTCACGTTGTCCGACATTACCTCTGCTTCCCTCAGTAGTGAGGCCACTATTTCTGGCAGCACGGTTTCGGCCTCGGCCTCTGATACAGACACTGCCCTGTCGAATGTCTTCAGCAGCGCTTCGTCTTCGGAATCTGTGGTTATCACCGCAAGCACCGACTCTGCGGGCTCGTCAGCCACAACTTTCAGCTACACAGTCACCCCTGAGAGTATCACCACGGACTCGGCGTCGACCCTGTCTTCAGCCTTCTCTGATTCGAGCTCATTCAGCAGTGTCAGCGCCAGCGAGACAAACAGCGCAAGCACGACTGATACTTTCAGCGATGTCTTCCAATCCACGGCCAGCACAGATTCGGCCTCCTCGGAGAGTACCGGTTCCGCTAGTGAAAGCTTCACCAGCTTCGCTACATCTTCTGATGCGGCCAGTGCTACCAGCAACAGCGCTTTCACATCCGACCTTACGTCTTCATTTGGATCAACGTCAGTGGAGGAGGCTTCGTTCATCACAACAAGCGACGGGACCTCGACCTTCGTGACTTCGGTCTCGGTCTCAAGCCCCACGACTCAGTCATTCTCGGATGAGACATCAAGCGCTTTCTCAACCGAGTCATCAATCTCGGCGTCAGACCTGACCTCATCCGCGTTCACCACCGACTCGGCCTCCACTAACTCTGTGTCTGATCCTACTTCTGGCTCTTTCAGCTCCGAGTTCTCCTCAATCACCCCGACAACGTTGTCTTCTATCTCGGGCGAGTCCGCATCTTCCGTCTCAGTCTCCGACTCTTCGGCACTTGGCCAATCCCTGGTGTCCACGTCGAGTGATGAGACGGGCTCGGCAACTCAGTCCACGGCACAGACCTCGGCATCTTTCACCTTGCCGACGCTGACGTCCGTCACAGACTCGGCGTCTCTCTCCGAGTCCGACACGGCCTCCAGCTTCGTGACGCCCACGATCTCGTCAGAGAGCACCATCAGCACCGACTCAGATTCGTTCATCAGCACCACATCGGGACTGTCCACCACCGATAGTTTCTCGACTGAGTCGGCCTTGTCGACTGATAGCTTCTCAACCGGATCGGCCCTTACTTTTCAGTCTGGGTCTGTTTCATCCGCAAGTGAGTCCGGGTCGACTTCGCTGGACCTTGACACGTTGATTAGCACGACGAATTCCGGTGAGTCGACGATCTCTAGCGGCACAGAGACGCTATCGACCTTGAGCTCCGCTTTTACGACGGAGTCTACGGATTCGGCCTTCTCTAGCAGCACAGAATCGGTCTCTGGAGTCACCCCGGATCTCACAACGGCATCGACTGAGTCTGGTCTGTCAACAGCATCAACTGAGTCCGGGTTCTCAACAGCCTCAACGGAATCTGGTTTCTCGACTGCTTCAACTGAATCGGGAGCTTCGCAGACCTCCACAGTCTCAGATCCCACCATAACCATCAGCTTCATCACATCATTGGAGACTACCGACTCCGCAGGCTTCCAGTCTTTCACGACCTTCACCACCAGTTCAGAAGTGAGCGTCTCGGCGGACTCATCCGCGGCGACGCTTTCGAGTGACACTGAAAGCACATCTTTCACGTCGTTCTCTTCCGCCTCTGAAACTGACTCCGTCACCTCTCTCTCGTCCGACAGCGCGCTAAGCTCCTTCACAGACAGCAGCTCGTTCTCGGTGGAGACCACCTCTGGCAACACTGTGTCCAGTGAAAGCATCTCCAGCGACACGGCTTCCACCCAATCTGCCGTTTCGACAGGAAGCACTTCATCTGATTCTCTCCAGGACAGATCTCTGGAGTCAACATCCACGGACAGCGGTACCGAGTCGACTCTGTCTATTTCAACCGCATCTGGTGAGAGTTCAATCAGCTCGAGCGATGCTACCACGACATCAGGATTCACATCTAGTGAGACTGAGTCTTTCTCCACTCTGCCTAGTGCTTCCCCAGGCGCCACCACGAGTCTCTCGTCAGTTGAGACGGGCACCACCTCCAGCTTCTCTGCATCCGAGTCGGACATCACTTCAACCAGCCTGGACCCATCGACCGGTTCTACCACGCTGGCAAGCGAGACTATCAGTTCCGCAACCAGCCTGGAGTTTGATGGTCTGTCGTCTTCGACCGACTCTTTGTCTACTGGCTTTGTGAGCAGTGGCGATAGCACGATCTCCTCGTTTACAGACTCGGCCTCAGCCGATACCTCGTTCAGCTTGACAACATCGACTTTCGAGTCTTCAGGGTCCTTGACTGAGTCGGTCTTCACTCTTACCCCTAGCACAACGAGCAACTCCTTCAGCTCGGAGTCAATCGCCTCTGAGTCGAGTGAGAGCTTGACTAGCGACAGCGCTTCAATCACCGGTACCTCGGCGTCATTGACTGCCTCAAGTGAGACCGATACTACACTGTTTGACAGCTTCTCCCCGACCTCGACGGTCTCTGGAGAGAGCACGGCTTCCTCTGGAGACAGCACCTCGACTGAGAGCTTCTCAACAGAGAATGCGTCGACGGATAGTATCTCGACGGCTAGCATCTCAACCGACAGCATTTCCACCGATAGCGCTTCGACTGCTAGTATTTCTACCGATTCTATCTCAACAGACAGCATCTCGACCGCTAGCATTTCGACGGATTCTATCACAACCGATAGTGCTTCAACTGACAGCTTCTCAACCGCCAGCGTTTCCACCGATTCCATCTCCACCGACAGTGTTGCTACGGACAGTCTCACGACCGCGAGTGCATCGACGGATAGCATATCTTCTGACACTATCACAGCTAGCGCCACCTTCTCAACTGACACTGCTTCCACCGATAGCGCCTCTACGGACAGCGCCTCCACGGATAGCATCGACCCCCAGAGCCTTATTTCCACCGAGTCTGCTTCTTCCGACAGCAGCGCAACTGGCTTGACAACTCTCAGCGATGCTACTAGCACGACAGACTTCAGCGCGTCTCTCTCAACGGACTCCGTGACGAGCGCGTCGGACACCAGCGGTCTGACCACCGGAACTGAGTCGACAGACTCAGTAACGACTGCATCGGAGACCAGCGCGTTTACCACTGGAACCGAATCGACAGACTCGGTAACAAGCGCCTCAGATACCGCCAGCGGACTCACTACTGGCACCGAGTCGACAGACTCGATTACGACCGCATCAGAAACCAGCGCTCTTACCACTGAAACTGCGTCTACTGACTCTCTTTCTTCCTTGAGCACGGCTACAAGTGACTCCAGCCAGTCAGTCGAGAGTCAGATTTTCCAGACCGTATCCTCTGATAGCACCGCGTCGGCGTCGACCGCGACAGAGTCGGCTCTGTCTGACATCACAGCATCGGAGAGCACGGCGTCAGAAAGCACAGCAACTGACAGCGCCTCGACTCAGAGCACTTTCTCCGACAGCATTACGACCGACAGCACCGCAACGGATAGCACTGCTACGGAGAGCATCACTTCTCAGAGCACAGCATCAGACAGCGCCATTACTCAGAGTTTGTCGACTGAGAGCACCGGCACAGACAGCACAGCCAGCGAGACTGGAGCCACCTCTAGCAGCGAGACTGTGTTGACTGATGCTTTCACAACTGAGAGCACGGCTACCGATAGCATCTCAACTTTGAGCACGGAAACTCAGAGCACAGCTACCGACATTTCGGCAACCGACAGCATCTCGACCCAGAGCACCGCCTCAGATAGCACGGCTACCGACAGCTCCGCAACTGACATTTCAACACAGAGCACTGCTACAGAGAGCACCGCGACCGAGTCCGGAGCTTCCACTAGTAGCGAGTCAGTTCTGACTGATTCTCTTATCACTTCAGCAACCGACAGCATCTCGACCCAGAGCACGGGATCGGATAGCACAGCAACTGAGACTGGAATGTCCTCCAGCAGCGAGTCGGTTTTGACGGATTCCCTCATCACTTCGGCGACCGACAGCATCTCATCGCAGAGCACTGTTACAGATAGTACTGCTTCCGAGACAGGAGCCTCTACCACTAGCGAGTCTGTTCTCACTGATGCCTTCACTACTTCAGCAAGTGAGAGTACGGCCAGTGACAGCACGGCAAGTGATAGCACGGCATCAGGAATCACAGCAACGGACAGCACCGCAAGTGAGACTGGAGCATCGTCGAGCAGTGAGACTGTTCTCAGTGACGCCTTCACCACCTCAACTCAGGATTCGACATCCTTGTCCGAGAGCATCAGTGCTACGGTTGTCACTTCCGATGGTATTACAACCACGCTGTCAGACCTCACCACTGCCTCCACAGACAGTGCCGCGTCAGACAGTTCCTTGTCGACAGCTACCGACGCTTCTCAGACGGGCTCAGACATCTCCACCGCTAGCGAGACTACTGCATCTGGAGCCACGCCCTCAGACGCCACGGCCACATCATCGGGAGACATTCTCTCTGATCTTCTGTCGCTCAGCTCCACTGATTCCGCATCCTCAGCCAGCACTGCGTCAATCACAGATGGGGAGTCAACAACTCAGCCGACCATCAGCACTACGGAATCCGACTTCACAGCATCGTCCACAGGAATCACATCATCCAACGACCTTTCCAGCGCCTCAACTGATTCATCGACTGGGGTGACCTCGGCCGTCTCAACAGACTCAGAAATAGCGACTGCATCGGACGCTAGTATCTCATCTTCAGAGACTGCCTTGTCGAACGCATTCTCGTCTCCTACAAGCGACTCCGCGACTGCTTCCTCAACGGAGGATACCTCTTCGGCATTCACAGGAACGACATTGTCAGACGGCCTTTCAATCACTGCCACTGATTCGACGACCCAGGTTAGCACAACTGCCTCTTCCGACGGAGAGACAGCCACCGCCTCGGATGCCAGCATCTCCTCGTCCGACACTGTCTTGTCAGATGGGTTCTCTTCGACTACAGGTGATGCATCGACTGCGTCTGATGCCTCTTCGACAGCGACGGATCCAACGGGTGAGAGCACTACTCTTTCTGACACGCTCATCACCAGCGCCCCTTCAACTTCGGATACAGCAACCGCCAGCACTGCCGCCTCCTCGGACGACACAAGCGTGCTATCGGATGTGGTATCGTCCACTGACAGTCTGACGACGGATGGCGCAAGCTCGACGGAAGCCTCAGCGTCTTCCACGGACACCATCACTTCCGCCGATGCTACGGCAACGGACAGCTCTCGTGTGCTATCGGATCCGACAGCCTCATCTGACACTCTGACTTCAGCTTCAGCCACCTCCTCAGATGACGCTCTATCCAACATCTTGTCATCTACTGACGCTACTGCCACGTCGGACAGTAGCGCATCAGACACTGCCTCGGCGTCTGATACCGGCATCACCAGTTCGGCATCTCTCTCTGAGACGGACTCAGCTTCCATCACATCGGACGCTTCCAGCGTTACTTCTCTGGACTCTGAACTCTCAACGCAAGCCACCTCCACGGACTCGATCACTGGATTGTCCACCGACTCGGCTAGTGAAACATCTGCCACTGGAGCCACGTCCATCACCGATCCTGCATCGTCTGCTACCGGCGAACTTTCTATCGACCCTGATCTGCTCACTCAGGACAGCTCTACGGATTCACTCACGGCATCTACGACCGATTCAGCTAGTGACACAGCATCAACCGATGTTTCATCTGCCACTGACATCACGTCTGCGACCGACATCACGTCTGCCACCGACACTGCATCTTCCGCAACTGGCAGCATTTCCGTGGATCCTGATTTCCAGAGCCTCACCTCAACTGAAGGAGCGACATCCTCTGAGAGCGGCTCGACAGCCGACCCGACCTCCTCCGCATCTCTTACCGACAGTGCCATCTCCGCCAGCAGCACGTCGGAGACTGATAGTCTCTCGACTCAAGCGAGTACAACGGATGATTCTCAGTCATTGACTAGCGCTTTGAGCGATGCTCTTACATCGCTGGAGTCAACGGCATCAGTGTCAGCCAGCGGAACAGATTCAGCGAGCGCGACGGACCCTGCGACCGCAACGGACTCAGCCAGTGCAACTGACCCAGCCAGCGCAACGGACTCAGACACCGCCTTGCCAGCCAGCTTGACCTCGAGTGACGCAGCTTCAGCCACGAGCTCATCAGGCGAAAGCTCCACAGATATCTCAGCCTCAACTACTGAAACTCCATCGGAATCGTTGACAACTTCTGGAGATGCTAGCAGCTCCCTGGACACGGCATCGGCTACGGGAACCGCCTCAGCGACGAGCTCCGCTGACGAGGACATTCTGTCCTCACTTCTCAGCTCAACAGCATCTGACTCAATCACATCGTCAGACGCAGGAGCCTCAGCTACGACAGGTAGCACAGCATCCCTGACGACCGCTGAATCTTCCAACGATTTGTCGTCCGTTCTGAGCTCCACCTCTTCGCCCACCGCCTCTCTTCCCGTTGACACCCAGATTCTGGAGAGTACCACGTCCTCTTCCACCACCGATTTGGCATCCTCGGAGAGCGCAGCCGCATCTTCAGCTAGCTCTGCAGCCAGCGAGGCTTCCTCATCTCAGGCACAGTCGGCCTCCAGCTCCCAGGGCGCCAGCAGTATCGCTTCTTCAGCCGCCACGAGCGGTGCATCAGCTACAACTGCGCTCTTCGACACGATCTCGATTCCTTACACTGGATCAATCGGCGCTTCTGGTACTATCCCACTTACCACCTTCCTACCGACAGGTACAGGACGTGGAACAGTCGTCGTGGGCACGAACCCTGCAGCCTTCGTGACGTCCACCGTCAGCGGCGCCACATCGTTAAATGGAGCGGTGGAGATCGCAAGTCTCGTCACGGTCTCGACGATTCCCCCTATTGGAACCTTGCCTGGAGTCTTCATCGTGTCGCCTGTTCTTAGAGCACGCTTCCTGACCACGACGGTTCGGTACACGCCTACTGCAGGAGAGCAGATCACCGCACCAACAGTCCTGACATCGCTTGATCCCTCAGGAACTGCTCCGGGAATTATTGTCATTGCCGCCCCTGAGTCATTCTTCTCAACGACGGACGCGGCTACATCGGCTGCCACAACAGATCCATCAGTCAGTGACGCCAGCACCGACGCATCAGCGTTGCCCTCGTCACTGCCTGCGACACCCAGTCAGACGGCATCAACCTCACTGGATTTGGACATTCTTTCCTCAACTTCTGCTGACTCGCCAACCTCTGCCTCGGCCTCGGAAGACCCAACGGCTACCTTCTCAGGCTCAGCTGGCGAGAGCTCGCTCGTCGCTACACCGACATCGGATGCCACGGGAACTAGCTCCGATCCTTCTTCAGCCACAGCTTCTGGAGACGCAACATCCTCGGACGCTCTACCCGCTAGTCTCACGAGCCTCTTGTCGTCTGCCACCGATGTTGCCTCAGAGAGCCAGGCCACTACAGGCTCTGGCTCTTCAGTCGCTTCCCCTTCGGCTTCCATCAGCTCGGATGATGACTTGACCTCCAGCACCGCCTTCTCTAGCGCTTCTAACGGGGCGACCGGATCATCTGTCATAGCTAGCAGCTCAACAGACTCTGCCCTCGGTCAAGAGACCGTAAGCTCATCTGCGGGCGCTACCACGTCCAACGAGGGTTCCTCGGCAGGCTTGACAAGCAACGTTTCACCGACAGCTTCCGTGTCCGGTGATACCACTGAAGCCACGCCTGGTAGCACATCTATTCCCGAGACTTCGGCCGCATCAACCGCCTCGGCCGGCGCTACGAGCGAGGCTTCTCAGGCATCAAGCGGTAGCAGTGCCCAGGATACCGCGGCTCAGTCAAGCATCGATCCTCTTGGTGCCACCCTGCTGCCAACGTCGTCTGGCGCAGCTTCATCGTCAGTTGCTTCAGCAGACGCGTCCAGCACTTCGGCAGAGGTCACAAGCCAAGACACCGTCAGCTCTGCTGCAACCACTGCGGCCACGGGTGCGCAGTCCGCGAGCGCTTCAAGCGTTGTGGGAACCTCCACCGACGCCGCCGTCACCGCAAGCAGCGCACAGGAGACCTCCCAAACAGGCGCGGCCAGCTCTGCAGTCTCATCGAGTGCAGCAGCTTCATCTGCTTCAGAGAGCGCCGACGATCAGATCTTCAGCTCCACGGCCATCTCATCCGGCGGGCCCATCTCTTCGACGGCAACTGTGGTGCCCACCTCCGCCTCGGCCGATCCTCAAAGCCTTACAGCATCCGCAAGTTCATCCGAGGGCAGTCTCATCCCGTCAAGCACGCAGGCCACTGTGGGCTCGGGTACGAGCACATCGCCGGCCATTGAGTCAACTAGCTCCCAGGAGTCTGCCATTCAGTCCAGCTCAGCTGAGCCTACGGTCGCATCTTCCCTTGGTGCTAGCTCCAGCGTGATCCAGTCTCCATCTTCGGAGATTGCAAGCTCTTCAGCCGCGCTGTCCAGCGCAGCGGCATTATCTGCTCAGGCCAGCTCGTCCTCGAGCGAGCTCGTGGAGTCAAACATCTTGGGCTCCTCGCAGCAGTCGACAGCCGTCGCTTCTACTTCAAGCAACGGTGCCATCTCTGCGTCCAGCCCGGCGGCATCTATCGCTGAGCCATCCGCTTCAGCTACATCAGCTGCGGTCTCCTCAGCTATTTCGTCATCTAGCATTCCGGCCTCCAGCATTCCTGCTTCAGTCAGCTCCTCCGTCGTCGCCTCATCTCCAGAGCTTGACACCATTATCCCCAGTTCGACAGCTGCTGTATCAAGCTCCCAGGCTGCGTCATCAAGCTCTCTGGCTGCGAGCTCCTCGGCAGCTACCTCTGCCCAGAGTTCTGCTGCTTCCAGCTTGGCTTCATCAAACGCTGCGGTCTCCAGCTTCGCTATCTCGAGCGCACCGGCTACGTCTTCAGAAACAGGCCTCGACAACATCCTGTCCTCGTCAAGCTTGCTCGGGGCTTCAAGCTCCGCTGTTATCTCTTCTGCACAGGCTTCCTCATCACCTGCAGTTTCGGCCAGCGCAGCTCCCTCGGCCGTCTCTTCGGTCTTGTCTTCAGCTGCTTCTTCAGCCGCCTCTTCAGCAGCCGCATCAGCTGCCTCGTCTGTCGCCTCGTCCAGCATCGCATCCAGCGACCCGGCAAGTGCTCAGGCAAGCAGCTCCGCTGGTGGTCCCTCAAGCAGTCTTACCGGCCTTGACAACATCTTGTCTAGTTCCTCGACTGCTGCTCCCGCAGTTTCGTCTAGTTCAGCTGCCGCATCGACATCTTCTTCTGCGGCGGCTTCCTCTGCGGCAGCCTCCTCTGCGGCATCATCTGCACCCGCAAGCAGCGCAGCTGCCAGCTCATCAGCCATCTCTTCAGCTGCATCGTCGGCCGCATCTTCGGCCGCAGCCTCAGCCAGCAGCTCTGCTGCCAATCCTTCAAGTAGCATCTCTGGCCTAGACAACATCTTATCTAGTTCCTCCACCGCCGCCCCCGCAGCTTCATCAACCGCGGCCTCGCCAGTGGCCTCATCCTCATCACCAGCTGCACAAGCCAGCAGCGCGGCACCAAGCGCCTCGGCCAGCGCCTCTGCTGCCTCATCAGCTGCTTCAGCAGCGGTGTCTTCAGCTAGCAGATCAAGCAGTTCGGCCGTTGCTCAAGCCAGCAGTTCAGCTGCCAACCCTTCGAGTAGCCTCTCAGGCCTTGACAACGTCTTGGCCAGTTCGACGACTTCTTCTGTCCGATCATCATCTGCGCCTGCCTCGGCAGCGGCATCTTCTTCAGCGCAGCCCCCTGCTGCCTCAAGCTCCGCTGCTGCATCATCCGCAGCAGCACCAGCAGCTTCATCATCCTCGGCGGTGCGGTCCTCCTCTGCAGCCGCAGCTCAAAGTAGCCCTGCATCTCCGTCAGTCAACGCGGCCTACGTCACATCGCAAGTGTTCAGCGCCGGTATCACCGCCCCTACGACCATATTAACTGTCGCGCCGCAAGGAAGTGTCGCTGGTACATACATTGTCGCCCAGCCAGCGCTTTTCGTCACCTCCCAAGTGTTTAGTGCTGACATCACCGCCCCTACGACCGTCGCAACTGTCGCGCCGCAAGGCACTGCTGCTGGTACATATGTTGTCGCCCAGCCTGCGCTCTTCGTTACATCACAATTGTTCAGCGCCGGTCTTACCGCCACCTCAACAATCTCAACCATCGCACCACAAGGCAGCGCTCCTGGCACTTACATCGTGGCTCAGCCGGCGCTGTTCGTCACTTCCCAGGTGATCAGTGCGGGCATCACCGCCCCCACCACCATCTCAACTATTGCGCCGCAGGGTAGTGCTGCCGGTACGTATGTCGTGGCCCAGCCCGCGTTGTTCGTCACTTCACAGGTTTTCAGCGCCGGTATCACTGCTACCTCAACAATCTCGACTGTTGCGCCACAGGGTACCGCTCCTGGCACTTATATCGTAGCCCAGCCTGCTCTCTTCGTCACGTCTCGGGTGATCAGCGCTGGCATCACCGCTCCCTCCACGATCTCAACTATCGCACCGCAGGGCAGTGCTGCTGGTACGTATGTCGTAGTCCAGCCTGCGCTCTTCGTCACTTCTCAGGTTCTCTACACCGGAGGTGATCCAGCTGTGACCGCTCCAACCGCGATCTCGACGATTGCACCATCAGGAACGGCACCAGGTACTGTGATCATCGCCTCTCCTGGATCTTACGTCACTTCACGAGTCCTGTACACTGGAACGAACACAGCAGTCACAGGACCAACTCGAATCTCGACCATTCTTCCGTCAGGATCAGTGGCTGGAACAATCATTGAGGCCGATCCCGCTTCGTACATCACCACGACAGTACAGTACAGTGGTCCCAGCACTCTGATTGGTCCCGTTGCAATTTCCACCATCGCCCCTACTGGAGTCGGCGCTCCTGGAACGATCATCGTTGCAACACCCGCAGCAGTCTTCGTAACCTCTCAGGTTGCCTACAGTGGCACAGCAGCTATCACGGCTCCGACCACAATCTCGACTATTGCTCCGGTTGGCACCAATGCAGGAACTTATATCGTGGCGAACCCGGCCCTTTTCGTCACTTCTCAGGTGGCGTATAGTGGCACAGCTCCCATCACAGCACCTACAACGATAGCAACTATTCCAGCAGTCGGCACAAATCCAGGCACTTACATCGTGGCGACCCAGGCAGCCCTTTTTGTCACCTCGCAGGTTGCGTATAGTGGTACGGCAGCTATTACAGCTCCAACCACGATCTCGACAGTTGCTCCTGTTGGCACGAACGCAGGCACCTTCATTGTCGCCAACCCGGCTCTCTTCGTTACTTCCCAGGTTGCCTACACAGGTACGGCTGCGATCACAGCACCAACTACCATCTCAACCATCGCCCCTGTCGGTACGAACGCAGGCACTTACGTGGTTGCTGCTCGCTTCATCACCTCTGCGGTGGTATACAGCGGCTCAAGCTCGATCACTGGCCCTGTCCCAGTCGCGACTGTCCAACCAAGTGGCACGGCTCCGGGAGTTGTCGTGGTTGCTTATCCGGCTTTGTTCGTCACCTCGAATCAGGCGTACTCAGGAACTATTCCTATCACCGGCCCAACAACTATCACGACGATTGCTCAGCAAGGTACTGTTCCAGGCACCGTGGTCGTGGCAACCCCGGCACAGCAGGCCTCTTACGTCACCTCAACCCTCTTCCTCACTGCAGCTAATGCTGCCTCGACGACAATCACGACAATTGCACCAGCTGGTACGGCGCCTGGTACCGTTGTTGTCGGTCTTCCGGCTCTCTTCGTGACGGTCGTCGGCCCGTACAGTGGCACGGCTACGCCAACTGGCTTCACGACAGTTTCCATTGTTCAGCCATCAGGAACCGTGCCGGGCACTGTGTATGTCCAAACGCCTACGTCGGCATCTGCTGTGGCAGCATCAAGCACGCCTGTCCTCGGCCAAAGCTTAGTGGCCAGCTCAACAGCAGCCGCAGTCGCTTCATCCAGCAGTCTATCAACCCTGGTAACCAGAGCTGTCACTTCTTCCTCGTCTCCAGCCGCGGCAGCTGTTTCTTCTTCCTCCTCTGCCGCTGCACAGGGTCAGTCATTGGTAGCTTCATCTTCAGCAGCTGCGGTCGCTTCGTCTTCGAGATCGTCAACAAGCTCCGCCGCCGCGGCGACTGCAACTTCTTCATCTGCAGCAGCAGCGGTGGCGTCGTCGTCCTCTTCGGCGCTATCTGCAAGAGCTGTCTCATCGTCTCTGTCAAGCTCCGCTAACGCAGCGTCTTCGTCAAGTAGAGCCGCTAGCAGTAGCAGCAGCAGTAGCTCCAGCGTCAGATCTACGTCTACCTCATCATCCAGTCGCTCGGTAGCATCAGCCACGGCGGGAGCCGCATTCTCTTGCCCCACAACTGGATACTTAGTTCAAAGCTCCAGTAGTGTGACCTTGTACTCTATCAACCTTGCCAATGGTGCTCAGACAGTAGTCACGAGCAACCTCGGCGGCGATAACACTCGCAACATCAACGCCCTTGGTTACAACTCTCGAGAGGATTACATGTACGCCATCTCTCAGCCCAACTCTGGAACGAGCGACTACCGCCTCATCCGTATCCTTGGCAACGGCAACACGACAACGGTGACTACATTTACTCAGGCTTCTAAGCTGTACCAGTCTCCCTTCAACGCCGGAGATGTTGACCAAAATGGTCAGTTCTGGATTTCAACCAGCGGTATCGACTGGTACCAGTACGACTTCTTGCCTGGTTCGGCCACGTACGGAAGACTGGTCGGATCAGGACTGGTTGACGGCGGAGCCGATGGGTACACCGTGGGAGACTGGAGTGTTGTTCCTGGAAGCGGAGGTGGAGATCTTTGGACAATTGGTGTCAAGAACTTCAACTGCGTCCTCATGAGATGGAGTCGCACCACTAAGGACTGGACCATCGGACAGAGCCTGGGCGCTTTGACCGGAGTCACGTCCGGAACCGCACCATTCTGGGGTGCTACCTACGCTACGACTGACGGATACCTCTACGCCGTTGAGAACAACTCTGGACAGGTCTGGAGAATCGACGTCGACGGATCATCTCCTCCGGTCCAACAGACGAGCGTGCCGTCTACGAGCAGGAATGATGGAGCCAGATGTTTGGACTCGGGAAGTGTCTAAGGATTTATGATAACATGTCTTAGTTGATTTCTTTTGTACTCGACTCCACATCGTGGAAGTCCTCCACTCGGGCAGAATACTTGACTGCCATTGAACATTAAAACATTAGTCTTAATCATAATAGTAATACCATTTTCATTTCAATATTATTCTCCGTCGAGTACGGGTGCACTGGCGTGAGACGACTTCATGACTCGGCTAGTTCATGAAAGAGAGGAATGCAAATTGGGCATCTTCGAATGACTCCACCCAAGTCGGAGGTTTTGTTGGTTTATTCGCCTACTTGATCTATTGTCGAGTTGAGTGGCGACCTCGAGCCTAAGCTCCCACCTAATGCTGCCGTGTATGCAAGATGCCAAGCTAAGCTCTGTCCATCCAAGTTGGTACTATTGACCGACTGACTCTTCATAAAGTTGTAGCTCTCAACCGCACCAGCCTTGTCAGCAATGGCGAGATTCACGTAGACGTGGCCGACGAATCCGTCCCCGGAAAGCGCGCCGCTTTTGTTTCCTGCAAAGTACTGATCCCACTCTTCACGCACAAAAGACGGCTTGCGAACGTATGCGCTGCTCGGCACGATTGGGAGCATGTGGATACCCTGGATGAAGCTGGTCTTGTCGCCGAAGTAGGTCGTGTGGTTGACCTTTCGATCCCACAGAATCCCCGTTACTCGGTTGTCAATGAACTTCTCCGGCTGAACCTTGTTGTCGCTGGCTAGAAGGAAGTATGACTGCAAGCTGCGAGCTGTGACAGCCAGCTGGAGGTTTCCGCGTGCCTCGAGAGCCGCGTCGCCAATGGTGCGCCCCCACATCTTTATGGCGTAGGTTGAAAAGGCATCTTCCGCAGAGGACTCCTGATCCTTGCCATCAGGAGCCTCAAGAACGCCACGAGCCCAGCTATGCCCGTGGAACCAGTCGAAAGAGCGCGAGAACGGGAAGTACGGATCTTCCGACGAGGGGTTGGACCAGTCTCTGATCAAGTTGTTGACCCAGATCGTGTTCACGGAGTCGTTTTTCTTGAGCCATGATGGGTTGAGATGCCCTATGATTGCGGCCGTGTAAACGTAGTATCCGTAGTGAAAATTGTGGTCGTTGTAGTAGGTGTTCCCGAAGTCGATTGAGGAGTCATTATTTCCGTACGATCCAGAGGAGACCAGGCCCTTCCAGACGTTGTCGTAGTAAAGGGGGTTTGGCTCGAGGTTGTTGACGTATCTGTCAAAGGCTGCCTCGAGCTTGACCAGTGCGTCCTGTGTGTACGACCTGTCTCCGGCGATGCTGTTGACCGCATAGAGAGCCCTAGCGTATTTCGAGAATGCGATGCCGGCATAATATTTGGAAGTCAGATTGGTGATGGCAATGGCATCCAAATTAAGCTCCAGCTTCCCAGCGGCAACAATCTCGTCTTTGGCCTCGGTAGATACGGTGCCGCCTCTTGCTTCCCTAGATCCAACAGAGCCCAGACGTGGCGACCAAGGATCGAATCCCATGTCTGTCGGAAGATCCGGCTCTATCATCGTGAACGAGTCCCCAAAAGTCGCAGTTGCAATGCCCTTTGTCGTACTCGCCAGCTGGAGGTCAGTGAGGCCTCTGGCGGTTTTGCTGTCGAAAGATTTGACATGGTGCGGCAGAGCGAACATGAGCAGAGGGATGGTCTTGTCGCCACCCTTCTTCCAGGCAAATGTGTACGATCCCGTTCTGCCTGATACCGATCCTTTCATTTCCCCCCCGATGGGGTAGACTCCCGCGGCTTGGCCGAAAATACGAGCGCCGGCCTTGCCTTTTGGGTTCCTCGCGACTTGCACACTCCCTGTGAAGTTACCAGGTCCCACGATAGTTCCGTTGTTGGCCATGGTAAGTTTAGGCGTCTGGGAGCCGCGGCTTGGATTGACATAGATGAGCCACTCAACCGGTTGCCCATTGTCGCTCACCCAAGTTCTCCAACCGGGTGCTCCAAGCCCACGCGAGTCGTCCTCTACTCTGGTGAGGTCCAAAAACCCTCTTTGTGACTGGATCAGGACGGTAGCACCGTGGTAAACTCCTGTCACGAATGCCATGCCTTGTACCAGGGGAAATGACACAATAGGCTCGGCTCCTTTCCTCGGCGCCAAGTTGACATTGACAGCAAAAGACGTTAGGGAGTCCGTTGTCAAGACGGTCCCATTCTGCAGCTCGCGTGCGGATAGCGCAATGGACTGTTTGAACAGCGGATCCTCGAAGGATTTGGCCGGGTCGCCGGAGCCGTAGATGAAGTCCTCCCGGCTCGTATGAGAAATTGAGAGTCCATGACCCTGCTTAACCGTATCGTTAGACCACCATACTGAGTATGGATGTGTCCATGTAGCGTTGTCCTGATTGCTGGCAAAGAAGTTGGCGTAGAATTTGTTGGTCTGAATTGGTCCGTCATGGCGCACGCCCACGGGCTTTTGGGGGTGATCGTCTCTAGTTGGGACCAAGATGGGCCGATCGTTAGAAATGGGCTGAAAAATGTTGACTGCCCGTCCTCTTCCCAAGTTTGAGGAGTCCGTGGCATTTTCGGGCGCCAAGATCGATGCTTGCCGCCTGTGCTGATGCCGTGGCGAATGGTGAGGGTAGACTGCTTGTATCAACGCCAGAATGGCGAGGACAAAGATGGAATGCATTTTCGGAAAAGACAGACTCAACGACACAGCAAGTGTGAACGTATGGCAGAGGCACAGGCAGCAGCATCGACCAAAATTGAATGGGACGCGTGAAAAGGGGTGGCCATGGTTCAAATACTGAGATCTCAAAAGTAAAAAGAGAATTTTGTTGTTTCGTTGTTTCAATTGAGGGGGCGATGAGGGGATTCTCCAGCTTCTTCAGGGGATTTTGAGTTTATCATCATCTTAAATCTCATGCATTGCTACGTTGAGATCCTAGGCAAACTCAAATCTGAGTTCGGATCGTTGCTTGGTCTTTCCTCTTCATTTATTTCATATGGGGGTCGTTTCATCGGGGTTAATCGACGCGCCGGCTGCCTGCCGGCCCCTCCGAGAAGCTGTGCTAACCCCTATTCAGTACAACGATATCCTCGTCACAAATACTGTTCTCAACACAGCCAAAATGACTCTAGAAATTGAATTCGACATTATCAACGGAGTGTTCCTCGGAGCGAGGTTGCAAAGTCACAAGTGCGTAGTTCGAAGAGCATGATATTTGTGTCTGCACTTCGTCTCATTCAACAACCACAGCCTGGATTTGTAGTGTCGCGCTTTACGCATGTTGAAAGAGTGGCGGAGGCGCCTGCGAGGTCTTGGATGCAAAGAAGCATCAGCAACCGTCACATACCCTCACGTAATCTGCATATCCGAGCTTGTGTCACTACCATCTACAAAGTGCATATCTCAGGAACAACACGTCAATAATCGTACCTTAGATAAGTGACAATTTATATTTGAACCGATTCAGCCCTGATCCCAATCTCAAAGGCTATGCTCCTTCATTGCGCCGCTAAATGTTCTTGTAAATATGGAATGCAAGCTATTTGAATACTTGAATATTTGCAGTTGACCCCATGCCAGCGAAGATCCTCTCTATTCCCATCATCGACCCGTTATCGTTGTTTCAAGGCGCGCACATTCGTCATGCCACCCGCACACAGAGGCTGTGAGATTACCGCTGATTCGCCTGCGGAACAGTGGTAAACACTGCCGTACCCACCACAGGCGACCATGACCATGGCGTCGGCCGAGCCAGCCTGGAGCGTAAAGCGATCCGCGTTGTGAGTGACGGAAGCTCCGTTGCTACAATCGTAGAAGTTGTTCGGCTTGAGGGTGCAGTATTCAATTATGTCGTAATCGTTCGGCTTGCCGCTGAAAGAGCCCTGGGCACAAGTCGCGAGGGTTTGGTCAGAGAGCAGGGCCACGACTAAGACGGCGGAGCAAGAAAACTGCATGTTGGCTGGGCGTGATCGGGGTTAAGATAGAGAGATGAGTCTACATGCCATGTCCACGTTAATTTGCTGTCCGAATTTGCTTGAGGTCTGTTGGGACGCATACTTACTCTGCTGAGATGGAAGGCCGGAACTGATTGCGTGGTGACTGGGATTCCATCAGTAGAGGTTGCCGTGCAAAAGCAGAGTATTTATCCTAAAGTTCCGGTGGAGGTTCCTTGCACCCATGCTGCTCGGAACCACTGGGAAGTAGACAGGTTAGAGGGACTCATCTCGCGAGGCACTACGGATATTGAAACCTTAATCAGTCTCAGAGTGCACTATAATATATGACACCAGTTTCTACACCTTGGCATCTAATTATACGACATGCTTACTTGTAAGACCGGGTTTTGTCTAGGTGCGATAATAAGCCACAATCCACGTGATTTCAGTCATGTAGGTACTTGTAGACCAAACCTTAGGGCTCACATGTAGCTGATGCATCTACGATAACGCCCATATCGCCGAATGACTGCGTCGTCTTATGAGCGTTGCAAGGAGTGCGTATGCCCAAAGGCACATCCTAACGAGATCTCCCCAAGTACTTGTGCCGCATCATATCCTTTACTATACACGATAATACTCTCTTAATATGCAGAGTGAGATCAAAATCGAGCTTTGGGCTGCCAGCATCCAGGCCGCTAGTCAATACGAATCGTGGAGCATTGGCGTGGCTTATCTTTGAGGTTGCGGGCAGCAAGATCAATGCCATTGCAAGAATGCTACAACAGAATCCCATAGAGACAAGTTGATATTCTGCTGAGGCTATGTAATTGGCATTCTCGTTTTGTTCGAGAAGACTAGAGAGTTCACGGGCGGGCTTGTTGCGACGATTCAGGGGCTTCTAGGTATGACCCTACGTACGTACCCAGGCTGTGTTGATCCTGACTTTGTGGACGGCCAGCAATCTTGCTGGAGTTTCAATTTGCCCGCGTTGGAGTCGATAAAGTCAAGGTGGGAGCCGAAGGATATTTTTCACAATTCACGAAGTGTACGATCATTGGCATGAACGCCCGCTGAAAGGTTTTTTTTGGGAGGTAGAGGTAGGGTCCTGGGCCAACAGTGCAGGTTCCGTAGTACAATAGTCTCCGAATATGCAATCAAATTGCGACTTATGCATACCTACCTTAACAAGGAATCTTAGCTGGTTCGATGATCATATGCCTCGGTTGGTTTGGCTCGGGTGTGCCGAACGCCGTGCCGGTGGGATACGGGGTTAGCGGTGAAGAAAATGTCCGTGGACTCCGGAACACATCGACATGGTACTTGTGAAATCTTTCGCGCGAGGATTCCACAGAGTCCTACGGCAGTGGCTATGTTCATCAAACAGCAGTATTCAGAGTACTGAACCTTCGGAAAAGCTATTGCTTGACCTGTAGTAGGAGAATGGCGCGCTTCGCGTCGTACAGTAGCCCGTATGAACGCCCTAATCGCGCGGTATGGGTAGCTTATTCTTCGTTGTTATTGTTGCTAACACATTGAAAGTGTGATTCGTGTCATTCGAGAAAGGTAACTCATCCCCGAATGTGTTTTTGAATGAATCCCTGCAGCCAATCTTACCTTCCGAGGACAGATCAAATGTGATCGTCAAGAAGTATGTCACCAGTGTATGGCCGCCGGCATAATGTGCCTTCGCAGACGTCCAAAACAGTCGCGTCGAACGCGAGAAATATCAAACAATGGCTTGCTTCAACCAAACTCAGATCGTCAGCAAGACCCTGGTGAAAGAGCTCTGCTTGAATCCCAATCCCTTACCGCGATCAACGAGCAGACCTCAGCGCCTCGAGATTTGACTATGTCTGGAATTCCCAATGCTCAACGTCAGACGTCGCCAACTGAGTCACAAGGAGCTGCTGGTACAACAATACAAATACAGAAGACGGGCATCACGTCAAATCACTCATCTTCGGGGGTCAGCGAGACGAAGTTCTTGTACTCGCAAGCTGAAAGACTCCTCGCATTCTCGATGGAAGTCTGGTTCCAGGACGACGATTTTCCTGGGCGCCATATTATGGAGACGGCGTTCAAGCAGGTTAGAACAGCGACGGGGACGACGCCGACAAGCAGGCATGCTCCGGAACCTGATTTTGCGAGGAGCAAGCCGTTTCCGAGTGTCGAGCTCATTGACAGCATTTTAACCTGTACGAAATATTCTTCTGATGGCGAGAAATGGTTGTTTAATCAGCTAACATTGATGGGTATCAGGGAGGGCACAAAGCACCGGCTCGAAATACATAGCAGATTTACAGTCTATGATTTCTCTTCCAACTTTCGAGGCTCAGTGGCTAGCTCTCCGTAATGGACAAGCCAAAGAACCTTTACGAAACCACTATATAGTCTCAGTCAATTACGCAGCGTGGTGCTTCGTTGGCATCAAGATGGCTGAGACTACCAGTGGTGATATTCATAAGCACCTAAGATCGAGCAAAAGGTTCTAAGTCAACGTACCCACTTCCGAAACACCCCCCCATGCGAAACAATAAAAATGCCTCACCGCCACCACCAACCTCCCACTTTCACTAACAACAATATTTTGAATCCTCATCCAAATAACCTCATCTTTCGCACAGCAGT